TATTTCCAAGTTGCTGAATACATGATTGAATTTTATCTCTTAATTCTAAATATATTTAGTCTTTTATTAACTTATGTTAATATAAAGTATTCTGCATTTGGTACTTAAGGATTGACATTCACGATTTAATTTTGTCTTCAACATTCCCACACTTTTCTAATAAAATTGCTCTGATCCCTTTGTTTTATTTCAGCTTGATTGGCAAAGTATATTTGTACCTTTGGCCTTTACCTAATTTTGTTGACTTCCACTACAATATGTATCTTGCTCATAGAAAATCATACATAGCTGTTCCTCATTGGGAAGAGGTAACATACATTCTAATCAACAAAAGTAAAAAAAAAGTTATATGTATGGTATATACCATATTCGGGGACAAAGCCTGCTAGCTACCCAGTTAATGGGAAGCATCAATGGTGCTCAACTGCCCAATGATGCCCACATCGACTATATACCTTTTAATAATAAAACTAAATACAATACGTAAATATGGCTTTATATCAAGGCCAACTTTTAAAGTATTTTGTAGTAGTTTAGTTCATTTATTATGCACCCCATACCCATCCTGTGGGCGGTAGTGGAAAGGGTTACAGAGGCACATAATGGGCTCAGGGACTGAACCCCACAATTCATTTAGCTAAGCAAGTTACAATCTTGATGAGCTAGTTACAAAATTCAATATAAGTCATCACATCAACAATGGGTTCGAGATCGACCTCAAGTACAGGTTCTAAATTAAGCAACTGACATATGTGGAGAGCTAGTGTCAAAATTTATATGTTTGTCCTGCACACCGCCCCCCATCCAGTGGGCAGCGGTGGATAGGTTACAATCACTTAGTTACTACCTACAGTTAGCAAACTGGGGATATTTGGCTAAAATTTCTGGTAGCAGATCATTTTGAATGAAATATTGACACATCGCTGGAACATTGGTTATAGAATTGTCTCTAAATTCACGTATCTTTTCGCACTCCATCACATAGTGACGGAGGGTGTGCGAATAATTTTGTTGACACAGTTTACATTTGGTCAGGTCTACATCAGCAGATAATGAGAATTCCCAGAGATACTTGTAACCGAGTCTAAGCCGAGCAGTAGTAACATCTAGAAGTCTGCTGATTTTATTGGATGATCCATAGATGTGTGGCTCCTCTTGCATGATAGTATGATGATAGATGGAATTACTGGTGTCAATTTCACTTTGCCTCAGATCTACAAGATCTTGTTGAAGCTCTCGGTGTACAGCTGCTCTCAGATTGCTCATTGACAATCCAAGGTTACACTCAACGGCTCCTTTAAAGGCAGATTCTTTGGCTAACTTATCAGCTCTATCATGCATTCGGAGGCCAACATGAGATGGAGACCACATGAAATGGACTCTGTTACCATCCTTAATAATTTTGTTGTATTTGTGTCTAGCTTCGGACACGAGCATGTTACAGTTATGTCTTAAAGAGTTGAGAGCATTTAAGGATGATAAGGAGTCACTTACAATTAATGTATCAAGTTTTGAGACTTGTACACATTTCAGTGCAAGGATCAAGGCAAATAGTTCAGTCTGAAGGGTAGAGGCCCAGTTGTTTATACGGAGTATTTTGTAGATAATGAAAATTTGTGGTTAGATTTTGTAGATAATGAAAATTTGTGTTTAGAACCTCAACATATTATGTAATGTACCTTAAGTAAATCTCAGTTTACTATGGTCTTACTATAAACAACACATCTCACCAGTTGCTATGTCATGGAAAGTAACCCAAAGGCTCCTTTAAGGGAAGTGGGCAGAAGTAGTTTTACTTGTAATTCTGATGTGCTTACGATAATGGATACAAGTAAACAGGATTGAGTTATGATTTACCTGTCGAGTGAAAGGATTAGGACTTGACAACTGGACCAGCCTGAGCTTAGCATTTTCTAATTAATTACTTTCAGAGATATATTGTTTACTTTTGCATGACATATTGTAGTCTCGCTGAGAAGTAAATTTGTCGTACTTGAATGGCGCTAGCAAAGTCGATGGAGCTGGAAGATATAGTGGGGGGTAAAGGACTAACCAGCCCTTGTGGATCTGTTTCCATTGATGTATCATGCTATTGTGATTTATGTGTGTAAAGTACAATGGGTTTGTAAGAGTACATAACAGTGTTCTTACGTTCTAGTTCTATGGTAAGTTATCCTATTATCGCATTTTTGTATCAAATATCTGCAGTGATAATATTAATAGTCATTAATCGTGTTCCAACGATGTATAAATATTTAATTCAAAATGATCTGCTACCAGAAATTTTAGCCAAATATCCCCAGTTTGCTAACTGTAGGTACTAAGTGATTGTAACCTATCCACCGCTGCCCACAGGATGGGGGGCCGTGTGAAGGACAAACATATCAATTGTGACCACATATGTCAGTTGCTTAATTTAGAAACTGTACTTGTGGTCGAACCAATTGATGATGTGACGACTTATACTGAATTTTGTAACTTGCTTAGCTAAATGAATTGTGGGGTTCAGTCTCTTGAGCCCATTATGTGCCTCTGTAATCCTTTCCACTACCGCCCACAAGATGGGTATGGGTTGCATAATAAATGAACTAAACTAAAACTTATTAATCATGCACTGTATTCTATGCATTAAAATATTTTGCTCTGAAAAAAATTTCAGTCGGAAAATCTTAACTTTTTTTTATTATAAAACTTATATATACACAGCAATGTCCTGCTATCCTATTCTAAATAAATAAATACATTTTTATTCAGGAAAAGTACATTCATAGTTGATTTACAAACATAATGTTGGATTTATAGATAGAGCTAGTACGCATAGCGTTTCAGGCAAGAAACGTAAAATCAAGTAATCTACACGAAAGATTACACAGTAGATCAAAAACTAGGTATAAGTTCATCTAATATTTCCATCTCTCAGGATGTTTAATCATACATGGAGTTAAAGCCGCAATATTTTAGGAAATGGGGGAAGATCAACCAGGCTGTGACTCATACGTCAGGCTGCGAGCAACCGCGTCCAACAGCCTGGTTGATCAGTCCGGCAACCAGGAGGCCTGGTCGACGACCGGGCCGCGGGGACGCTAAGCCCCGGAAGCACCTCAAGGTAACCTCAAGGTAAGACAGAAGAGCAGTCACTGACACACACAAAGGCCAGAGAACACAATTATAAAGAGCTATATGACATGTATAAACTGAGAATTATATGTACGGGCTGCATAAAACACCCGCTAGACAGTGGCATTGCAATTGCCAGAATTAGGCTGGGATATCGATATCTGTGGCAGGTGACTGCAGGTAATGAATCTCGCAATGGGGAACGTTCCAATTGTAAACTATATGAACAAGAGCTGGGGAACATACTCTCCTATGTGTAGAGTATGTATGTGTATAAAGTATATATGGAAGCTGATCAGAATTACATTTCACCTTTGTAAATGCACATTAATGACACTATGTAAAAGACACATCGAACACTTTATGTAGGGCATACGTAAATCTGTGTATCTATGTATTTACGTATGTAGGTTAGCTTAGCATTTTAAAAGCACCGACTCACCTTCTGTGGTTGATTGTTCAATAAACCCCTGAACTATATGTTTAACAATAACCATCTCTAACCCTGTCCATGGATGACAGAAGCAAATGTATATATGTTGCTTAGCATTGGAAATGTGTGGCCACGTCTGTGGTAGAAAATAATAATAAAAAAACTGTGTTGCTGTTATTCCCTATTAGTGACTGCAGCCCTAACGGTATGAGGTACTTTGAGCTCTGTAATTACTTCATACACTCAAGAATATTGGAAGATATTCTTTGTTCTGTACCCAGATTTTGCTCTTACATTTTATGTTCTCATCTTTTAGTCATAGTTGATTTGTTTTAGTATTGAGGCTGGTATTTTCTCTCCTGATTCAAGTTCAAGTATGTTTATTGAGACAAGAAAAAATACATCTCAAAGGGGTAGAGTAGCTAAGGTTATTTCTACCCCCCTTTACTTCAAGTCCCTCAAGGGGCGCACTGATTCCATGTATGACTAACCATCCTGTGAGATGGGACTATTGGGTGAACTTATAACCAGCTGTTTGTTTTTGTATTAAGGTAAGTTTACTACGGGCTCACCATAGCCCGTGCTACTTGCCCCGCTCTGTGCTAGGTAAGTTACGGGCTCACGATAGCATGTGCTACTTGGAACTTGTTCCGAGTAGCTGAATCTATAACAACAACACTTAAGGCAGGTATTATCTCCCCTAATTCCATGTATGACACCATCTTGTAAGATGGTAAAAATAGTTGAACCTATAGCTAGTTACAATACAATACAATACAATACAATTTTATTTAGGTAAGGTACATACATACAATAAATTTTTACAAGGATTGGTTGACTTATAGGTAGAGCTAGTACATACAATGCCTAAAGCCACTATTACGCAAAGCGTTTCGGGCATTAAGTTCTTGTTCAGAAGTTCTTGATCTACACTGTGTAATATCTCATATATAATTACTGTGCATACCTAATTTTGCTAATTAAAAAAAAGTTAGGGGAGCAAATACCAGCCACTACAAAAACGCTGACAAATCAAACCAGCTATAAGTGCCTCATTTTATTACAGATTTCTTCATGTTTTTCTTTTATTACAAAGCCACAGGGTTATAAACCAGTGGAACAGCCTACCCGCCGAACCGTAACTTCCCAAAAAAACTTAAATTTTTAAATTACTGCTGAAAAAAATCATCCAGGCAAATGATACAACACCTTTGACAAGCCACGAGCTTCCTGTCCTCGTTGAGGCTACTAGTGCTAGTTGAAATTGAAATAAGTATTGAGGTAAAATACACACAAAGGGATGAGATAGCTCAAGCTATTCTCACCCCGTTCAGTACAACGTGTTAATACATACATATACACACATCACAAACAATAAACATATTACCAGACATTCTGACTAGTGCTAGTGGCCCCTCAGGTAAATTCAGGTAATCGCGACGTTCAGCCATTCAGATCTGGCAACCGTGGACACAAGGGAGTGTGTTGACGGCGTGATCTGCTGCTGGCGACGCTCCCGGAGACGTCTCCCCCAGCAGATCTCTCTCCTGCAGCAGCACAGTGTCTCCCTGCGGCTACCACACGTGGTTTATATCTCTAGCTTGTGACCTCTTAAGACAGGAGACTCCCTGCCTCTACCGCAGGTGGTTTAAGCCAGAGGCTGACTTGAGGACTTTGAGGTCGCCATGTCGAATTGGAGGGTGAGCAATTTTTTGGTTTATGTTTATTGTGGCATATACAACACTTCCCAATAGGAAGGAAACTTGCTAGGTTGTTCAGCCTGTCATTTGTACTCTGACCTGCTGTGTCAGAGTATAACTGACTCGAGTTCGAGTAAATTCATCAATATTTGTATCACACCTTGTATGTATGTACTTTACCTGAATAAACATTTGAATTTGAGTATTCAGATCGTCAAAGGATTAAGTTACCATTATCTAAACCTCGAACTAACGTTATCTTGTAAATGCAAAGTGGAAGAATCTGTTAAAGAACACAAGGTTTAATAATCAGTGTTTCCTAACTTTGAGAGTTAGGAACCTACTACACCTTTCTGTAAAATTTGTGTGGTCACAGGCGTTCTCATTGATGCTATAGCATTCTGACTGAATGATTGTTTGTGGTGAAATACATACTAGTGCTGTCAGTACATAACCAACTCTTATTAAGAAATGTCAACTGTTGGCTGGTATCAATTTACCCATTCATAATACGGTATTTGAGAAAGAAATATAAACAGCTTTACTCTTACCTAGGTAAACATTATTTATTATATTGTTTATTTATATATACAGTACAAGAGTTTTTACATTCTTGTACAGCCACTAGTACGCATAGCATTTCGGGCAAGTCCTTAATCCTATGTACCCAGAATACGACCCCGCCAAATCGTTTATCAACCAGATACCCATTTTACTGTTATGTTAAACAGAGGCTACAGTTAAGGGTTTACATCCAGTAAATCCTTCCCAGCCAGAATACGATCCCAGGACAAAGCGCTCACAAAACGCCAGGCAAGTGTCTTATCCATACGCCACGATGTAAGTGTGGTTTCAGACTCTGAGAAAGCACCAGTGGTACTATAATAAATTAAGATAAAACTCACACCTGATATTTACATGAATTTATTCGAGGGCTACAATATCTCTAGTGGTATTGATGAGGACAGAATGCCAGTGGCTTATTGAAAGTTTCCCCATTTGTACTGATGATTTTATGGTGCTGGGTTTTGAATTTTCAGCAGTGTTTTAACATTTATGGCTTTGGTGGGTAAGCAGTTCTGCTTTTATTATTTATTCTGTTTTGTTAATTCTGTATGAATTAACTAAAGCAGAAATTCAATACACAGAGTTCTATATTATGGAATGAGCTCCCAAGTGCAATAAATGGCTGTACTGCTCTTAACCAATTTAAAAGCTAAACAAAGAAGTGCCCAATTAACATTGCCTAAGTACTGTACTGGCAGTATTTATATATCTGCCGCACCAAGTAGCATAGATCTTGTATACTGTACTTTATTATCCAAATAAAGACAATTCGTGGTTGCTCATTGCTGTTGTTGTGAATATTAAGTAATGAAAATCTACTGTTATATTATCGCTAAAGTTACAGAATCTTAAATACAGTAGTTTTATATCTTCCAGCATAAAGTATTGCTCTATAAAACAATCAAATTTTTTACGTGTATTGAAAAGGAAAATAATTGTGTATGTACTGGGTATTTATGTATATTTGCATCTCATGGTAATAAGTAATACCATAAAATGTACAAAATTCATAATCGCACCATAATCTTTATTCTGAAAGTGCTGTAAATGCACGCGTACATGTATGCACACGTCCCTTTATTGGCTTTGCATGTTTGCATAGATTTAGTCCGAGTGGGAATATGAAAGTTATTTATTTCTGGTGCGGTGTTCATGGATTCTATTATATCCATCTAAGAAAAGTTTCAAAACAGGATTAGTATGAAAAATAAGACTTTGCAAGTGTAATTAGCACAAGAGAATGTAATGAGCACATTTAGAGGTTTTAAAGCAAAAGGTCTGCATGTTGTCTAGCGACAGTTTGTTATAGTTCTGATATCTGATTTTTGCTGGGTGATGATAAGGTTGATATAGTTTGCAGCAGTTGAACCCCTATGCACAAGTACAGTCAATCTTGGTCTTCTCTCTATCCCAACCATAAGATCCTAAACAAAATACTGCTTAGTCCAGTAGTGTGTATATCCTCTTTTTGAGCCACAATTCTACTATGCATTATAAGTATGTAACTACAGTATTGTATTTTCAAATTCAAATGAAATGTCTTAAAGTGGATTTCTATGTTTTGTCAACAGTGTGAGTCACCTTCTGAGCCGAGAGACCCTCGGAGTACCAGCGTTCTAAAAGCTGTAAGGGATGGCATACTGATTCAAAGCTATGCTGGACAGCAGGTTAGTGTATTTATATCTTAATTGTATTTAGTGTAGTGTATTTATAGTGTATTTATATCTTGTTAAACATAAAACCTGAAATATTGTTCTTCAGTCATTGACTAGTATAGTTTTACGTTGTTACTTTGTATGTAATTTTGCCTGTTTGGTATGAAATATTCTGTTCAGCTGATTTGTGACTTGTGGTGACACAAGTTCATGACATATCTGTGTAGAGCCTGTTGTGAAGGACATTAATATCCCTGTCTCTCTCATTGTTTACATAACAATAGGCTTCACTTTGGTTTGAAAGTGAGGATGGGAGCTTTGCCTGATAAGGGCTGGCATCTGAAAACAGATGAGTGTGTTTTGTTCAGATTTGTTGGCACATTTCAAAAACATTTCTGGCAATAGTTTAGGTGTCTTGTAATTAAATTTTACTGCTATTAGGACATTTGCTTTGTTACTGGGTTGATCTCTGATCCCAAGAGCTTTCCTGCCTCAGACAAGACAGAACTCATCCCACTTGTCAATTGGGTCCAGATCAAAATTGCTCAATAAACTGTTTGTCTGGATAAGCAAATTAATCCTGCCTATGAGAAATATTCATATTGTTGGAAACTGCATTGGAATCTTGATTCAACGAACCTCGATTCAGCAAAATATCTGGTTGGAACACTCGCTTTCCATGCCAGATTTACTCACCCGATTTGATGAACAAGAGTTCATTGAAGCATGGGGATATATGGATTTGCTTAGGATGTTGGGATCAAGTTCATAGATGGAGGCAACATTACAAAAAATAGTTGGGCCTTGGGGAAAGCCACTGAGCATATTTAAAACTAAATTCAATTTTTTTTTTTTTTCCAGTTGCAAAGGTTATGTTCAATAAAATATGGGCCCCTTCTTGCTTTGAAAATGAGGCTTCAAGGCTTGGGAGTGGGAAATATGCTAGATGTGGTTAAATCTTTTTACAAACAGGTTCTCTTTTTTGTTGCCCTTCATATGACAGGTTGAAATTACAATTTAGCTCGGTGAAATTAGCCCATAGAACAATGGAAATTTTAGGTATGAATGGTAACTATTAATATTGCTCCAATCATGTTTTCAATGATTTTCATAGATTGTTCAACATTACGAAAATTAGTGTGGGGCCTTGGGAAAGCCATCGAGCACATTCAAAACCAAATTCTATGGTTCATTATAATTTTGTGGTTCTCCAGTTTTCATTCACTAATAGGGGTTCTTTTTCCTTTGAAAGTGAGATTTCAAGACTAAAGTTTAAGAAATTTGCCCGGTGTAATTAAATCTCTTTACAGACAGGTTCTGTTGATAGTTATCCTTCATATGACAGGTTGAAATTAAAATTTTGCTTGGTGAAATCAGCCCTTAGTGTGTTGGAAATATTTAGGTAGGAATGGTAACTCTCTTAATATGGTTTCAATCATGGTTTTGATGATTTTTGTAGATGAACTCAGCATTACAAAAAACAGTTGATACCTTGGGAAAGCTATTGAAGATATTTAAAACCAAATTCTATGGTTTGTTTTCATTCTGAGTTAGCAAGGTTTTGGTTCACTCAGATATGGTCCTACTACCTTTTCAAAATTAGTTTTAAGGCTGAGAAATAAGCTAGATGTGGTTAAAGAAAAAATTACCGACATTTATTTCATAGTTGTATATTATATTACAAGTTGAAACTAAAATTTTGCTAAGTGAAATCAGCCCATAGGGCATGGGAAATGCATCCTGAAAGCATCTCAGGTTGGAACAAATTGAGATTGGCCTCATATAGTTCGTTGAATTGAAATTGTACTGTACATCACAATATTTTTATGTGAACCCTTGCAGCCAAAAACATGAATTCAGAAGTATGTGCTTATTATCTTTAGCAACAAGGCTTCATTTGAGTGAAGTAAATTCACAAATGCATGTATCATATCAGTGCAAGTGTTTGTATGAGGCGATAAGTTGTTTTTGATAGGCCGCATACAGCATAGCACCGTTGTCTGCTGCACAAACCTTCGTCACGCAAATTTCTTGATTTCCATTACTGTTTCTCACTGCATCCTGTCCAAAATGGGTTCCAAGAAGCCACCACGAACAATGCGGTAAGAAACAAGAAACTACAGGTGTATAGATACTGCAGTACAGTATTATCCATTACTCTGATACTGATAATATTTTTTAGGTGTTAGAACTTAACACTGCTTCTCATGGTTTTGGGTTTGTAAATAATGACATAGTAGATTAATACAGTAATTCTAATAATAAGTATAACACCCTGTACAACTATTCCTGCAGAGTTCATTAAATATAACTATGGCTCGGTGTTTAATTTGTCTTTGTTCCTTTTGTTTGAGTACCATCCATTCCATTACTGTTCTTGTCTACCCTTTTGGTTTCCCTGTTAATTTGATGCTGTATGTTGTAATTATATCCCCTAACACTTGTGCCTTCCAGTAACTTAATCAATAATTAAGGATTACCTTAATCCTTGATTAAATCTTCTTGTGATTATGCAATCAAAGATTACCATAATTCCTTTAATCTTAGCTCATAACATATCACTCTGGGCTCTGGTACTATCATACTGATATATCCCTGGACTGTCTCTAACCTCATTTAGTGTTTTAAGAACCTCCATGCTGGTACTGCATATTCCAAAAGTGATCTAACCTATGTGGTGTAAAGAGTCTTAAAGATCTCTGAATTAAGGTCTCTAAAGGCAGTTCTCTATGTTGGCCAAACCTGCGTGACACAGGTAATGATAACCTATATGGTGTTGGCCTGCGGAGACAGTTTCGATGTGATATCAACCCTTCACATTCCCTGTTGTCAGTACCAATCTTCATTACTTTGCATATGCCTAAGTTTAACTCTAGTAGTAAATTTTTGGACAATGCTTTCAGTTTGTCGAAACTGGCATATGGTTTCCTGCGGTCTTTCATATGTATCCTCCTCGTAATTTTTGTTGGCAAACATTTAGAAATAAGAACATAATCCACAAGAAATAAAAACATTATTTTTTGTGGATGATCATTTCCATAATTTAGGAATTATAGGACCTGGCAGTTACCCCTGCAAAACTCTGCTGATAACATCTCACTGTGTCTCTTTTGCTTAGGTACTCCCTTATCACAATCCAAAAATATGCATTCTTCCCACTTTCTTCTGTCATTTCTGGTCACTGTTGCCCAGTCATAGAATTTTATCGAGTTTGTGAGGCAAGATTTTCAGTCCCTAAACCTATGTTGATATTTTATTCATGTTCGTCATGTTCTTTTATGATCCTTTCCATTATCTTGCATAATATGTATGCAATAGAAACCGATCCATTTTTTAGTGTTGTTTGTCTGTTTCTAACTTTCTGCTAGTTCACTTGTGTCCAGTGTGTTGTTAAATATTTTAGAAACTAGAAAGAGCCCAGCATAATGCTTTAGCTACCTCTCTCAGTATCCATAATGAGCTCCCATCTGGTCCCACAACCTTAGCCGTGTCCAATTCCAGCAGGTGTCTCCTTACTTAATCTCTTGATAATCTCATAGTCCACCAATACGGCTTCAGTTAGCACCATCCCACTCGGCTCTGACACTTCCCCTTGCTATATTTGTGAAATCTTTTTAGGAATCTGCAGTCAAGTTTTTTACACATTTTCTTATCTTTTCTGTAAATGTTCCCAATCTTATCCTGAGTTTCATCCTTCAATATGCGTGCCTTTTGCCCTCTCATCCTTTTCTTGAACCAGTCATTCCTACCTCCACCAGATTCTCAAATGCTAGCACACAGACTGCTTACTCTAAAAGGGGGCTTATCTTATTTTCATTATATGATTCATATAGAGCAAATTTCAGCATAAGTTTGGTTGGTACATAAATATTCCTCATTCTTATGGTCTTGCAGGCAGGCAGGATGACATGCTGTAGATAAATTATCATGGAAAGGTTCAGGGATATGCAACCCAGTCACCTGTTGTTACTTCAACACTTGTGATTACTACAGCATCATGGCTAGCATGATGTCACTTAGCAACTCCTGCAGCTTGATTTCATGTGAGAGCCCAGAAGAAATGATAAAGTTGCCACTTCTCCACTTACTGGTCTGGCACCATTTCTGTGGACGAGTTAATTTGGATTGGTGGTACCGCCGTCGACTAAACAAGAAGACTAGGTTTTGGAGGTGCTCATGCATGTGGTAGGCATGGGAGAGAGGCCAGAGGCCAGACTGAACATTAACAAATGGAGTTTTCGGGCAATGGGAGTTTAGAATGTGGGATGGCCTCTCAAGTGTAGAAATAACATAACATTTCATGTAACTGGAGTGTTGGGGTGGCATACTCTCAACCAGCAAGAACAAGGCAAGAAACCTACCACTGTACCACACTGCCCATAAAGAGGAAGGCAAAGGACAGTGATTGTTTCCCTGTTCCTGCTGCTGTTCAGGTTGTTCCAAAATACTACCAAGGTGCCGTTATACTCAATGCTTTACATTATGTTTTTGTTTAAGTTTCATAGTTCATTGAGATGTTTTGTTCTTGATAAATTTTGTACAGGGCTATAAAGTTAAATTGGTATTTTGTAATATGAAATAAAAACCATTGCCTTGGAAAGCATCCTATTTTCCCCATCAGGCTAATTTGATACAGTGCTGTTTCCAGGAATGCATCCCCTCAGTGAACTGGAACACCACCATAAATTAATGCTGAATCAAGGTTTGAGATCCTTCTTATCTGGTGCATTTTGGGAGGGGAAGGGTCTTTAGACCTTAGCACTCCATAAACCCCATTCCATATTCCCAAGGCCTGGCATGCAATTGTGGATCTGATGCATTTAGGAGAAGGGGGTCACTTCTTTATTCCAAAGTGGAATAACCGTCCTATGCAACTCTGTATTCATGCATATAACATTTCAGAGTTTCAAGACTGTTGTGTAAGTGTGAGTGGTGGAGGAGGTTCTATCAGTCTCATGCTGATATGGGGGGGGGGGGGGGAGTCTTAGGACCTTTGCACTCCATAAACCCCAGTCCAGGTTTCCAAGGCCTGGCATGCAGTTGTAAATGATGGCTACCAAGTGTTGTAGCTTCATGACAAAACTTTTCATCATCTTTAATCATACTAGTATACACTGGCTTGATTGTCTGGATATAAATGATCCCTCTCCAGTTGTTAATTTTGTTACTTTTACTTTCAGGAAACTTACAGATGTATTGTGTGCAGTAGGTGTATGTCAGGAGCCGTACCTGCACAAAGCCATGTTGAAGGATTTCCACATGCTAAAGCTTTGCGAAGTTATAGGAATGGCTCGGATCTTCTTCCCCCTGTGAGAGCACCAAAATATTCATATGATAATGCAGACAATTATTCTAACTGGTCAGACCCGGATGGCTATGAACTTCCTACTTCTTTTGGGCGGAAACGGAACTATGGATCGATGCAGTCATCAAAATCTAAATCTCGATTTAAAGCTGGTTAGTTTTAATATATGGTACAGTCTATTACTTAGCGCGTTGCTTTAAAGAATATGATTGATTATGCTTTCAAGCTGTCTGATCCTATTACTGTACATACTGTGTACACCTGTACGTACTGTACATCTGCTCTTCCTTTTTTTTCACTTCTTTCTGTAAGTATGCTATATCAGTATTGGGTACTGTAGTATGTTTCATGTAATTCATAAAAGTTATATTACATAGCTGTTTAATATATCATCTAATTATATGAGAGAACAGCTTTGTTCGTTGTTTCTACCAAAATTATATACTTACTGTACATAAAATGGGCGAAATAATATTTGGCCCATTTTTATGACTTTTTATGATCCATGACTTTTTTTATATATATATAAAGACTTCAATCACTTATGGCCATGAGCTTTTGTACTTTTGGTGTCCTGGCCATAGTTTGAGAAATTATTTCTTCCTCCTAGTTTATAGATTTAAAAAAAATTAGAATGATATTTCAGTAACTACTCAAGATAATGTTATCAGTCATTAATGAGTAACAAATATCTCCGGAGTGTCTAAGGTGTAGCTTAAGACTAAATTGAAATCAGTGTTGGGAACTTTTATTACAGTATATTATTACTGTTGCATGTGCTTGAAATATATTTAGAAACATGCTATAATAGTTTTAAAGTAAAATAAGTTTTAATTTTGCATATTTGTTTACATGTTTCTTGAGATGTCTCCATGTTTCTTGCAAAAATAAATGTGAAATGTTGGTTTTCCTTTTAATGTATGTCACCTATTTTACCTTTACAGACCCTGTTCAAACTGCCATGAAGCATGGCATAGTATTAGAAGAGAAAATGGGAGGGCAGACTTTTTTGGCTTGCAACGTGTGTCAGATTAAATGTACAGGTGAAACTTCAATGCATCAGCATCTTCAAGGAGAGCCCCACTGTAAGAAACAGAAGTAAGTACATCGTATATCAAAGTAATCATTTTGCCAAGATGAGAGAATTTAAGGTTACTTCAGAGAAGTATGTGAAATTTAATCAAGTGATGTCTAATAGGAAAATTCTTATTAAGTAATGAGTTCTTTGAAAGGTTGAAGTGCTTTGTTTAGGTAAAAGATGCTAGAACAAAATGGATAAAATATTTTGTAACTGTATTTAAAAGCTCCACAGCCCATCACTACATGGAGAGTGGGGGGGTCGTATCTTCTCAAATTCTTCCCTGTAAGTCAAAATCATCACATGGATTCGAGGGGCACTTGATTATTGCACTTGCTGACAATAAATGACAATTGATCATTGTCATACTAGCTTTTGACGTGAATTATGGTTGTTCCCACTACCTCTGGTTTAAGCTCATTTCAGTGTTGCATGATTGTAAAAAATCTAGGTTTAAATTTGAAATAAGTTAATTTTTTGAGGGAGCTGATATTTTTAAGTTGGGAATTAGGCTTGGGAATTAGGCTTGAGCTGGATACGAGAACCAATGTTATTTAAGGAGATGTGTTAGATTAATGAACAAAACTTGTCATGGAAAGATTCAGACTCCAAAAATCGGTAAACCCTAAAATGAGATAGTGTTTTCATGAATGAATGCCTCTTTGATTGAGGCATTTTTTCCAATTTTTATCCCCATTTTCTATACTCAGAATCAAAACCTTTATTCATAAATGGTTGTACATCTATAATTAGGTTAGTTTACATAAAATTACAGTATTTTAATTACACATGTCACAATAACAGCAACAAGATCATGATGATGGTTTTGTGAAACTATATTACTTGCTAACAAAAGTGACTTTCCATAGGAGAATGGAAATGGACCAGGACATTGCCGGAGGCAACAAATCAGATGATAAATCCTCCTCTTCAGCCACTGCAGTGAAGCCCAGACCCCATAAATATGATGATGACGATTCATCTGCAAGTTAGTTACCATCACATGTGTATGCCCAACAACTTGGAATGGACAGTAAGGCGACAGTCTTGCAAGTCGGCATTCGATCCCCAGCCATTCAAGTGGTTGGGCACTTTTCCTTTCCTTCATCCTGTCCCAAATCCTTGTCCTTACCTATTATCTATCGCATGAGTAGCTCAGGTAGTTCCTTGTACTTTTCAGGTACTTTGACCAGAGCATCACAAAAAAATATTGCAAACAGATTATTTAAATTAAGTGTGAAGGTTCCATAAGCAACATGAAAAATGTTATACATTTTGAAATTTTGCAAAATTGGTTATAAAAGTTACATTACTCTAGGCTTGCTATTTGGTAAAATGCCAAAACAGTTAATTAAACATGTACATCTTTGCTTTCAGGCTTGTTAGACTATGCTATTGAGGATGGAACAGTAATACTAACGGAAGGGAGTACCTTGTATTTGACTTGCACAGTTTGTCGATCTTCTTGCAGTGGAGAAGCCCCCATGATACAGCACCTCCAAGGGAATAATCATCAGAAAAAATTGAGGTAAGTAAATTTAAAAACAAATGTGGCAGTAAGTGGCAGCCTTTTTATTTTATTTTATTTTTCTTCATTATGTTGTGATTTAGGCCAGAGGCAAATTACTGGAATGGAACCGGCTAGGCTGTTGAAGGGAAGTAAATTTTGCATTATCAAAAATTATATATTATTAAATCTGTGATCATCATCTGGGTCATATTGTGGTCCTCCTACAAATATGCAAAATGTTATCCAACAAAAAAGTGTCCATTATCTTATGTTGCTTCCAGATTGTGTCCAAACTGAAATCCTCCTGTTGTATTTGGACTGGGTTTTATTAGAGAAGGCCTTTAAAAAATGAAATAAATTATAGAACACTTTTCAAGTGCATATTTTAATACAAAAACACGTGAGAAAGGTAAATGTTTATTGTAGCAGTAATATGTTGATTAATGTGTTTATGGTTTTTGACACTTTATTTTTGTTCAGTGTTGTTCACATCAACTCTTCACCTCACCTGAAGTCTTCCTTCCCTAAACAAAAAATAATAATAAGCTGGTAGTTGGCATAGCACTGAGCTCTCATCACTTGTCCTGTGATCAGGACAATTACTGGTATTACATACAAGGACAGATATGCAATTTTTATGCTAAAGGACCTTCCCGTCATATTTTGATCTCCAAGCTGGATCATTTAAACGTGAGCATTCTATTAAACTTTGACCCCTATCAGGGCTCCCTTCCCCACTCTCCTTCCCTCCACAAGCCGCACTAAAAAAAATTCCTCAATCTGATGGCAATTGAGAAAGGTTCTTGTGCCAATTTCATGCATTAATTATCGGGAAGTTAAACAAAGAATGGCCTTGATAAACTGCCCTATTTTCATTTGATGGTATTTTTGCCAAATATAATTGGCCCCTACAATTGTTACCATTATACAATGTTTGATTTTAATGAAAATTTGCATGGTTTTTCATTTGCTAAAGCAACGGTTGTCAAACACTGACTCTTGGACAGAATTTAATTTTATTTCGGTGTTCAATATATCGATTTAAACAAAATATTCAATGTTTTACAATACTTAAAATATTTTAGTTGCATTTAATACTTAAAGCATAACTTTCCATTGCAATTTCAAAGATGGAGATCCCACACATTAATGCTTTTCCTTCACAGTACTGCACTGCATTCAGAACTAACAGAAAATTGTCCCTTCCTGCATCATGAAAGTCGCAATGGTTGCATTGTTGTTTATTTGCAGAACACCCTGGCAGATGTGATGTGCTTTAATCACCCTCAGTGCACTGCTCCCAGGGAAGAGGAAGACTGCCCATGTACCTGGTGGCATTGCAGTGGTTGCACCATCATCCCTTCTCACAGGAAGACCAACAGCTTATCTGCACGTGCTTAGGTAGGCGGGTAAAATACAGTAAAAACAGGATGACAAAGATATTGTACGATAAACTGTGAGAGAACCAAGTATTAACAGTACTGTAAACATGCCCAAATAAAATGGTGTGCAAAAGTTACAGAAGAACTAATATGGGTAGCAAAAAAATTAAATAAAAATCCTTTGATTTGCTTGCCAATTTTGACTAAAAGCAAAGCGTGCAGTGTGACAGGACAGGCATCTGCAATCAAGATTTTGCTCCACCTAGAAGTTCTCCCTCAGATCTGCGGAGTGTGTCTAGATTATCCTTTCCCCAGAAAGGATTGAAATATAGTAAAAGTGCCTGTGTTGTTGAGTAGAATGATGGATAATTAGAGGAATAATTTCAGTTCAATCTGTTAAATATGAAGAAATTGTATTCAAGCTTATTTGCACATTTTTGTTGTTGTATCACTATGTACCTTTTGTGTATGCATTAGAAACTACAGTATAAATTAAATTTGTGCCTGCCGTTAAGTATTTGGATATATTTCTTATGTTAATTAAGGTTTGGAATGTAAACTTTTGTAAAGGATAATGTTTTTTTAAGCAAGGCATGAATACATTTTGTTTTACTAAAAGTATCCAATACTAAATGTAATTTAAATTAGTATCTGTACTTCCCATAATTAAAACAAAAAATATATATTATATATTTTATTGACCTTATTAGAAAAATTGATGGCTTTAATACAATTGTCTTTCCTTGGAAAAATAATTTAACTTCTTCCCCCACACATTAGGGTGTGCCTTGTAAATACAAGGCGCACCCTTTAAATGTTTAGAATACTGTACAAAATGTAACATTGTTTTGTTAATGTAGTTACTTCTGAATGCAACTCCAGTTAGTAGTATGTAGGTGGAAGAGACCACAATTGGTGAATAACGAAGTGTTGCTAAACGGGTTTATCACCATCTTCGAATTGTCCATATGTTAATCATGAGTTTTTACTCTACCCAATCTGGGGCTAGTCTCTAGGCAATTGCCAGAGTCCATGTAGACATTGGCATTGTGGGCCTACAAATATAATCACAAACTGGGCTGATCCAGTAACTCCAGCAGAAAAGTGTTTGTTACAAGCAAGAGGTATAGGGATCCTGGTGTAGGATGTTCACCCCTTTTGTACCCAGCAGTGTGTGTCCAAATTTTCAAGTGCTGTATGGGCACTAGGCCAACAGAGACCTCTGATGGCAGCTATCAAAAATACATTAGCCAATTTGATTACCATTAATCCAGTTGGCAAGGTGCTCACTGATGGTGACCACTGCATGAACCTAATTGAATTTTTTCACTCAAGACAAAGCAAATATTCACCTGCAGCTTGACAGCTTTCAAGGCAGGTGACTGTATTAATATACAGCAGGGCAGTCTCCAGGGCCGGTGCTATATATAATTTGTGTAAAAGTAGTGAATAAAAAAAAGACTAGAAATTTGGATATTTATTCAATTTCAAGCTCTTAATACATTACAGGAATCTATGAACATTTTTCACATACAGTACCGTACAGTGTACTCCATCTGTTAAGATTAAATTACAAAGATTTAATAATTCCCAACAATTTAAGGATTTTTCATTAAAAATGCAACTTTTATTTTCCGAATACCTCTACCATGGTTCTGATGAGTTCAAAGGTGCGGTCGTTACATTTGCCACGAAAGTCATCCGAGTCTATGGTCCACACCATGTTGCCAGCCAGGTTGAGACTCTTGGCATAGTCAGCCTGCAACATACATTTGTAACGTTAACTCAAGATCTCGACAAGTCTGTACTTACAGAGGTACTCTTGTAAGTTCATGGTTAACTAATTTTTTTAAACAATAATGCTACTGTAGTATTAGTGATCACAAACTTAAACTGCAGATGGTCTATTGGTTCTGTGGTAAACTTTGTTTGTTTCTGGGAAAAGCTGCCATGTGGCTCCCTGAAGCTATCTCGCCGAGATGATTCTTAACTACAGTACTAGATCACATTAGCTGTGAAGTTCAATTCAGCCTACCGGGGACCAGAGCCAGAACCTGGCCTCCTCAGAGGTGCAGGAAGCAGGTGACACTGCCACCTCACCAGGGAAGGCATCCAGAAAGTCGGCAAACCAATACAGACAACTGCTAGGTTAGAGAGACGAGACTCTCAACCTGACGAATGATGTTCCCTCAACGATGTAAAAAAAATTATAAAATCTCTCAAATCAAACGTGTGCTTATTCACCCCACCCCTCCCACTCGTTTGGGGAAGGAGGGGAGCTGGGGCTCATGCTGTTCACTGGCTTGAGCAGTCACTTCTTTTGTTGATGCAGTGTGCACAACTCGTCTGCAGTAGGGGCTCCTGGATCGTCAGCAAGCCATAGCTTAAAAGCAACGGGGCAAGCCAAGGGCCTCTTTGGACTTTGTCCTGTGTGGCTTAGGTTTGTACACTGGTGTAGAGTGGGCCTGGCTGCCAACAATGCTACAATGGAGGGCATTTTGTTCGTCTGCAACCGACTGCTCCTTTTCTGGTAATGGATTAGCCGGGAACTCTAAAATCCCTTGGCATCATAATCGTAACGTTTAATGACGGATGCCTACTGAGGCACTCTGCCAGATTCATAAATGCAAGCACCTAGAATTTTGTTCCGAGCCATATATACAGTACCTTGAGAAAAGATGTAGCTTACATCTGAAAATTGGTTTTTAATACACTTAAACAAATTCAGTCTTTCCTTCACCATCATTTAAGCATTTTATTGCAGTAAGTTTTCCATTAAAACCTTCCATTATAATAATTATAAGTAATTTAACTAATTATTAATAATTATATCCTGGACGAGGGCCTCTTTCAGTTGCCCCATCTCTAGGTTTGCTATCTTGGCTTGAGCCTCCAGTAGCAGAAGTCATACTGATTAGACCAATGTGATCTCTCAAGATCAGCGGTCGCCAACCAGTGGTCCGCGAGACCATTTTATTTGTGTATTGCATGTAACTGCATTTTCTTGAACCAATATATTAAATGGCATCAAATAGTTTGACTTTAATAAATATCATTTCTTGTTTGGTGGACCGCATGATTTCAAATTATGAATTTGGTGATCCCCAAGCTCTGAAAGGTTGACAAGCTCTGCAATAAAATGGCATACTAATTAGAGCATCCTTAAAGAATCTTAAATGCAGAGAAGGTTCATGGTATTAATTGCATACTACACGAGCCTCAAGAATAAAAGCTTGCATAGAAGTAGATTGATTGATGAAGATTAAGCCACCCAAAAGGTGGCACGGGCATGAATAGCCCGTAAGTGGTGGCCCTTTTGAGCCATTACCAGTATCAAGAGCTGATACTGGAGATCTGTGGAGGTGCGACTGCACCCTGCGTGACGGGAGATGTCTCCCGTGATAGAAGTAGAGTTTAGGATATTCTTGCTCACCAGTCACCATAGCCCAAAACGGGAAAAGCCTTTTGTTAGGTATAATTACGTATACCGATTGTCCCAGGACTAACAAACATAGAAAAGGTACCATTAGAGAGTGTGATAGCATCCTAGAACTGCATCCTAGACCCTTCAACACCTGCTCGACTCTATACAGGACTGACCAGCTTATTAACGTGCCGGGGCAATAGCAAACCTTTCATCTTTTACCTATACACCACCAAAGAACAGAGTTATGCCTAATAAGCCACAGTTCCTGTAGACAACCTCAATATAAATACTTTAGTATATAGGTCACCATGCATGGTACATACATGGTAGTATATGATTGTTGACAACATTGTCTATTCCCTATACTGAACCTGGTTCAGCTGTTCTGTTGATCATGAAACTAAAGTCCCTTCTAACATAACAAGGAAATGTTCTTGGGAGAGATGCACTTTGTAATGATAATGTGTCCATATCCACTAGACAGTGACAGCAGTGACCTGACAGCAGTGTTAGTACTGAAACCATCTCGCCTTGATACTGCCAGGTGTGTTTGTCACGAGCACCGGAGACTTATGGTAAGAAAAAATCATCTACCTTGATAGTAACAGAAGCTTTGTTATTGTATCTGAAATCCCCCTTACCTTGATACCGACAGAGGTGTGGTTTTCGTAGGAGCACCAGAGACTGTCACGATAAGTGTAAGGCTCCTTCATGCCATCAGCCGTTTTTATCACCCACCTCCCTGGTTCCGTATTCTGCCCATAGCAGACCTGAGATGGAAACCTACTTTTAGAATTGGTTGTTTGGCAAAAATTTAATTTTTTCTGACATGAAGAGAAAACTAAATTATGATTAACATTTGCTCTATATAAATTAACTAATGCTATAAATTTTTCATTTAACTACTATAGCTTGCCGTTGCCAAATTTCTTGCTAGAATTAGATCTTATGTATTTCCCTAGATAATTATTAGATGGCATTAAATGTGATCAATTATCTACCTCATAATAGGCCAATGTGCCCTCTGACTCGGTCCATGGCCCTGGTTGACCGGGATTGCTGGCAGGAGAGTAGTAATCAGTCTGGGTAGGGACATCCAGGGTCCAGCAAGTGGCATAGAGGGGCACACCCATTGCGATCTTGGTGCTCGGCATCCCTCCCTCTATCCAGTAGTGGATGGCAAAGTCCTATAACAATAAAAATGACGAGAATTGGTAATTGGCTGCATGTTGCAATAGGAAATGGAGGGAATCATAAATATACAACTTCTGGGTTGAAATATTCTTTTAACAAAATCTACAAAATATGAGGTTTATTTTTCAGTATATTATAAATATTTCTCTTTGTAGATTTTCCCCTTTTAATTCAATGTTGTGCATGAGAGGTCATCTAGGTGAACAACAGTGTACTGTAGTAATGGCAATTTTTCAGTAACTATCACATTCATAAACACTTGTCGTGTTCACACACTACTGGACTGAGGCACTATTTACCCTCTACCCACGCACACTTTAATGTAGCCAACAGGTTTCATTACTGCTGATGCCTTTGCTCTTTTTAATTGATTTTAACCCTTGGGGCATCATCTTCAGTGGCCTCAATGGGGGACAGGAAGCTATCAGCTTGTCAAAGCTTCCTCTATTGTTCAAGGATTTTTCTAATTGAATTTTCATTTGTTTTCTAGTTCAATTTTCAAGTGTCTTGGCATTTATGGTTTCAGCAAGTAGGCGTTTCCATGGGTTTATAATCCAATTTGGGAAAAAAGCATCATGTTTTCTGTTCTTCATTGTGGCTTTTTTGAGCATGAATCTGATGCCCTTAAGCATTACCTTTGTCGTTTTAAGGAAATAGTCTAGAGTAACATGCAAATGAAATTAATAAATTGATTTTAATTTGTAGAAAGATATTTTCATACTGTAATTTACCAAATGGAATAAAATTATTAATGAGAAAAATCAGTAGGAGCCACAAGGAGGATTTAAACATATGCACTGGGTACTCCCAGGCAAATGCTCTTGAACACTACACCGCAACCTGGGATTCAACCCAATCCTCTAGGATTTCCGAAGCTTTAACCTCAGGAATATTTCCATTGTGTTGTCTGGATGTGCCAGTTATATTTCCATTATGTGATTCAGTTGATTTCATCTTGAAATTTACAAGTCAAATTGTCTCATGCAGCACTAGTAATGAATTGTGATATTGTCTGCATACCATATTATCAGTTGGTTAGTAATGCATGGGGCCAGGGATGTGTGTGTATAGTGTTTAGTGCCAGAGCTAGGACATAGTCTTGAGGGACTCCGGTGTGTTGATTGACGAAATCAGTGTTTCTGAAGGAATTTTATTTGCAATGTTCTTTTGTCAAGATGGTGAAAAAATGTTTCTCAGCTACTGGCAGAAGATGGAAGTTGTTAAATAGTTTGTACTTGAATCTGTCGTGCCAAACTGTGGCATAGGCTTTTTCAGTGTCTTTTGCATCAATTGTTGTTTTGAGGCATTGGTTTTGGTTTATGTGAATGTAATGAGTTGGTCATAATGTAGAGGGTGTCTTGTGTAGATTGATATGGCCTGAAACCAAACTGTCTGCAGTCAAGGGATCATAGTTTTCTAGATGTCAGAGTCTGTGGTTTATTAGTCTTGTGTATATCTTCCCCTCATGTCTAGCAGGCTGATTGGTCTGTAGTTTTTAGGGTCAGTATTTGGTTTTCCAGATTTGAGAAGGAGAATGGCTGTGGCAGTTTTGCAGAAAATGGGGGAAAAGGGCAAGGCGAGAGAAGCATTATACAGGTCATTGAGAGCAGCGATTAGAGAATCAGGGAGTTGTCCGAGATGAGTTTGGCCTATTTCTGATGCTCCTTGAGCTATACATGGTGTACTCATGTAGTCGGCTTCACTTTGGCTGTAGTCAGTGGGGTGGCTAGTTGTGAGTCTGGGTTTAATATGTCTAGTTTGATTATGGCGTCAGGTGTTTGTCATTTTTGGTGTATTTATATTTCAACCGAGTGTATATGTTTGGAAGTACTAACTGGTGAGGAGGGCGTGGGTAATAGATATTCTGCCCAAGAGGTTTAAAAATACGTATGATTTCAAAAGGATCTGCAATGCTGTGATTGTTGTGTGTGACGTGTTTAAATGTTGGGAAGGTAATGAATGATGTTATGAATGCCCAGAACTCTCTTTGGGATTATTTTCCTGTGTGATTGCTTTCTTTATAAGGTGTTTCCAGTGATTTGTGTGGTCGTCATCAAGGCTGTTTAATACAGTATGTGGTTGTGTAGTGTTGCAAGGTCTCACAGTACTAGGAGATATCTGCCCAGATACTGTCTAATAGTATCTGAGAGATACTGTGTGAGAAGTGCACAATATCTGTGTGAACTCTGTATAAACCTAGCACATGAGGCGGCATTTTGAACACAGGAGGTAAATGTGTAGCGTTTTGTGAGAGTAGTTTCAGGTATTGATGCCTCTGCAGCTCGTATTATTGTTTTTTTTTTCATGGAATTCTTGGGAATATGTTGTAGATGTTATTAATGGTATGTGGGGTTCCTGTAAACATGGAATTCTTGGGGATAATTTACGTAGCTGGTACATGCTTTTTTAATAAATAAACGTAAAACTGGCCCAATGTATTCATGGGGCCCAACACATATTTAGCCTTGCAAATTGGTAACAAAAGTATACATAACAGCACTCCATAACTTACGGTATTTTGGAAGATATTGTCGTCACCGGAGTATGCGTAGAGCCCCGAGGCATGGTGAACGTAGTTATTCCAAGTACCATAGAAGTCATAGGTCATAATGTTGGCTATGTCCAGGTGCTCGGCAATGCCCGGAATGTCATAGGAAATGTCAATCGTATCCTTAGCCGAGGTCAAGGCTGCTGTCAGGATCATGTTGTTGGCATGCAGGGCATCACGAAATTCACTCAGCATGGTCACAAAGTTTTCCTGCACACAAAGTATGTTATTAACAGACCACACTGGTAGCAGATTAGATTACAGTACAGTACTATTATTCTAATGTAAAGTTTCATTGTCATAATATTCAGTGCATCTTGACATTCACACTAGATACTTTAGGGATCCCGGGTTCAATTCCTGGGCAGAACAGAAATGATTGGGCACATTTTGTTTTAGCCAATGCCTTTGTTCACTTAGCAGTAAATAGGTACCTGGAAGTTAGACAACTGTCGTGAAGTTGCGTCCTTGGGAGTTTCAACAGTTCGACCTTGGAAGAACCGCGATAGAAACGCAACATCATATATATATAGATATATATACACATATACTGTACATACTTACATATATATACACACACATAAAAGCTTCCTTTTCCCAAAAAACGAATTAAATTTAAGCTGGAAATCCAGGTAATCCAGAGAATCATAAAGAGCACAATGCTCATTCTGTATGGGTGGTAAATAAGCTCACAATGATGACTTAAGCATGTCTACTGCTGTTTTCAGTGGACTTGACTACAAATATGCTGTATCAGACATACGATTGTTTATTATACAACACAGCCTGATCAACCAGGTTGTGATTCATATCAGGCTGTGAGCAGTCACATCCAACAGTCTGGCTGACCAGACCACCACCCAGGAGGCCTGATCAGAGACTGGGCTGTGGAGACATTTATCCTAGGATACATTGCAAGGTAACTGCAAAGTAAGGTGCACCAATACCTCACGAGTTCACTTGTTTCATGTAGCGAGTGCTCCTTATTCAGAGGATTTTCAATTAGTGACCCATATCTGCAATAAACATGTGTCTTGACCCAGAGTACATCCAAGATGCATCAGCCTTCCATCATATTGAAATCTGCCCTACATGCAGATGGGATCTTTGACAAGCCACTGGCTTCCCATCCTTATTGAGGCCACTAGAGATGATGGCCCCTCAGGTAAATTCAGGTAAAATTTGCAGCAAGCTGACAGACACAGCTTGCATGATCTGAACCATAGAATCATGAATGATTGGCACACTAAACATTAAAGTCAACAAATGTCAATATAATTCCCATTGTTGGTGACAGGAAGCTTATACTGTATTGTATTTATTAATTTTAAGTACGTAAATTCTAGCAGAATTAATAAAATAACAGATACATTGCAAGAAAAAAATGAGATGAGGGAGATTAGTAAATATATTAAAGCACTTTTAGTATATTAAAGCTCTGACTGATTACATTGACAACTTGATTGGTAATTTAAACAGGTTTAATAGACACCCTACAGCAGATTGATAGCACGCATAAGAAGACAGCAATGATCACAATGGTAAAGATGTTCGGATTGGGTACATAAAGATTGGGAGATTGAGTAGCAATAGATCCAGTGCAATTTTAAAGCAAAAGGTGAAAAACTATGAAGATTAAATTAGGTACTTTTTAGTTTTGTTTTTGAATGACACAAAAGTTGGACAGCTTTTCAATTCATTAGGGAGTGAGTTCCATAGACTGGATCCCTTTATTTGCATAGAGTGTTTACACAGATTAAGTTTGACTCTGGGGATATCAAAGTGCTATTTATTTCTGGTGTGGCGATAATGGGTCCTATTACATCTGTCCAGGGAGAGTTTCAGAGCAGGATTTGCATTTAAGAACAGGGTTTTGTAAATGTAAATGACAAGAGAATTTGTGGAGTGAGATTATGTTTAGGGAGTTAAACAAGGGGGCTAAGTGTTGTCTGATAGCAGAATTTGTTATTATTCTGATAGCAGATTTTTGCTGGGTGATGATGAACTTGAGGTGGTTTGCAGTGGTTGAACCCCATGCACAGATACCATAATCAAGATAGGGATAGATTAGTCCATAATATAGAGAGATGCTGAGACTGTAGATGTAGAGAGATGAGATGAGAGATGTAGATGAGAGAGACTGTACTAATGCTTATCGAGCTTCCCCTCCCCTAGGTCAAATATTTACCTTCCTCAGCATGTATCGTACCACAATTACCTAATCCCCGTGTACCTATTTACTGCTTAGGTGAACAGGTGCATCAAGTGAAAGGATACATCACAATCAATTTTATGTCCCGCCCGGAAATCGAACCCAGGATACTCAATTGAGAGTCAAGGATGTGTGCTCAGCAGAGATACCCTTCTTTTGAGAGAGAGAGAGAGAGAGAGAGAGAGAGAGAGAGAGAGAGAGAGAGAGAGAGAGAGAGAGAGAGAGACAGAGAGACAGAGAGACAGAGAGAGAGAGAGAGAGAGAGAGAGAGAGAGAGAGAGAGAGAGAGAGAGAGAGAGAGAGAGAGAGAGAGAGAGAGAGAGAGAGAGAGAGAGAGTGAGTGAGTGTGTGTGTGTGTGTGTGAATGAATCTTTTTCATCATTCACCTGTATTACAAATTGTATGAAAATACTGTACCTAGTTAACTGTCATCGAATTAATAAATGCCAACGATGTACAGTATACGAAAGATTTTGACAATGTCCCTTAATTAAATATTAAAGCGTACATTGAAATTATATTTGCATATTTGCTATTATATAATTTATAATAGAAATTATATTTCTATTATATTTCATAGAAAACGTTGGTGAAGAAAGCTTAAGATGAAAAAGATTTTAAGTAAGTAGTAGTAGTGCATGCTTTGTGCTTTATTGCACAAAGCATGCACGATGAAGTATTCTGACAGGCATAGTTTACCTTGTCTTCAGGCACGCCGCCTCTCTGGGTAGGGTACTCCCAGTCGATATCTAGACCGTCGAAGCCATGCTCCTTGAGGAGTGCTATGGAGGTGTCGACGAACGTCTTCCTCAATGCTGGGTCGCCTGCCACCTGGGTACATGATGGGAAGATTATGGCAATTATAAGGAAACAAATACAAACATTAGTGGCAACTATTGTCATATTTGTTTTCAAGAAAGGAAACAAACTAGACTAATGCGCCTCTTACTGAAATGCGATTATTAAATATCGGTAAATTCTTTCTCCATAGAATTTTTACTAATCAATTGCGTGTCATTTCCTCATCCAAGCAGTTCTTGTTATTCTACCAGATTGTGAAATTATTTGCTTAATGCTTCTTTGGCATTCTTGACCAATCAGTACTTGCAAACATCCTATATTCATTTGTTCATTGATTTTTACTTCAAATATTACCAAGTCATTCTCGTCTACCAGTGCTCCATTTCACTTTGCAGCTTGTGATATATTATCCTTGTGAATTTTTACACAACTTTGTCTTGCACAGCAACGTGTGATCACACAGACAAAAGATCTCACAAGTTAGCACATTTTTCACTGAGCAGTCAAACTATTTTGCACAAATTCATAATTTACATGTGCCATGTGTAGACAATGAATCACAATGTGGTTGGGATTGCCAAACTACACATCAGAAGGGTGAGAAACAACGAAGTTTTGGTCTGTCTTGGACCATTATCAAGAAGTGCGTGCTTAATAATGGTCACGATGGACCGAAATGTCGTGGCTTCTACACTTTCTGGTGTGTGGTTTGGCCATCATGTGGATTGATAAGATTGATTGATAAAGATTAAGCCACCCAAGAGGTGGCACGGGCATGAAGAGCCCGTAAGTGGTGGCCCTTTTGAGCCATTACCAGTATCAATAGATACTGGAAATCTGTGGAAGTGCGACTGCACCCTGCGTGACGGGAGATGTCTCCCATGCATCATGTGGCATGTGTATCTATATATATATCCTAATGTATAAAATACATTAGAAATCCATCTAATGCTTAATTCCTTCAATCTACAATCATTATAATTTAATCCTGGGATGCCATTACCACCCATTAAGCCATTCTCCAGAATTTAATCCTACTACACCATTTATTTCACCTGTTGCAATTGCTTAACTCACTACTGTCATCACACCGATCTTATTCTCCAAGGCTTAAGCTAATCTGAATAAAGTCTTCCATTCTCACTTTCGTTTTACACGATGCATATTAAATATTAGCTTTTACTCCTAAAACTAATTTCATACACAAACATCTAATTAACACTTCAATAATTGAAGTTCTATTCTTCGTTTATAGGCACTCTACTCTCTTACATCAATAATTTTCTTTAACTTCAGTTCTCAGAACATTGTTCAGTCATTGAATTTGATCCGTCATACCATAAATCTAAAGTATCAAACTTTTCTCTTAATCTTCCGCTACTTTCAACTCCTGCTAATTTTTCATTTAAATTTTGCATTTGATTTGCGTTATCTCGGCAAGTGAGGGTTCCAGGTCTATTTAGGCTATTTCGACCTCCATAGAGGGGCGAGCTGTTCATTTCAGTTTCATTACAGAGCCTCTTCAGATAGTCTCAAAACCGAAATCTAATAGTCCTTAGGTGGAATCTTTGCCTACATTAAGCAAAACCATTTACGTGACATTGAACTACAACACCGCGTTCAAATACATTTTTCTACCGATGGATATCGTTGCTTTGCTTCTGTATGCCACAATTTATTTCCATTTCATTAATTCCTAGTTTTTATGCAACGGACCTACAATATATAGTGTGTTTATGAGAGCCGGGGACCATAGTGCGCAGTACACTCACCGTGGAGAACTTTTCCGAACCTTCATTCCAGCCCCCAACGCTCAGCAGTGTCAGCAATGAAGGATTTTGCTGCTTGAGGGCTGTGAACCTGTCGTAGGCGCAATCTCCGTCGTCCGCGCAAAGGTCATGGAACGGGTCGAGCACCTGAAAATGTAAACTTATATACTTATTGAATTTTCTAACCAATTATAGTTTACTCCTACCCAAGCCTAGAATAATAACCTGAATGTGTATCACAGTAGATGACAACTTAAAGAAGACAAATCTATTGAACCTTCATACAGAAGATACCAAACTTGTTCGTACCTGGATCTCCCCAGTGACGGCGATTCCAGCGAAGGCGTAGATAAGGTGAGTGCAGACGTTGGGATCAATGTCCTCCACATCAAACCTTCCATCGGTGTTCCGGTACACGGCCCATGACGCCATGTAGCACAACATTAGGCTCTCTGGAGTCAAAATATGGTACAAGATTATTCTCTGCAGACTCGAGACACTTGGATTTGCAAGAATAGTCACAGAAATACGTGATGCAGTTATGCTCAAGTATCCTCATAGGAAAAAAATGAAATTAAAAATCATATGGCTTTCGTGTTTCAACACATTTTCAAGGAATGTGTTAGGAAACTGAAACGAGTTTTGTGTTTTATGTGAATACTTACGCAATTTTTGGTATTTGGAATATACTACATACCTAACAATAGATAGTGAGCCAATAGCAGTGTTTTAAAGTACGTATTTTGTTCGAGTTTAGGTGGTTACATATTTAGACATTTTTTAAGAATCTGATACAACTGGTTTTCTTTACATTCCAACCGATAATATTCAAGGTGGAAAATCATTATATTGCACCCAGCAGTGCAAATAACTGGGGTTTCATGGCCCTCTTCAACGCCAACACACAAGACGGCTAACGGATAGCTAGAGAAAGTAGTAGGAGAGGCAAAGTGCAGAATCTGGAAATGCAGAAGAGTCTAAGAACTGTAAGGAAGTGCTCGCACCCTGTACAGGTGGTCAACAGGTGAAAAGGGCTGAAAAAAGTGGTGATATGGTAGCCACCTCCATCCACAATTTTAAGGCTAGATTCGACAGAAGTCGAACGTTAGAATAATTAAATTATAACTTCCCTGGTACAACTAAAGCGTAAAGAGTAGACCTACTCTTTACGCGTAAAGAGGTAGACCTCATTTCCCTATAGTCGCTGTTAGTTAGGTATACTGGAGATAGATACAAGCTACAGTTCCAGCCCAAAAACAAAAATGCCTATAAGGAACCAACAAACCTGCTAAAGAGAGCGTGAGGGCGAGTACCGTAATCACTGGCAGGAACTTCATGGTGATGGTGTGTAGATGCCTGCGGCCGCTCCCTTAAGTACTCTACCATCTGCTCGTTATCTGTGGATATTTTATAGGTATTGATAACTTGTACCATTTGGTGTCATGCATGCTAATGAGCTCGCTGCCCATTTGCTTTGAAAACTCAGATTTTCAGGATTATCGTTAAGTTTAAACTGCTTTCCCAATGCCACTTCACTGATTCCGATGCCTTTGACGTCGCTCCTCTTGTGTTCTTTTGCTCTCTTATTAGTATGCTGGGAGATATTTGGGACCTTTTAACTATTCGAGATCCGTGACACAGAACGGTGCTAAACAGTCTTCCCGGCTTGGTGCCTTCGTTTGTTAATTCATCTTTCTTACTTACATTGTGAGATCAGCTTAAATATAAAATCTCGTTTTCTGACCTGTTTGTTTGTGTCTACCTTCCATTCACCCTCGATCGACAGATTTGGGGGGTAGAAATAGCCTAAGCTACTCTATCCCTTTGAGATGTATTTTTTCTTGTCTCAATAAACATACTTGAACTTGAACTTGATCGACAGACAGGACAGGTATGGAGTCCATAATCCGTATATACTTAAAGAATCAATTAACAGTATGTATTAATACTTAAAGATGAACGTAAAAGGAACAAATCAAATTGACTGCTCATAACTTGCTGAATTATTTTACCCAAGTGGTTAGGATTTGTGGCACGTAAACTTACATTAAATCTTAGAAACACATGTTTCTATTTAATTAGATCATTTCTTTTACAATTTTGTGTACATTCATAATTTGAACAACAGCTTTGTTCCTAAATAGTCAACTGTGTACATTTTTCTGCATATTCAAGTTTATAAGGGTGACAACAATAAAAAAGGTGTGGTACTAATATGTAAATAACTTGAGTACGTAGCCACCAATCCATCATACTATTGTAGATGGCATCTTACATAACGTGAGTATTGGTAAATCAGACTAGGATTAGTAAGGGTGTTAATATATTCGTTACAGCCATATAAGATGCTTTGCAGTATATTTAGAAGCGCTAGTAATATAGGCCAATTTTATTCAATAACTATTTGATAATATGTGTTACGTCCCTTGTCATCATGATGTGTGGGTTCGTGGTCTAATTGTCAGCCCCGTCATTGTGACTGTCTATATTGCATAGGCATTCACTACAGACATTTCTTTACTCCAGACGACTATTTTTACTCATCAAGGCATTCCGTGGTCTATTCCTACTCAAATATTCAAATTATGCAAATTTGCATTCCCGTATGTCATGACATAGACCGTGTGAAATCATAATTGTCACCTTCCCCCTTTCAAACAAATTTCATACAGGAACATTTCTGCAATTTATGCAATGTAGATTTATTTATACCATTATTTGTTAATTGCAGCAAGACGCTATAACTAATTCCTGTATTCAATTTAACTTCTTGACATATTCCTTCCTTGCCCCCCCTATCTCCTCCTTCCATTCTCTTATAATTATTAAACTTAATTTTCTTTCCTTTACTGAGTGATCGTAATCTATCCACCGCTGCCCACTGGATGGGGGGCGGTGTGCAGGACAAACATATAAATTGTGACACTAGCTCTCCACATATGTCAGTTGCTTAATTTAGAACCTGTACTTGAGGTCGATCTCGAACCCATTGTTGATGTGACGACTTATATTGAATTTTGTAACTAGCTCATCAAGATTGTAACTTGCTTAGCTAAATGAATTGTGGGGTTCAGTCCCTGAGCCCATTATGTGCCTCTGTAACCCTTTCCACTACCGCCCACAAGATATGTATGGGGTGCATAATAAATGAACTAAACTAACTTTCCTTTTCAGTTTTTACTTAAGCCTAGTACACGAGTTTTTTTCCCTTAAAACCTTTCATAAATTTCAAACAGGGTTTCATTTATTCCTATTAAATTCCACACAGTCAGACTAGTTTGCCTTTGCTTTCCAGATGGGGACCCCAGATCAAAAACCCAATTTTGTTCTCCGTGGGAAAGAATTTGAAAAAATAAGTTTAATTGTTCGTTTCCATCAGGTCAGCGTTGGCAGAACCATTCCTTCCCTCCGCATTATTCCAGATCCTAGGCTCCGCAATATCCCTTTCAAGGGCTATATAATCTTAATGGCATAGCGCCTTCTCCTGATAATTACCTTACCTCCTCCAAACCCTTTATCGCAGCTAATGAGAAGTTCATAACGTCGCTTCGTGGTGAGCGGTGGTGTACGGAAATATATTAAGGTATGGGGCGATGAAGGGAAATGCCTAGCCTATCTAATCTGGTAGAGCGCCATGTGTGTCGCTCCCAGCCTGTTCCTTTGCACACGCCCTCCTCATAGCCTGTTCCTTTGCACACGCCCTCCTCCTAGCCTGTTCCTTTATGCGAGCGCCCCCGCGCCCCCCTTCCCTAGCCTGTTCCCTCGGGCGAGCGCCCCCCTTCCCTAGCCTGTTCCCTCGGGCGAGCGTCCCACCTTCCCCAGCCTGTTCCCTTGGCCGAGCGCTCCTCCCCCCCCCCCACTCAGCCTGTTCCCTCGGGCGAGCGTCCCACCTTCCCCAGCCTGTTCCCTTGGCCGAGCGCTCCTCCCCCCCCCCCCCCCCACTCAGCCTGTTCCCTCGGGCGAGCGTCCCACCTTCCCCAGCCTGTTCCCTCGGCCGAGTGCCCCCCCCCCTCCAGCCTGATCCCTCGGCCGAGCGCCCCCCCCCCCTCCAGCCTGTTTTAACGTGCGCTCCACCAATAGTAGTCGTTTTAGATTCAGATACTCTGAACAAAAAGCTTCAAGCAGCACGGGATAGGGTGAACCCGTCGTACTCGCCTGGCACAGATGTTTGAGCGTATAGAGTGGCACCTCCTTGACAGCATACTCTAAAATACACAGAGTAAAGTGATTGTGTTAGCGATAATTATCTTGCCTGTTTACAATGAACTCAAACGTTGATGTAGGGCGTCCAGGTGTAGCCAAGGTTGGTTTTTCCATATCAGCAAGAAATAAAGTGTATATAGACGAGCGTAAACTGTTCCCGATAGTCAAAACGTCTAGTCATTAAATCAATTGATAATTTTTTCAATATTTGAGTGCAGGTTAAGTTTTTATCCCCATTAAACATATCACTATTATTATTTTTAGGTGCCGCTCTAGCCGAGTGCTCGACAAACGATCCCGAAAAATTTTAACAAAATAAAAAATAGTTACACGCGTTAAAAAAAATTCAGCAATGTGGCAACACCCTCAAAACATGAGCGTAATCTATTTATTATCGATGTTTTATCATGTAACACAAAAATTCTTTGCCCCCCCCCCATCCCTCCCAGCCCCATGGTCAATACTCGAGCATCGTTTTCTATGAATATCCGATTTTTTATTATTATTTTTATATAAATATTTTATCTCATTCATTGGTCACCCCCCCCCCCTGGCCTTTATGAATGGTGTACACTCCTGCAAGACAAACTCTGAACACCTGCAACACTACCTGTGGATACAGGTACAGTTTAGTTTAGTTCATTTATTATGCACCCCATACCCATCTTGTGGGCGGTAGTGGAAAGGGTTACAGATGCACATAATGGGCTCAGGGACTGAACTCCACAATTCATTTAGCGAAGCAAATTACAATCTTGATGAGCTCGTTACAAAATTTAATATAATTTAAGATAAAAACTAAACACTACCTAATAAATTCCCTGTAACCTACCTCACTCCTCTATTGTCAACCCATGTCTGTAATTTTGTTTTTTTTGTTTTAATCACCACTGTTTGTCATCCTATTGTATTTGTGCTGCTTTTTCAGTCATGTTCCCCCTTTTTTTTATTATCTGTATTTGTATTTGTTCTCAACACTTTTTATTCTTTATGCTCAATTAGTATTCAGTTCTAGATATTAATGTTTTTCTTGTCCGAAACGCATTGCGTAATAGTGGCTTTAGGCATTGTATGTACTAGCTCTATCTATATATCAATCCATTAATGTAACATCACTTGTATGTAAGTATGTACCTTACCTGAATAAACATATTTATTTATTTATTTATTTTATAAGTCGTCACATCAAAGGTACAGGCATTACAACCTCAACACGAGCTCAGGACGAAGGATATCGTGAATGACTACCACCTCTCACCATGAATCAAGCAACCACATATCAAAACTATCGCACCCAAGACCTATCTCCAATAACTTCAAGAAAAAGCGAGTCAGAGAATTGCAGGAACACCAGAACATACAAGGGTCTCCAGCATCGTCAGCACCGAGGAGTATACAAGGCAGCACTGGCAGGAGATCCAAAGTTTGTGCTGATGTGGATAATTTATACCGATGAAGTTGGTCAGTACTTCGATAGTAACATTCTTCACCCAGATATGATCGACCCAGAATGCTAACAGATCTACCCAGAGAGTGATGGCACCTCCAGCAACATGGCGACGAGATGTCAAGCTCGAAAACAGAGAGTTAAGAACCTGAAAAAGGAACTGCAGGAAAGAAAACACCTATTATAGAAAGAAACTTTAAACTAGATGGAATGAAATAAGAATTCTTCTAATCAAAGTAAGATCTTCACCACCCCTTCACGCCTCCAGAAGACCACACCCACCCAACTGGGCGGAAGCTTTAAGCCATAAAACCAAATATTTCTATGCTTTGTAATGTCCAAAGGTCTTTCGTTGAACGCATTTGAAAATGTATTGAAATAAATGCATGTCATTTTCAACTTGTATTCCAACTGATAAACCGATAATTCATAAATTACATTAAAAAAACAAATCCTAGAGGTTTTCTTTTATACTTTGCCTATGGGGCCAGACTTTTGAGACACGTACCCTGTATATATTATTTACGTGCACAAGTTTTCTATAAAACCACTTAAAAATTGCTTCCAATAAATGTTTGAAGAAAAATGGAGTTTTTTCAGACATATATCCTTGTAAATTAGACGAATCTTGTATGCCGTCGAATACCCGAATTTTACCCGTGGCCCACTAACACCATAGTGGCCTCGACGAGAACAGGAAGCCGGTGGCTTGTCAAAGGTCTCATTTGCCCTTACTTATGACACACTTTCTTGAAGCAAAGCCTTCTGTTACTCAATTGTGGCTCCTGCACTTGAGTACGATCATTGTCTAGCGTTTGGAGAGCCACACCAGGGGGCCTTTAGCCAAACCAGGGGCCCCTCTAGCCACACCAGGGGCCCCTCTAGCCACACCAGGGGCCCCTCTAGCCACACCAGGGGCCCCTCTAGCCACACCAGGGGCCCCTCTAGCCACACCAGGGGCCCCTCTAGCCACACCAGGGGCCCCTCTAGCCACACCAGGGGCCCCTCTAGCCACACCAGGGGCCCCTCTAGCCACACCAGGGGCCCCTCTAGCCACACCAGGGGCCCCTCTAGCCACACCAGGGGGCCCCTCTAGCCACACCAGGGGCCCCTCTAGCCACACCAGGGGCCCCCTCTAGCCACACCAGGGGCCCCTCTAGCCACACCAGGGGCCCCTCTAGCCACACCAGGGGCCCCTCTAGCCACACCAGGGGCCCCTCTAGCCACACCAGGGGCCCCTCTAGCCACACCAGGGGCCCCTCTAGCCACACCAGGGGCCCCTCTAGCCACACCAGGGGCCCCTCTAGCCACACCAGGGGCCCCTCTAGCCACACCAGGGGCCCCTCTAGCCACACCAGGGGCCCCTCTAGCCACACCAGGGGCCCCTCTAGCCACACCAGGGGCCTCAGTACTCTCTCAACAGGTATCACACTCGGCTACGCATGACTGGATCACTACGGGTTTCTGTCATTGGTCGCACATGACAAATGTCATTTTTGTCAACTTCAGTTTATTTATTGTCAATTGTTTATTTAATGTGTTTGTCTACTGTCTTTTCTCTAAATCCATTACCCTTTCAAAATATGTACATTCCTTCATTGTGTATTCCAAAACAATCTTAATCCATCACAATCTTCATCTCCGGCGAGAAGGCCTAGATAATATAGGAGTCCCCGCTCCTGGAAGTTCTCTATATCTACTCAACTGACTGCCAAGAGGGCCAAACCCAATGCAGTTTCTTGCTCCTACATTGTGTCCTACTTCTCTATTAGCATTACGCGACAATGCAAGCACAATAAAAATATGTAATTTAGCCGAGTCATTAAATAATGCAGTAAAAGGATAGTTGGGATGCATGTTCCTGCATCCCAATGTGAGAGGGGATCCACAACAACTTGATTTCGACTCTCTTGCTGCCAAGTATAAAAATGTTGTTAACTTGTTAAACAAGTTTTGCCAAACTTGTTCGGTACATTTTTCTTTTTGACACCATTAGTGCTCGCCTGGGACATGATGAATTTAAATGTACAATTACGAAGGTTGAGGTGCTAACATACGCCATTGTGTATCACAATGATACACTTTAAGATGTTTATATCAAAGTTCCTCGAGTTTCCTTAATGGTATGCTCCAGATCTCTAAACTGCAGAGTTTCAGTAAAACCTAACAAAATATGGGCAGCGTGTAGCTAGTAGGCCTATCCGCCGAGATCTACCCCTGGGACATCTATGCAGTTAGCAAGCCTAATAAACAAAAATTAAGTTAAACTGCCAGTCTGCACCTCACCTGTTGCAAGGCAAAGCACGGGAGAGAGAGCGTAGATTTGACAAGCCGCAGGCTTCTTGTCGCAATCGAAGTCCCTAGAGATAACATCGACAAACGTAGCCATGTATAATATATAGTATAAGTCAGCAAAAACCCGCTTGCAGCATCACTATTTCGGACAAGACCTGGTAAGAGTGGTATGATTACTTACGTATGCCTTATCATTAGCTTACTGCTGTCACCTTCATTGATATTGCTATATATATATTTTCCCATTGGTTACCGATAAAGTTACTCAATCTACGACATACCACTCTCACAAGTTCCCCACACACCTGTGCAGCGAGTACCATTGCTTCTATACGCATATTTATTGTGCATGCCCGGATAATCACCCTGTAATTACTGTACTGCTCTCACAATCATTTATCAAGCCACGGTAACTTCATGTCCGTGGGTTTATTTAGCTTTGTAATACAAAGTTTGTATCAGGCTGAGGCTGATACAAAGCTTGCTCAGCCAAGCCTAACTCAGCGTACGGCATGAGGTACACGATGTGTGCCTAACTCGTCTGTAGGCACTGTAAGATGCTGAGTAACTGCCTTTCTTTCAATCCACCCAAAAAAAACTATCTCTGCTGCCCCGACCTCCAAAACCTGTCTTTCTCTGTAACCTATCATCCTCTGGCCTCCAACTTTGGGCAAACAAATAAAGACAGACTATTTAACACAAGGGGCACACGCACTAGGGGACACAGGTGGCAATTGAGTGCTCAAATGAGCCAGAGAGACGTTAGATTTTGTTTTTTTCAGTATTAGAGTAGTAGACAAATGGAATGTATTAAGAAGTGGTGTGGTGGAGGCTGACTCCATACACAGCTTCAAGTGTAGATATGATAGAGCCCAATAGGCTCAGGAACCTGTACACCTGTTGATTGACAGTTGAGAGGCAGGACCAAACAGCCAGAAATCAACCTCAGCAAGCACAACTAAGTACAAACACACACGGGTACTCGCCTAATACTTACTAGGTGAGTACAAACACATACACAGTATACACACAATTATATATATATATTCTGATAACGGGTCTATATCAGTATATATATATATATATATATATATATATATATATATATATATATAATTCCTCACAATTGTCAGCATGAGAACTGGTTTTCAAGGCAAATGGGAACGAACACATGGGTGGTGGGCAAAGGTTGATCTTACCCAAAACACTGCAATGTGAGTTATAACGGGGGAATCCCAGGTGGTCTAAAAATAAAATACCAAGCTTAAGACTGGAAACCAAACTAACATTGGTTGACATGTGGCTAAAAGGGCTTAACTGATGCATGCATACTGCAACCCGTCGTCTGTAACTTTCCTAACATCACTAAAGTGATGTACTAAATTGCGTGAGCCTGACCTGAGGACTCGGAATAGAAAATGGGACATCACGTCTATACTGCGAGCAAATTTCGTTTTTATTATATCAGTTTTTGGCGTTAGGGGGATTTATACGTGAAAATGCAATGTAGTATTCGAGAGGACGAGTTGTATATTGACAATGAATACGCTAAGAAACAATACACTTAAAAGATATAATCAATGGAGCACTATCTCGGGACAAAATAGCTTTCACTAGCAACAGGTGGACCCACTGCACAACAAACACAATCAATACATTAGATATCACAAATACAATCACTATCGACGTGTAGATGACAGTGTAGCGCGTAGACTTCGTTATGCAAACCTGTTGCGAATCGTTGCCAGCAGACTAAGATTATTGTTCTTCAAGGAAAACAAAAAATTCAGACTAACCCTCCACCTGGAGCATGCCTGGAAAGGGTTCTGGGAGTAGTAGTTCTCCCCGAGCCCGGCCTGAGGCCAGGTTCGACTTGCGATAACATGGTCCAACAGGCTGTTGCCTGGAGCGGCCCGCAGGCCCACATATCCTCTACAGCCTGGTTGGTCTGACACTTCTTGCAAGAACTTATCTAAGTACCTCTTGAATACATTCACCTTTATTCCGGCAATATTTATAATGCTTGCTGGGAGGGTGTTGAAAAGCTGTGGACCTCTGATGTTCAGTCAGCGTTCTCTGTGCCCATGGCACCTCTACTCTTCATTGGTTCTATTCTGCATTTCCTTCCTGCTACGCATTCTTCCTTCCTGAAACGTCTGCTTTCATCATCGCACTAATGAATGCAGAAGCAAACCTGGTATGAGACAGCTTCACATACAGATCAGTAGATAAGAATCTGGAGCTGCAGTTAAGGCAGAAAATTCTATAGTTGGAGACTCAAACGGCTACTCAACTTCATAAACAAGAGATGCTAGCCATCAACATTGCTTATGAACATGTCCTTACTGAATACCAACAACCAGTTATCGTATATACGGATTTGAGAACTGCTACTGAAATCTTGCAAGAACACCACTTGCATAACAACATTTGAGTGTTATTACTAATACAAACCCTCAAATGGCAAGGTCGTCGAATACTTACCAATTGGAAGCCAGGTCATGTAGGAATACAAGGAAATGACACAGCAGATGAAACTGAAAAACTTGCAACCAAGAGAGAGGTAATGTAGACATTTACATACAACAGAGACTAGCACAGATTAAGAAAATATTTAGCTATAAAGCGGTGCAGAAGATGTACAGTGACCACAATGCAACAGCTACAACGTCAGGATCTGCGGGTTGATACAAGAATTCATCCAACTACGAACTCTGATTTTAAAGAAAGGGTATAATTGAAAAACAGAAGTGCATTTGCATCGCATCAGGCTTAGATTCCCATGTGCATGGCAAATAGACTTACATGTTCCAGAAGAACTTAGGCAAAGTCAGCATTTTGTGGAGCGAAGCACAACAGACCACTGGAACATTATCTAACACAGTGCAGAGTTACAAACCAAATAAGCTTTCAACCGAGATTTAACAGCGCGAAAGTTGTTAAACACATTGGACATAACCTTACTGTAGCCAACACAGGCGTCATAAATACTCATCAACTGCCTGAGACAGAAAGGAATACCATTTAGTGAGCCAGCCAGAGACCTAGTGCTCGCGCAGGAATTTCCCTGCATAAAAATAGAACCTATACGCATGTATGTACATGGAAGACAAAATGTTGCAAGTCAGCAGTACCTGTGAACTATGCACAGATAACGAGCAGGTGGAAAAGTACTTAAGGGAGCGGCCGCAGGCATCTACCCGCCATCGTCATGAAGTTCCTGACAGTGATTACGTTACTCGCCCTCACGCTCACTCTAACTGGTTCGTTGGTTCTTTCTAACGTTATGAGCATTTGTTACAACTATGTCCAACCGAATGATATATGTATAATGTCTTGTTTCACAGGCCAGCCCGTCCTCCTAATGTTTGCCAACGTCAAGAAAATGGTTAATACAAACTGTCGTCTCCTAACCTACCAGAGGACCTAAAACAGAAAATGGGACAGTACGTCACTTTCGCCACCCGCTTCCATTTTATAGTACGAAAATTGTTGGCCTTTTGTAACGCATACGAGCGAAAAGCGACGTTCTTTGTAGGACAGGTTGCACAGGCAGCGTCGTTCGATTTTCCCTATATTAAGCAAGTTTCCCTGCGTCTGATTGAGGGTGCACCGCTCCTGTGCCAGGTAAGTCCAACACGGGCTCACCATAGCCCGTGCAACTTGCCCAGCTCCTGTGCTAAGTAAGTTACGGGCTCACCATAGCCCGTGCTACTTGGAACTTGTTCCGAGTAGCTGAATCTATAACAACAACATGCGTCTGATTAGTCATTCACTTTATTTGGGAAATTGTGTTCTGTGAGACTGGATGTCTGTTGTGGCTGTGCTCGAGTGTTTCAGACGCAGTGAAATAAATTACACAGACATTTTCGCCATAATTTATGTAAATATTAGGCAATTGATATATTTGAATGATTTAAGATTATATAATATAAATTAAACACACACATAATGATAAATAATATATATTATATATATATTTCTCTTGCAATCATGTTTTCTCATGACCAAATGAGTTACGGTATGTCAATATTTCAGATATAAATCCTTTCTATGTTTCTAAGGTTCTCGTTCATTTGAGAAGGAAGTTGAACACTTTACTCTGCAAAGTTCATTTTAGACCTATATTAGGCCCCATACATCCTCGTACGATATTTGCATTCACATTGCCCATATGTGTCTAGTCCATCCCCAGAAAAAATCATCTATTATAATTACAACAAATTCTGTCTTCAAACAACGTACTTGTTGACTGTGGCATCTCTGCTCAAATCCCTAAACTTGATAAACACACACACCGTCCAAGTGGTTGGGCACCATTCCTCCCCCCCCCCCCACGTTCCATCCCAAATTCTTATCTTGACCCAAATGGTATAGAAGTGTAATGGCTTGGCGTTTTCTCCTGATAGTTCCCTTCCACACTTTATAGCTGATGTCACATTTACAAAGCCCTTAAACCTCAATCTAATCCTGCCATCAAGTTTTAACTATAGATGGGTGTACTAAAACCTGTGAATATCACACCAGAAATGAACTTCACTGATATTCTCTGTCAGAGTTATTCTGTACAAACTCGCTAAGCAATTAAAGATCACCAGTTCCCAATTACTAATGTTACTCAAAGTGGTCACTAGCCTAGCAAACATTAAATATTTGTTTCTTAATAATACAATACTAACCTCTACGAATAGAAAAAGAAATAAGCCAAGATCCCAAATTCAACATAGCAATGCGCCTAGTCTCCTTTGATATAACAAGCATTCTTCATAGCCTTGCTGGAGATTTAGAAGAATCTTTGTCTAAATTGTTAGAGTGCTATTAGCAGTGCACATCTTAATCATTATGGTAATTGACTACACATAATTAGGGATATTAAGATGAAGAAGAAGAATACAGCTAAGCTGCTTATCAAAGTTCCAACAAACTAAACCTTGAGATTGTTGAAGAAAAATAGTGCCCTCCAATGTGACTGAATTTCTTTCACCCTGCAATGGTATCACCCTCCTATGCATACATTACAACTATTGTCCTATGTAGCTTTACCGGACAAGTCTGCTTTGACCCTTAATTCCATCGTTACCAATTTGACATGGCAAGGGGTTCTGGCAATTATTGTTATGTTTGCTGATTTATACATGGAATCCCTTAGCTTACTGCATCATCCCAGCAAAAAAAAAGTGTTAAACTGCAGTTGTGTCCTTGAACTTGAACTGTGTTATACTGTGTTTTCGTTATTATAACCATCACTTCAGTCTGGATAACTGTACGAACAAAACCTTATGATATTCATCCTACTACACACTTTATCTTAAAAGTAGAAATAAATTATTTCCTTGATGAAATATATGCCATTCTTTCTATACTTTAAGTACGCACCACTTTTCCACGAGATATGCTGTATATACCATACACCAAACAGTATATACCGTTATCCACCGAACAGTACGGTGCATATCACAGTCTCAAAGCCTGAAGACAATTATCTTTCATCATACTTTGCCTGCAGAGTGTGTGGTGGTGTGCTACCTGGAGTCATGGGCCGTGTACCGCAGCGGTAATGGTAAATTTGACGTGGGGGACATAGATACCAGAATTTGCTCTCACCTTATCTTCGCATTTGCTGGCCTCAATTCCACTGGGCAGATCCAGGTGCAGTAATATATAATATATTCTCAGGAACTCTTGTGCAAAATGCAATTGAATTTGTGTCTGCTGTTTGGATAAAAATCCTGTTTGTTTTCCTTAACCGTGACAGTTTATATATCTAATTTACATTATATGGTTAAATTTGGTGTTTTCACTCTCAGGTACTCGACCCATTCCATGAACTCTGCGAGAACGGTGGAGAGTGCGCCTATGACAGGTTTACAGCCCTCAAGGAACAAAATCCTGCATTGGTAACCTTGTTGAGCGTCGGTGGCTGGAACGAAGGCTCCACAAACTTCTCCAAGGTGATTGTACTGCACACACTGTCCGTTCTCTTGACTTGCCACAACGTACAAAATACCAGGTGCTAACCGAACCAGAAACACACGAACTCAAGCAACCCACCTAACATAACCTAATCTAACCTAGCCTAGCCTACCGAGTTCACCCCATACCCGGCGGCAGTGGAAAGGGTTACAAACACACATCATGGGCTCAGGGACTGAGCCCCACAATACATTTAGCTCAGCAAGTTACAATCTTGATGAGATAGAAAACGTGATTATTTGTGAGCCACTGTTTCTCGTGGGACTTTGTAATTTGTACGTTGTGAACCATAACGTGCAAAATGGGATGTATTAGTTGAGAGGACGTGTTGAAGCTCACCCGTCCGGTTCAGGAACAACCTATCATCATCTCGAATAATTCATAGTATTTTGACTAAAACTCCCAAACATCAAAATGTTATGTGCTATAATTCAAAGCAGCTGATTGATTGATGAAGATTAAGCGGACAGCACTGCTCCTGTGCCAGGTAAGTCCACTACGGGCTCACCATAGCCCGTGCTACTTGGAACTTGTTCCGAGTAGCTGAATCTATAACAAGAAGATTAAGCCACCCTAGAGGTGGCACGGGCATGAATAGCCCGTAAGCAAAGCAGCTCGTTCAATTATCGCACTGTCGGTCAGGTTAGATTCGGGTAATCTAGTAAATCTTTTTGAGCCGTTGTGACAAATCGAAAGGGCGAGCTGCAAGAACACACACTATGACAGGTATTTGACACTTGGGATTTGGCATAACAAAAGTGCATTGGACCAAAATTAACCTGGTTAAAGGTTGCCATAAGTTGAAATTGTGCCAGTTATTTTTTTTATGAACAATCGAACTATTTAATAACCAAATTTAAAACTCACCTTATTGTTTCATTAGATTAGCGTGTCATTAACGTGTTCATAGCAGATTTTGCATCACCTTTGGATTAATTTACAAGCGTAAATAATATTGCTTACTCTCTTGGCTGATGAAAGTCTAAGTAAAAATTCTTTGACGAACTGAAATGTAGCCTACTAAATAATTTCCGGACTAAAATTATATAGTCAATACATTATTTGACATTCAGTATTTATTTGAAAACAAATAGTTGCCATTAAATGTTTTTATTTGTTTCCTCATAATTGCCATAATCTTCCCATCACGTACCCAGGTGGCAGGAGACCCAGCATTGAGGAAGACGTTCGTCGACACCTCCTTAGCACTCCTCAAGGAGCATGGCTTCGACGGTATAGATATAGACTGGGAGTACCCTACCCAGAGAGGCGGCGTGCCTGAAGACAAGGTAAACTATGCCTCTCAGACTGCTTCATCGTGCATGCTCTGTGCAATTTTTTACTTAAAACCTTTTTTCACCTTAAGCTTTCTTCAACAAAGTTTTCAACAATGTAGTTGCAAATATAATTTAAAGTTTATTTTGTAATTAAGGGGCAGTGTCTAGATCTCTCATTTATTTAAATTATAACTGGCTTTTCTATTTTAAATTCAAGAATATTCAACGAAACTAAGTCTAAAATGTTACTGAAAAAAAACATATTTGTTCGAAGCGCGACATATATTAATTATCATACACAAATCTCATTAATTTATTTGCCACATTGTCTACCTTTGCTAGTATGCTCGGGATGAAGCAGTCCAACCACTTGGGCTGGACTGAGCGACGGTCTCGCATCATGCAGGTCGGCGTTCAATCCCGACCGTCCACAAGTGGTTGAGCACCATTCCTTCCCCCTGTCCCATAAATCCTTATCTAGATCCATTCCAATTGTTATATAATCGTAATGGCTTAGCGCTTCCACCCTCCCCCTCATAGTTCCCTTCCCTTCGGGATGAAGCAGGTGTCTAGAGAATGTATTTGGAAAGTATGAATTCTCTAGTATCTAGTGGCTTTTATCGAGGTGCTAGGTGAACAGAGGCATTAAGGGGGGAAAGGAAAAGTGCCCGACCATTTATGTCCTGCCTGGGATTCGAACCCGGAATTCTCTATTGTGTGTCGAGAACGAACATGTCTGTAATACCGGGACCCTTAGTACAATGTTTACGAAACCCATCTACCAATGTTTCTGTGCAATGAGGTATAGCTGCCTACCTTTTGAGTGCATGTCCATGAATTATGAGGTGTGGATCATGTGGTGTTGACGTTCTCAACATTATTATGATAATAATAATTTACAAGAAGGTACAATGGATTGGCGAGATTAAGATTGGTATTTTGACATTCCTACAAAGCCACTAACATGCATAGCGTTGCATTGTAGCAAGTCTATGCCAATAAACGTTGCACCATAACACAATGACCCTGAGTTCGATAGAATCCTAGTACCTAGTCAATTCTCCTACCGATGTGATCCGCAAATAACAATATGCAGGCGATAATTTGTAAGAATCGACTTTATTTGCCACAATCGACTTAAGAATGGTCCAGGGCGGACCGAAACGTCGTCGTCCGTTCACCTTCTAGTGTGTGGTCTGGTCAACGCTAATAACAATACTTTTGTGTGCAGGAAAACTTTGTGACCTTGCTGAGTGAATTTCGTGAAGCCCTGCACGCTGAGAACATGACCCTGACAGCCGCCTTGGCTGGCGGAAAGTTCGTGATCGACGAGGCCTATGACATTCCGGGCATTGCCGAGCAGGTTGACATAGCTAACATTATGACCTACGACTTCCATGGAGTGTGGGAGAACTTTGTTCACCACGCCTCTGGGCTCACCGCTTACTCCGCTGACACTGACAGCAACAGCTTCCTCAACGCCGTAAGTTATGTTGCGATGTTTTCGTCAATATTTTGTGATCTGAATTTGCTTTTTCTAGTCCATCAAATATGAACGTGTGGAAATAAATCAACATTAATATACTAAATATTGCAAATGTTGCATTTGAAGCAATATAAAATCACCAGTAGTTAGTTTAGTTCATTTATTATGCAAGTTCAAGTATGTTTATCGAGATAAGCAATAAATACATCTCAAAGGGATAGAGTAGCTTAGGCTATTTCTACCCCCCCAAATTATGCAAGTATTAGGCCCATCCATTTGTGCGCCCTGCTTATTCCTCTACACTGTTGGTCAAAATACCGTTCCCCGTCTTCCCCAGGGCCTTCGGCTCGCTTCGCAAAGGTCCTCTGTACCCTTCTTCCCTTTGTGTGCTAATGCTGTTAAAAAAACAGGGGAGGGGGAGGAGAGATTGGCTCCGTCCGTCCTCCCCACTCAGCTATTCACTACTACAATCGTGTTAATTACTTTTAGTGCAGTTTACTTTGGCAATGTTCCTCCGTGAGTAGTGCCTACTTGTAACATCCTATTTGTAACGTTTGGCTTCAACAGGGGCATTAAACACTATACCCTGCGTTTAATATTCGATTGTCTAAGTTACAGTACAATGTTAAACGTGTCCAGTGTTACTGTAATCATATTGTTAATTTACCCACGGTAAAACATTTACAAATGTTGCTTAACTTCTGTAAGTTACCCATTCTTAAATTTACTCTTGTTATACTTACCAGAGTTTAATACACAAGGTTAAACTACCCATTGTTGAAGGTGAAGGTATTTTATCATTTCAACAAGTTACAGTGTAGTGTTAAAATCATCCAATTTTAATGTTCTCACAGTTATTTTACTCATGGTAAATCTTTCGCCAAGTACAGAGTATTAATAACCTGATTGTCAGTCATTTACGATAAATACTGCTAAGTCTGCATTGTGACTGGATGGGCAACCATTTTATATTGGGTGCTGAATATTTAAACTCATAAATATGTACAGAAAGAGAGAAGAATTATGTAATAGTCTTTACTGAATGACGTGTGGTGGTGGTGTGGTGCACCTATACAGGCAAACAACTGACTTCCGCGGGGACACGCACCGATCCTGTGCCAGGTAAGTCCACTACGGGCTCACCATAGCCCGTGCTATTTGGAACATTTTGTTCCCAGTAGCTGAGTCTTAAACAACAACAACAACCTTCCCCGGTACTTATTTACTGCGAAGTGATCAAAAGGATTAGGTCAAAGGAAACGTACCCAGCCATTTGAGAAGAGATGATCTGTCAAGATTTTGCTACAAATGTTTAGTAAATGATGATATCAACCATGTGTCTATGCATTGATGTCCCTCTCTACTTCCTATTACAGCATGTAGCCAACTGATGACACCTTTTAATTATGTTATAGGACTTTGCCATCACCTACTGGATAGAGGGAGGGATGCCGAGCACCAAGATCGCAATGGGTGTGCCTCTCTATGCCACTTGCTGGACCCTGGATGACCCTACCCAGACTGATTACTACTCCCCTGCCAGCAATCCCGGTCAACCAGGGCCATGGACCGAGTTAGAGGGCACGTTGGCCATCAACGAGGTAGACAATTCACAGCAATGATGACAAGACCACGCACACTAGAATGTTAAGGGACGACGACGTTTCATTCTCAATCGACTTGAGAATGGTCCAGGACGGACCGAAACGTCGTCGTCCCTTAACATTCTAGTGTGTGGTCTTGTCATCATACTTTAGCCACGTTATTGTGACTCATCGCCTGCAATTCACAGCAATTATATATTTCACTAGTAAATCATTATACAAGAAATTAATTCTAGCAAGAATTCTGCGATTCGTGTTTACCATTAATTTAATAAGAGCAAATACAACAATTATTATTCAGTTTTATCCCTCCGTGTCTGGAAAAAAACCCGGACATTTTGGCTAAACAACTAAGTTTATAACTTCTGATTTTTTTCCTCCCCAGCTCTGCTACTCGCAGACGGCGGAGCCAGATGCTTGGGTGATAGAGACTGCTGCAGGCATGAACGAGCCTCATACTTATCGTGACAGTCAATGGTGCTCCTACGAAAACCGCACCTCTGCCGGTATCAAGGTAAGTGGTTCCACTAAACACTACACTAGCCAGTGCTCCTGCAACAACCAACACCTGCCACTATCAAGGTAACATAGTTTCACGTACCACAAGCCTTTGATGCTCCTGCAATAACAGCGCCTCCGTCCGTGTCAAGATAAGATGGTTTTCTTACTAAGAAGGCAGTGAATGTATCGCTTCCATTGTACGGTAACTCCTCCCCTCCCAATGGACAATATCTGCCCTCAAGCCAGACTCGTTAAAGTGGCGGTCGTCCTCCACTCTCCCAAGACACGTTCATAAATTTTTATATTCTGTGCACCTAAAATAGGCTTTCTCATATATAGATTAATATTATTATACATTAAAGGTATATATATATATATATGGTTAGGCGTAGGTCAGGGTAGGTTTAGCGTTTAGGTTCCGTTGGCAAAAAATTGTATTTAAAATATTTGGGTAAAGCAGTTACAGAGTTCCAATTCGATCAGACATCGGCAGCGAAGTACTGTTCGAGAAATCTTCAAACGTCCTCAGTTGTGAGTCGAGTCGTGTGTCAGCCTATCCTCATTTTGTTTTACTTTTTAATTTATTTATATATACACGAGTTCTTTCATTCTTGTAAGGCCACTAACACGCATAGTATTTCGGGCAGGTGCTTAAACTTAATTTTCCCTGGAATACGACCCGCCAAATCATTTAACAACAGAACCCGTCCTCGGGTCAAATCCATTTCATCCAGCGGTAGATCCTAAAGACGCATTCATAAATTTTAACTTGCTGTTTATTCAAAATAGGAATTTTCTCTATATATATATATTAGCATACTGTGCATATTTAGGTTAGGCTAGGTGTTTAGGATCTGAAGGCGATTATTTTTATTTGTAGTATGCGGGTGAAGCATTTACAGCGTTGTGGGTCGAACAAAAGTCGTCAGCGAAGCACTTGTTCGAGTAGTGTTCAATCGACATCAGTTGTGAATCGTGTGTAAACCGTTTTTCGTTGATAAACAGGAGGGTTTGGCCTTTGTTTATGAGAACGGACTGTCTGAGAATGCAGCCCGTCCTCATGAATACATGCCTGAGTCCATTCCATGCACCCGCCAAACCCCGTTTATGAATGAAAAACGGTTTACATACGTCTCGCAACTGATGACATCCGAACACTTCCGGAACAAGTGCTTCGCTGACAACTTTTATTCGAACCATAACGCTGTAAACGCTTCAATCAAGTACCACAAATACAAATAATCGCCAACAGAACCTAACTTTACACAAAAATTAAATGTATAATAATAATAACTCATGTATGAGAACAAACCAATTTTTAATACACCGTATGTTAAAATTGACAAATGTGTCTGGGTGGGGAGTGGGACGGCTGCCGTGTAACAGTTGTTGAGGTGACTTGAGTGGAGACTTAGGATGGTGGTTGACTTACGAGACTTTCACAGGGCGGGCTCAGTCCAGACAGGAGTCTAGTGTGTAATGTTCAATATCACAGGTGAAGGGAGACTGACACTGGTGTCTACACCGCAGAATCGTCATTGTTGTATCTTGAATGAGTACTGGTACCTTACGTTCTGACATCACAAGTGTTGATATTCTATTGCCTTTGATAGGGAAGATAGATTAGGATTTTTATATTGCACTTAATTAAGTATATATAACTAAATTATCCATCTGGTGTATCTATGCGTTCCTGTTAGTCATTCATAGAGAATTGCCAGTGACTAGTGTTAATCGGCCATGGTTCCTCCCCCCCCCCCTGTGAAATACTTAACTCCCGTCTTTACTTCCGTGACCAGAATCCTTCGTCGCCGGTCACTGTTAAGTACTTGCGTTGATTAAAGACAAAGATGGTGGCGGCATTAAGTAGTTTTAAGTAACTTTCAAGTTTGTCATGATTGGTAACAACTTTGTTGGTGGTGGTATCAGTGGTGATACACCTGAGATACATTATAGCTGCGTTATAGCGGCTCTAGCGAGCCTGGCCTGAGGATGGGATAGAGGACAATGGCCTGACGTAGTAGCGGTAATTTAGTTGCTCTAGTGATCAAAGTAGTTGAGGTTACCGATGTGTTTTTCGTGCATGATAGACAGAGGAATACGGCAATACATACGCAGAGAAAACTATGCCAACTAGCCTAATTGGTATTAAATTAACTGGACTCTTTTTAAAGAATTGATTGAATTAGGATACGAGTGAGAATAGTTGTATATAAATAGTTGCGTCATGTGGACCAATAGGCTCTCTGTAGTTTCCTTAATCTTACAAGATTCACAAGATACACGATATGTAAAGATACAAGATTCTAAATGCTATTATATAAAATATACACCTACATACTTGTATTCATATGATATAAATAGTTAATTATCAGTCATAAACAATTATATTTAGCATGTATTACATCATCCCCAGCAACACACAAAAAATAGAATCTTGCAATTCTCTCTCTGCTTAGAAAATGGCAGAGATGTTGACGCGTTGAGTTAAAACGTTGCAACCCTCTTGTGTTGCACTGCGTCTAAGACTTGTGCTATGACTTTTACTCGGAAGCATGTCGTTCTTCGTCCCTCTTTGTCGCTTTATGGTCATCCCATTGTGTACAGGGATTCCGCAAAGCTCTTGGGGTTAGTCTTTGACACTCGTTTGTCTTGGTCTGCCCATATCTCTTACCTCCGAGTTGAATGCTCTAAGGCCCTTAACCTACTTAAGGTTTTGTCCCATACTTCTTGGAGCGGATAGGCGCACACTCCAATATTTGCACTCCTCTCTCGTCCTGTCTAAACTCGATTATGGTTGCCCTGCATACTCTTCTGCTTCTCCTTCTACTCTTCGCCGTCTTGATGCTTTGCACCATACTGGGTTGTCTCGGCTCTGGTGCCTTTCGTTCGACTCCCGCCCTCAGTTTGTATGTTGACACTGGCTTTCTCTCTCTTCGGGACCGCCGTGATCGCTACTGTCTTCACTGTCTTGTGCGGTCCTTACAACATCCTTCCTCTCGCCTCTGTCGTGCTTTGACTTTTCCTCCTCCTGTAGCTCCTGTTCCTCTTCATCGTCTCCCACTTTCTGTCCTGTTATCTCGCTTACAGGATTTTCTTTGTTCATATTTCTAATGTTTCTCCTCGTATTGTTCCTTCCTTGCCTCCGTGGAGAGTCTCCCTTCCCAAGTTTTGCACGTCCTTGACTTTTATTACTAAAGCCTTTACCCTCCTACAATTCTGAAAAGCCTCTTCCTTGAGCACTTTTCTTCGCACTTCCACTCTATTTCCATCTTCACCGATGGGTCTAAGTCTGCGGACGGTGTGGGCTACTCTGTTGTTTTTCCTGACCGTACTTATGTGTCGCCTCCCTTCGGAGGCTAGCATCTTTACGGCGGAACTTTATGCTATTCTCTATGCTCTTTGTCTCTTGCTTTCTCATTCTCATTCCTCCTTTGTGGTTGTAGTCGACTCTCGTAGTGCCATCATGGCTCCTTTAATCCTGTACATCCGGTGGTCATAGATTCAACATTGGCTGTTTCTTATTTCTAGTAAATTTAAATCAGTAGAGTTTTGCTGGGTTCCCAGCCATATTGGTGTTTCTTTCAATGAGCGTGCGGATGCTGCCGCTAGGGAAGCTATCCGCTCTTGTCCCGTCTCCCGTAAAGGTATACCTTATTCCGACTTTTATCCTGTTATTCATTCTTCCATTCTTGCCCGTTGGCAGGGTTGTTGGTGCTCTGTGGTTAGTAACAAGTTGCGTACTCTCTAACGTATTGTGTCCCCGTGGCCTTCCTCCTGCCACCGTAACCGGCGGTGGGAAACTGCTTTGGCACGGCTGCGGGTTGGCCATAGTCGCTAAACCCACGGTCACTTAATGGAGCGCCGCCCTGCTCCTTATTGTCCGAATTGCGTTGTCCCTCTTACAGTTGTGCATATCCTTGTTGAATGTCTTGACTTCCAGGACGAGCGTGTCTTGCTTTCCGACCGCCCCTCGCGGTCATATGTCCCTCGATAGAATTCTAGGTGAATCGGATACTTTTGATATCGTTCGCCTTGTGCGTTTTTGTTCTCATACTGGCATTCTTGGTGATATTAGCGCCCTCTGATTATTTCGCACTTTGATGGTGCTACATAGCCTTCCCGGTTTGGTGCCTTCTTTTGATAATTTCCTTACCTCTTGTGTTGCAGGCAAACTACGCCAAGAACCACAACCTGGCTGGTGTGATGGTGTGGAGCATCGACATGGACGACTTCCAAGGGAACTGTTACTCCCGTACCTTTGAGCTCACCAGAATCATGTTCGAGGTACTCGGCAGATGCTAATGAGTTTAGTACCTCTGAGAACACCTGCTCAAATTATTAGGTCGCTGCATTGAATCTTTCTTGATTACATGTCCTTAAATCCTAATAAATAGTGAAGCACAGTAATATGTTTCATAGTTCCTTGTATTGGTTTCTTCAACTGAATAAAACAACCAATCTCTAAGAGTGGCGGGGAATGAGGGGGAGCAGAATGAGGAGAGATAAGGGAGATGGGGGAAGAGGAGGTAAAAATGGAAATGGGAAAGGGGGATTCTTCCCCTTCCCATCCATCTTCCATTATCAGTTACATAATATCACTATTTTTGTGTTTTATAAGGCTGTGAATCACATACAGAAATTACGTTTGATTCTTAAAATTAATGTATCTATAATAATATAGCACAGTTGTTATGGAAAATTTGCAGTGTTAATTCAGTTAAGTGTATCATTAACCAATATATATATTTAACAGCAAATATTTAATTAAAATGCCCATAGAGGTTAGAGATGGAAACAAGAGCTCAGCAGAGGAGTTTAGTTTAGTTCATTTATTATGCACCCCATACCCATCTTGTCGGCGGTGGTGGAAAGGGTTACAGAGGCACATAATGGGCTCAGGGACTGAACTCCACAATTCATTTAGCTAAGCAAGTTACAATCTTGATGAGCTAGTTACAAAATTCAATATAAGTCGTCACATCAACAATGGGTTCGAGATCGACCTCAAGTACAGGTTCTAAATTAAGCAACTGACATATGTGGGGAGCTAGTGTCACAATTTATACGTTTGTCCTGCACACCGCCCCCCATCCAGTGGGCAGCGGTGGATAGGTTACAATAACTCAGTTACTACCTACAGTTAGCAAACTGGGAATATTTGGCTAAAATTTCTAGTAGCAGATCATTTTGAATGAAATATTTACACATCGCTGGAACAGTGGTTATAGAATTGTCTCTAAATTCACGTATCTTTTCGCACTCCACCACATAGTGACGGAGGGTGTGCGAATAATTTTGTTGACACAGTTTTTGGTCAGATCTACATCGGCAGATAATGAGAATTACCAGAGATATCTCTAACAGAGTCTAAGCCGAGCAGTAGTAACATCTAGAAGTCTGCTGATTTTATTGGATGATCCATAGATGTGTGGCTCCTCTTGCATGATAGTATGATGATAGATGGAATTACTGGTGTCAATTTCACTTTGCCTCAGATGAGATGCAGAATCCGTGGTTGAGTGATGGACACCGCCTTGACCACCACCCAAGAGATTGTGCCAATCTCAGAGGCATTATAAATGTATAGAATATGAAACCCCACACAGTTTAAGTTTGGAAAAAACTTTGTCAACTATAGACACTGTTCTTAAAAAGATTCCCCCACTTTGCATCTGCAAGATAACGTAAGTTTTGGAGTAGGTAAAATGTCAATCTTTTTGTTTGATTAACTATCTTAACCCTGGGTCGTAAATAAACGACGCGTAAATACACGCATGTTTATCACGAGTTGCGGGAGCGTCGTAAATTTACGCGCGATTAAAAAATATTTGTATAAAATCCAATTCTTATTCGATCGACTTGGGGATAGTATGAAAATGTTTGCCATTAAATTTCCGTTTTCTCTAATAAGCACATGGGCTATTTGGGAGAACGGCATTGTATTGTATCTTAGTGGAAAGACTATTGTATTGTTGACAAAGCGAATGTTCTCGCCCACTTCACACACTCTTGGTGTGGGCCGCGATCATGATTCTATATTTATATGCATATATCCGTGTAGGGAATTTAATTGCAATCACAGTGATACCAAATTTAACGCTGTAGGACAAGTGTGGAGTTGACAACCCTGAAAAGAATAGAAACATTTCGTCGCTGTTTGGAGCTCACGGCTAGTGATCGATGTAGTTCTTTAGCTTTTTATGTGATTTAACTCATGCTTTGGTGACATATACATATGATCTTATATGTTCCTATAGATCATTCTATTGCGAACACATCGGCATAAAAATGAAATCTGTACATCGAAAATTAAGGTCAGGACAGCGAAAAAGAGTATACACTTTTCAGTGTTGCTGCTGGGTCACCCGAAAACGTCGAATTCACCTGGAGAAAGTCGAAGTCCGTCCAGTCCATTTCGTGGAGGGAGTGAAAGTGTTATTAAGTAGTTTAAATATCAGTTTAAGTCCTAGCTGTGGCAGGATGAACAACCCAGCAGGTTTTCTTCCTATTGTGGGTGTTATGCATGCTACTATGGCGATATATTCACCTACAAGATGAGCGGCACCGCCTAATAAACTCTTCCTTCATGGCAAATTCAAAACGGTAAATTATAGATATACTTAATACTCGCTCAATTATGTATTAATGTATTTCATTAACATACGGTATATAAGCAGAAACTAGTTTGATTGCAAATGATGGGTTTACATACTGTACCTTAGATTCTGTAGCAAGTATTGGTTTTAAATAAGTTAAAATTGTACACTTTGTATTGAATAGTATCATTAAAAGCAAAAATAATTGTCCTAATTAAGATGACGGACTATGAGACTTGCCCAACTTGGTGCAGTGTACAAATAAACTTTCTTAATTATGTACTAAGTCTGTTTCTACTTTTAAATAAATTAAATGAAGTACAGTACAGTATTTGGGAGGAAATTATTTAGTATAGGACCCTTTAATGGATTACCATTTAAGATTCAGCAAAGTCAGTCTTGCATCTTCAAACATGGTTTGCTTCTCATGAAGTTAATAGTTTATTATATTCATGTTAACTGAAGTTAAATTTGTTGATTCCATGTATTCCATGCAACTTCCTTTCTGCTATGCTCTGTTTGGGTATTGTTTATCCTTACCTCTGTTTGCTTATTTGACATTATGATGTCTTTTTCAATGTTAAGGGTTTGCTAGTCAGCCCCAAGTGAACTATTTGGAATTCATTCAGTATTTCCTGTTAGGATAAATTGGTTAGTACTTAAGAAAATTATGATTATCAGCAAATGGTATTGGGTACATCATTGATGTAAATGAGAAAAAGTAAACTGGTATACCACCCTGTTGAATACAAATATAAATTGGTAGTAGGCGAACTAGCATCTACAGAAACTTATGCGTGTCTGCCACTGAAATAAGGCAAGGTAATTATCAAGAGCAACTGCTAAGCCAATATGAGTGTACATCACTTAAGATCAAATGTACTAAGGTGCCAGTGATGCAACTTATGGAGGCTGTTATATGGTTAAAAAGTGACTAAGACCTTTTGCAGATCAACAAATTTTCCTATAGTCTGGTACATTTTTGTTAAAAATTGCAGTTTATAGTCTTTTTAAGGGCTCTAAAATTATATTAAGAGCTAAGTATATTAGTTAGGTAGTAAAGCTCTTTGTACGGGTCTATTCGAACTTTGAGATAGGTTTTATTTGAGTGTTTTTCAAATTATATGGAAATTGGTTTTCAATTAGAAATATGCATGGAAGAGTTCTCTCCTTGTTTTCCATTATCTTTAAATATATTATGAAACCGGTATTCAAACTTCACTTGAGAAAATCCGTACCGTGATGAGGATTCGAACCTATGCACTGGGTATTCCCAGACAATTATATCATTGATACTTTACGATACTGATTTCTGTTTAATTGAGAAGCTCTTCGCACATGGTAGAGACCTCAGTCTTTAAATATATACTGGGTTCACTATATTAAAGGTATGGGGAGCGGGGGCATATAAGAGGCAAAACTAGGCACTAATTGTTAGAAATATAGTAGATAATCATGTTACACAGCATTACACTTATGTGATCCAATAAACAATAACAATAAATAGTAGTAGAGGAACTTTGAACTTACACTGAATGCAAGTCAACTGGAAAACTTCTAACCAAAGTTAGAACCTATCACAGCGTCAACACTTTAAATATAAATATATAGTACTGTACTGATGTTTCTATACAAACTGAAAATGAACAGGTATAGCTACCATCATAATGACACACTGCATACATTGTTAGTCACACTAAAATAATTCAAAGATACTGTAAATAGGATTATTTTGAAAGAGATTTCTGGAATTTACTCTACCTAACAAAATGCAATTTAAAAAGCTTGCAAGAGCAAATGTTAAGGTGCCGAGAAATGTACATCAAAGGATTTTTGAAGTACAGATAGAATTGTCGTGAGAGAAACTGCAGTGATTTACTGTTTAGGGAAATATAGATGGGTGAATCATACCATAATTCTATTTATGGTAATTCAAAAGTCAACAAAAAGTCTGCATATGCTGGAACCAATTGAACACCCCATGTAATAAATGTGAAATGGAGAATAACAATGTTGTCAAATATTTTTTGTTTATAAATGCATTAACACAGTACAGTATTCTTTTCCTTAGATACATTCACAATACAACACGCCTGTCGACTGCCACTTTTTGTTTGCAGAAACACCGACATCTGTTTTTGTTATATCAACTTGGCTTTTTTTTAATACTTACCCAAGGATACACATTGACACAATGATTATTTGTTCTACATATTTTAGCTTCCCAGTGCAAGTTGAAACTGCTGTAAGTGATAAACCAGCAAGTGCTACTTCAAGTCTCTACCATTAAAAAGTATTTGATGCTCCTGAAGCTTCTACTTAACTCTTCCCTCAATGAATACAAAATACCGGCAAATAATGCATCAAAGGCCAGCTAAAGTATCATTGATTGCTGAAACTTTCCTTTATTTGCCACAGTACTGGATATGCATTCAGAATGAAAAATAAAGTGAAAATCAAGAAAATAAAAAATCATGGATTGTCGATGCAAGTTATACACACACACGAAAGCAGAAAGTTATGATAAAGTGTGGCTGGAGGATAAAAAATACAAAAAAAAAAAGGCTCATAATTAGAGTAATACAGTACTATCTATCCAGATAAGATGAAGGGAAGAAAGCCATGTACGTTACTTTAAAATATAATGGATTTATGCACTGATAATGTCTGTAAAAAATCTGAATCGAGATCAGCTGGTTGCCATACAGAATTTACAAAAAGTTTTATTATTCCATCAAGTAATCATTGTTTTATATACAAGTGTATTAAAGGACAAGCAAGCAAGCAAGCAAGCAATTACACACACAATTGAAGCAGTAAGAGAAAAATCAATAAACTAACTCCAGCATAGCTTGTCAAGAGGTGTGATGACAGTGAACACACTTTTCGAGTATGCAAAAATCCAGTTTTCCTATTTGTAACAAACTTTGTTGTAATTTGTCTAAACTTTGAAGTGTCAGAAGACAGGAAATGGTAATATTTTGATCGAGTTCCTTGGTTTAAGTTCGTATGCATGTAAGAATACTGTACTGTATATACGCACATGCAAACATATACAGTATAAGCAAATGCACCCGACTATTTGTGCAGTCCCAATTGACCAATTGCCAGGAGGCCTGATCGAGGACCGGGCCGCAGGGACATTAGGCCCCAAAATCATCACAAGGTAACATACTCAATACTTCATATGTATTAAAAGGTAAAATAATTATCAGAAGGAGGTGCTAACCAGTACAACTACATAGCACCCAGAAGGAATACGAATACAAGAAACTGGTATAGGATGCAGGAAAGGATCGGACCATCATGGGATGCATGGCAACCTGCAAAATGCAAGCCTGTCGCTGTACTGATTAGGCAATTTGGATTGGTATCTATTATATATATATATATTAATAACAGTATATTGAAAGAACACATTTTAAAGTTCAGAACACGGTCACATTACTCTGGTATATTGTACGTGTTATATATTACATTCATTACCATGCTGAATATAAATTCTTTAACTTTGCACCATTATATAAAGACCTACAAAATCTAGTATAGCTTTCCAGTATAATTGTGTACAGTACTATGAACTCCACAACTGTACTTTATATATGTACTAATATACTGTATAATTCATACGTAAAACGTATAGACAAACTGCAACACTTGTCTCACCACTGTATAAACAATTCAACACCAATGCCATGTATAGTGAGTGTGCAATATTTCATCTATACTCAACTTGTATTAAACTGCAACTAAGCTATCAGGCCAGACACTGTTCCATTAGTTCTTTAGCGCTATACAACATAAAACCAAACAATAGATTTACTATTTCAATCATCAAGATTTGGGAAACTATAGCATATCCATTTTACAAAGCAAAAGGTTTCATCCTCTTCAAATAACTTTAGTATACCCACAGATGTTTAAAAAAAAATGTCATATCTGATTTTATTAAATATACTGTATTTAAATAATTCAGCATATACCGTATTTTACTGATCTCCAGGGTCTATGTTCCTATAGTTTAAGACATTCAAAATTAGCGACACTTGACTTTTATTCATCCCACTTGAATTATGAGCAAACAGAAATTTGCTTAGGATAATGCAGCAAGAAAAACTTCACTGAAAATAGAGCCATTTTTGGAATATCTTAACGTAATGAGTTTCATACTCTTTGACAAGATAGGTATACCTTTAACTATGACCTTGTAAATCATCATCATATTTTAAAGTCAGATTCCCAAAAGAAATATAAAATGCTTAAGCCACATTCACAACGTATCTCTTACTATAAACTCCACGTGTAGTACATGCAAATTATATACCAGTAAACCAAAACTGTTCCAATCCAAATGGAAACCAAACTAATTAAACAAGATTGTGCAACACACTTCCAATCAACTGCTATGCGTGGCTTGTCTAAACTCCGATTTTGATAAATGCTATCACACACTGGGAGATAATTTGGCAATATCTACTGCTTTTAAAATCCCCGCATCATGTATCTTTTGTAAATTACATATGTCACTTCTTGTCACCCCAAAAACAAACTTACTTTTGTATCAATATTAAACATTCTGGACTAAACATCTTTCCAGAAATTCACATATCTCTGAAATAAAAATATAAACTTGGAAGTTGAAAAAATTAAAACTAGAATGCCCAGCTTTCATGAAGTGGCAACACCTAGCCAGAAAAGAATCTTGTTTACAATTGTCAAATTTAGAGTGAATAAGATAATGTCGACATTTAAACCTACAACAATGTTTTGGAACTCGCTTATTTAATAAGAATTTAGGTTTAATAATTTTCAGTGACACGTGGCCTTGCATAGTATCTTCCACACTCGATAGCATCCTGGGAAATCAGTTCTATACAAAAAAATATGCACAGATGTATCTTGGAAGTTTCGTGCATAGTGCAAATTACTCCAGACGAATCATAACTTCCATTCACTTACTCAGTTCAATCATACTACTACTACTACTCGGTTCATTCCTACATATCTGCTACTGACACATCCACTCTCCTCCTATCTTTCAAGAAATTTACAGTTCATTTAATATTCTTTCATTCCATTCAACTATTCAAATATTACAAAAATGTAATCCAGTTCTTCACATGTTTGCATCAAAATCCAGTCTGAAATGTCATAAATAAAGTTGACTCTTGCTTTCATCCTCTTTCCTACACCTGTCCAGATGAAATGTTATCACACTTGAAATCCATGCATTTAAATGTTAATAACCACAACTATACTTAGAGTTTAATTTCATTCCTCAAAGCACCTAACAATGGATCTCTTGGTTCATAAAATGCTTTCTTCTTGCTGTCTGTAGCTTCATTATTGCAGGGGTAGATACACTGACATTCATAAGCTAATGTCAAGGTAGTTGATCGTATGGCCTCGTTTACACACACACACACACACACACACGCACTCACACCAAAATATCGTTGGTTCTCATCTCTGGCTACACTCACACGCTGCGGCACCACTACGTACTGCTCAATTTCCTCCACCTCCACAATACCTTATCAGTGTATATCATTTTCCACATTTGTTATGTTATTCACTTCAATTTGTGTCTATTAATTCTCTGCTTACTCTCCTACTTGAATATGCTTAGTGAGGGAATCGTTATTCCGCATATTCTTGCTCCACAGTTCAAGCAGATGGTGAGTGTTTCATGTATTCAACAGTCATAACTTAATAAGAAATCTATTCAATATTTCAAGGTATCCTTCAAACATCTTTAGCACTTTGAATAACAATAGTGTAAATGCCTGCAAGAGATTCCCGTAGACTTCTTTCTCAAGGAAGATCAGTTCATGGCAAAAAGTAATTATAGGAAAGAACAAATTATGAGAGAAAACAATCATTGAAGTAACTAAAGACTAACACAGAACACTTTTCCAGATCAGGAACTACATAAAATATATAGAATAAAGATCAACAGAAGTCACGCCTTTAAACAATTATTATTTTTGGAATGCATAAGGAATTGGAAAGTTGAAAAAAAAGGAAAACACGTGGGATATCCACAAATAAAATAAATGGCAAGAGAAATTTATACACACTGGACAGTAGATGGTGTGAGGTTACAGAATGAGTTAGCTAAACTTACAAAGGAGCTGATTTGAGTGGATTAAAATGAGGAGTTATACCTTGAAGAAAGCAACCAGCATTCTGGATACCATAAAATTGGAACAATAATGGAAAAAGCACATTTGGAAAGGTTCAATGAAGCCCTATTCAGTTAGGGCCAAACCTTTTTAATGGGTTACTGGAGGAAATAAGGAATCAAGTAATTAAGATAATCAATGAATGTGACAAGGTTTATTGGGAGAGTAATCTCCCTCTCCTTTCAGTAACACTGGATATAAGGAAAAAAAAAATTCATCAAAACAGAATAGTCAGGAGATTCTCCTATATCCAATAACATTGGCTGTAAGAAAAATAATTTGTCAAAACAGACTGCAAAAAATTAAGATAGGTTCCTTAGAAGTTGATGTTTTACAAAAATCAAAATAAATTAATGGTAGGAAACCAGTGGGATAATGGCTGTGGAGACCTTTACTATAACGTAATATTTTATGATATCAAGGTGAACGTGAACTTATTTAGACAAATTAATGGTACGGCAAAGCATGCCGCAGCAAAGCACAAGTTCAGTACCGTATAGCAGAAGCTTCGGCAAGATTTGCATACCTGCAATTAAAGTATATTTCATATATATACAAATAAAGTATCACATAACCCAGCAAACTGTATAAAAAGATATCCAACCACCATATTCAGCCAAAAAAATATAAAAAATAATAAAAAATGACCATAAAAGCAAGCTAAAGCACAAATTAGCGAAGACTATCAACATGTACTCAATTTCTGAAAATCGAGCGAGTGTTTATCATACCTCTCTTAGTACTTAAACAAGCTGCTTCATCAATAGATACTACCAACTCATTGTTATATTTGAATGAAGCTAATTTGAGTTTTCTTTAGTTTAGCTGGTGATGCAAAAAAAAAAAAAAAGTAATTACACATAAAAATGCAATTATGGTCCAGGAATCTCTCTCAACAGGGGAGCAGTTTTAACTGTGTTGGTACTAACTTAATACTAAATTTTAAAACAAGAACAAGGAAACCAAGATGTAAATATTTAATATAGTTACTTGATCAGTCAATACAAAATCTTTTCACATGCACAATGAAATCACAATAGAGTAATATATCCACGTGAAAATCTTTGGTGGAGCAGGGCGGTAGACTTTAACCCACGTCCCAGGTCACCCCAGCAACGATGGGTCTGGGTTAGCTTGGGACAAAGGTTCAATTCCACTGCCCTGATCCAAAATTTTTATCAATGCACCTTCATGTCTTCCTCTCATGAATTCTAAACTACAATAACTTTATATAACAATTCAACAGCTTTACAACAATTAAGACACTGTCACTTCTTCCAAAACCTTTCGGCAGTTTTCCTCGAGGTCCTGTGCAAGGGTCATGATGGTACTTTGGTCAGTGCTTTCTTGTAAACGTTTCATTTGTTGCCCGAGAAACACGCGTAATGATATTGTGTGTACAGGATCCGCTTGTGCCAAGGCCTGCCGTCTCAGTACATGTTCAGTCTCGAGTTCGTAAGGCTCCGGAGATCCAAGACGGCCACCATTGATGACCTGCCATAAATAATAAGCAAAAGCATATGGAAAACCAGTCTGGCAAAGAAATAATTTGAAAAATAATACATGTACACATGTTAGAAAAGAATGAGGGAGCGTGGAGATATGATAACATATAAAATACTTAGGGGAATTGACAGTAGAAATAGATGAAATGTTCACACTGAATACAAACAGAACAAGGGGACACGAGTGGAAGCTGGAAACTCAAACGAGTCAGAGATGTTAGAAAGTTTTCTTTTAGTGTGAGAGTAGTGGGGAATGGAATGAACTAAAGGACCACATTGTGGAAGCAAACACTATTCATACCTTTAAAACTAGGTTTGATAGAGTAAGTCAGGAGTCATTGCTTTGAACATCTGAAGGCTAGAAAGGCGGGATCCAAGAGCTAACGCTAGATCCTGCAGGCACAAATAGGCGAATACACACACACCTCAGCCTAGGGGCCCTCAAGGCTGAGTGGACAGCGCTCAGGGGGTCATAGTCCTAAAGATTCGAGTTCAATTCCTGGCTGAAGCAGAAACAAATGGGCAGAATTTCTTTCATCCTGATACCCCTGTTCACCTAGCAGTAAATAGGTACCTGGGAGCTAGAAGCTACTACAAGCTGCTTCCTGGGGATGTGTGTGTGTGTTAGAAATTTATGTAGAAGATATAATAGAGGAAAAATACAGGTTAGAAAGGAGGGGTCCAAAAGCTAATAGCTCAATTCTGCACACACAAATAGTAAACACACACACAAAATGAGTCAATATGTATATAATGTATTTGTGTACAAGCATGTGCATTGGGTTTGTGTATGTAGGAAAAGGTGTGGGCATATGTAGGAAAAGGTGTGGGCATATGTACATTCATGTGTGTGTTTTTCTCATGTGGTACTTTCACAGCATTTAAAAATAAACTCAAGTACTGCCTCACCAGCTTATCTTGTATTGAATCTTCCATAGTCACATCAAACACCACTTCAACAACAGCAGTAATAGCAGGTGGCCACACTTTGAGAACTGGAGGCCAACCTGAACCACACAGGTGAGCCAGACCGAGGCCACACAGCTTGCGTCGCTCTTCGGGAGATACTAAGGCTAGTTTATTAGCCCAGACACTGACAATGCGCTCCAACACCTCTTCTGGTCTCTTGGCTTCACCGCTGGCAGTCTAATTGTAGAAAATAAAGGTTACTATTCGATTTAAAACAATAGTTACCATTTATATATTGTAATACATACAAATTATTGTAATCTTGTTAAGCACATTGAATGCTCTAATGCACTTGCAGAATTCTACCTATTACATTTATACCCAAGAAATGATGGTTTTCAGTTCTCTCATGAATAACAAAGATTCAATCTGCTAGTCAAATAAACAAAGCTGCGATTCAATTCTGGTGAACGTGATAAAACTCACCTCGTTAACAGCCCACATAAATATAGGTTCAGCATAGAGGACTAATCTAGCCACCAGAGAGAGATACATTGACATTATCATCGGGTACTGGTCTCCTTCAGCAACTGCCTTAATGACGCCAGGCAGCAGGGGTTGTATCAGAGACGCACCCTCAGCAGGGCGCACACGGAGTATCATCTCCACTGCCCGAAGCACCAACACCATACCTTCACTCTTAATATCCGTTAACATTGAGTTAAAGGTTCCAACTAAACGACTGCCGTATCTGATAGAAAATAAACGAGATTCCTTAACACAAAGCTACTGTATATTTATATTTGTTAAAACAATTTTTGTTTTCTACTTATATGAAGATAAATTATTTTACAAACATAAGTTATACATTTCAATGTCAACATATTAACCAGGAGGCATAATAGGAACTAATATTATCATCAATCAGCACGGCAAGCATGAATCTAGTCATAGAGAATGGCTTCTTCCCCCACCCCTTAGCCACCCACCATGACCTGCTGGTTATTCCTCAGCTTAATGCATATTAAGCATGCTGCTCCAGCGGTTATCCCAAAGACACTGATTTTTATACCAGACTAGTTTATTGCTTACTAAGAGTGTGGAGGGAGCACCACCCAGGTCTTTCTTCAACTCCTCTCATCTCTTTTTCTTTCCCTATCCCCATCTCTTCCCATTTTTTTTTCCACACAGGTGGGTGAAAGTACAGACAACTTCTGACTCTGTTAGCAGGCTGAAAGCTTTTCCCCTTTTCCATCAACTCATGTTAAGCCTTACCCAGTAGTGTCCATTGGAATACAACCTGTCAATCGTTTAACAACCAGGTATGCAATCACTGCTGGGTGAATGGAGGCATGCTGTTAAAGATTGGCAACTAGTCAATCTTCCCTAGCCAGGATATGAACCTAGACTAAATTTCTGTCACCAACTTTCTCCCCAAGATCATCTCCCACCCTCTTCCCCTTTTTCTTATCTCTCTTCAAACATCCCCCTCTTTCTTTCTCTCCTCTCAGTCTCAGAAAAGGGTTTGTAGATTTCCAGTGAAGAAATCTAAGGACTTTGCCAGCCCATTTCATTGATTAAGTGGTGGTGGTGAAGCAGGTCACTATTAGGCCTCACCCCACCCCTTCTTAATTAACAGGACCAATAGGACCTAGCCCAAACCAGCCTTTGTCTCATACCCAAGACCATTCATCCTGCAAAGTTGGGGGGAGGATAACCATAATCATATAGCCTCTAACCTCCCCACAAAAAACTGAGTGTGTGCTATATCCTTGTTTATATTATTCTGAGCACTACTAATACTGCCACTTTAACTAGAACAAATTAAATAATTTTACCAAATGCCCAATTTATCTTGGGGTGAAGAGTCTCTACACATAACTGGGGACAAAAATATACTAATCACAACTTATTAATGATAATACATTAAAGACAAACAAGACAGCTTGAAAGTAAAGCTTACTTTAAAAGAAACTGTTGTGGGCAGAGCAGTGTGTAAGCAGTTGTGATCTGCAGGCAAAGTCTTAGATTTTCAGATGACAATTCCAGCAAGGGAAGCATGTTATCGAAAACCTGTAGGAGAGCGTCATGTGGATTTGCTGTATTTTCCAGTGTGGTCAGCCACAACAGCAGGCCATCTTCCAGGAGATACACATGACAGTCTTCATTGACATCTGTTGATATGCGCACAATGTTGATGAGGAACTCGTGCAAGCTCTCACTTTCTCGCTGTGAATGAAAAGTGAATTCTCAATTTGCCATTATTGTACTCGAGATTTGTTTTTTTTTAAATACAAGGCAGGCATAGGCAAGAGTTTGTATTGGTAGCATATAGGAAGCAGGGGGTTAAGTGTGAACAGGGCACAGAAATTGGCAATGAACAAGACTAGCTGTCATAGGCACAATCAGAGAACACTGCATGAGTGTCAAAGGCCCACGATTGTTCAATATCCTCCAAGCTGGTATAAGAAATATTGCCAGAACAAAAGAAAGCCGTCAAGAAAAATTCGGAAAATTTTCTGAACGAAGTGCTAGACCAACTGGACTGTAGTGGATATGTGGTTCTGTGGACTGCTCCAAGCAACAGCCTGTTGGAGCAAGTCCTCACAAGTTAAACCAGGCCCAGGCAGGGCTTAGGGAGTAAAAGAACTACCAGAACCCTATCCAGATCTAAGCACATTAATAGGATGTTTTACACTTTTTTCTATAACTTGCATAGACCACTTTTCACATTGTTTCATAATTCTGAACAAAATTGTCACGAGATGAAAGCCTGCCCACAGTGATACACTGGCAAAAATTGTGCCCCCCAGTTTAGGCCCATGGCTGATGTGGCTCGATCACTCTACAGTGCCACCAGAAAATAATGACCTTGTTTTATGTTACTGTGGTACAGTATGAGGATAGAGTCCAATGGGAAGAGCCAAGAGACAAATAAATAAGTGCAAAGAATGCTTCTGGGAAGAAGAAAAAGTGCATAGTAGGAATGACATCCAAGATCAAATTATAAAAGGGCCCTTCCTAAATGCAACATAACCATGGAGACCCCATCTAGCCGACTTGCACTAGTGTAGCGTAAAAGCCAAAATGTGCTGAATGAGCATTTACTCCCTGGCAACTTCATGTGAAGATGGCAAGAGAACCCAGGTCAGAAAGGTCAGAAGAGGAACTGGATAGAAACCAGGGCAGAAGACAGGCAAGCTTCTGAGCCAGGCAAAGGAGCAGGATTCAAACACCTGGCCAGTACAGTACAGTACAGTACAGTACCTGGAAACTGTTGCTGCAGAGAGGAAGTCCCTTGCTCCACTCAGGAAAGAAAACTCCTACCCACAGAAATGACGAGAAAGCCCCAGATGATACACAAACCTCTCAAACATGTTAAGAGGAGGAATGAAATTCTCAGCCATCAATTTACTTCATTCTCAGCCATCAATTTACTTCAAGGAGCACCTGAGTGAGATAAGACCAAGGATACGGAGAGTCCTTTTAAAACTGAAAACAGTCGGGCCTGCTGAAATTTGCAGAGTGTAGGTGGGTCCACTCCTAACAATGACCCAGAAATATACCAAAGGGGATGCAGAGGTATCATCCAGCTCAAACGAGGACAGAGGACAACAGAGGGTACCAACCTCAAAGAACAGCTCCTCAGGTTTTGGTACCAATGCCCAATCTGGGTTAAAGACACCTATTACCCAGTCCTTGGCTACCTCGAACACCTACAACATCCCCTGGCCCAAGAGACGAGCTAGGGATGGAGTCCAAGGATTCTCCAGAACAAGAAGGGGAAGGGATGGGGGGGGGGGGTTAAAATGCCGCCCCTGAGGGACTCGACCCATTCAAAACGATGACCTCCAAATTGTTGACAACGGGTAAACTACCACTTCCCTCATTCCCATCTTCTCTTCTTTAATCAGGATAAGCTGTTTGTTTTGCTTTGCCTGTACCTTCCGTTCAGTTTTTTGCCTTGTTTTTAGACCCGTCTCAATTCCCATTCTTCCCTCACACCAGATTCTGGCCTCGCATTTGGTAGGCCTGCACAAATCCAGAGGCCTTAATATTTGTCTCTCTTTGGAGAGCAAGAGCCAATACATCGGGAAACTACCGAGGAGCAGCCCAGAAAAGGAGAGAATTGGTCGAGACTTCACTCATCACCACACATATTCAAAGACAAATAGTGTACTGAATAAATAGATAAATGCTTAATTGTGTCATTATATGAAATATAACAGAACAAAATAAATTATTCTTAAAAAAAGCATTAATGGATAAATAAATTCATGATTTTAACAGATTATGTATAGAACCTACCATAAGCCCAGTTACCATATGAACAAGTGTAGTCAATATAGCACAACGCAACATATTGTGATCAGCAGACTCCTCCCACAAGCTGGGTAAATACTGGGTCAAAGGAGCAGCATGTGGCTGGATACCCACTCCCACCACTTCAATCATGAAGGACATCACATGCAAAACCTGAAAATGTTTGTATTTATGTACTGGTGTTATTTCTTCCTAGAATGACTTGTACCAGCATGCACACATTCAAGACAAAGTAACAATGCCACAAAAAAAGATTTTCCAGTCATATCAATCTACTGCTGGATATGGCCTCTTTAAGGCAGTCTTATCAAGTAAGGTTGAGGACAGCTAGCAAATTTAGTTAAGACAATACAAGACAGGTGCAATAACAGTACAGGTGAACCTCGTTTAACATCAGGGTTAGGGTTCCTGAAAACTGCAACATTACATGAAATGATGTTAAGTGAAACCAAAACTTCTAGCTAAGTTTCTAACATTAATTATTTTTTCAGTACACAAAAAAGTTTTGTTTCAGTAGTGTTCATTGACAATATTTAAGTTAGTCCTTATATACAGCACTTCATTTTTTCTATAAATACCATAGGTTTCTACACAGTTGTCTTTAGGAGTGTTTGCCTTTCAGGATACCACAGAAGAATTTAAATTTATTTTTGTTTTAAGTATTAGAAAAAGAAATGATGTTAACCGAGGCAATGTTAAATGAGGTTCAACTATACTTATATACATTCTATGACATTTCCTTTAAAATAATATTTGCACATTCTTACCTGCATTTTTGTATCACATTCATGGGCCTCCTTTAGAAGGCTGAATAAAAGTCCAAAGATAGTTGGGAGATATGGCATAAACTGCTCTGGATCAAATTCAAAGTCATCCACAGAATGTTTGAGCGTCATGGCAGCACTCAGACGAACGACGAAATCCTCATCAGCAGCCAAAAGACGAATGCAAGCTTCATACAGTGTAGGCCGATGTTCCGGTGAAAACTTCACACTCGTCCACTGTCCGATAAGCCAAATCACACGGCGTCTAATTATGCGATAGTTTGAGTTCTTAACATTTAATTCATTAATTAAAGAAGTAGTAAACCACTGATCAAAGTCAATGTCATCAAATAGCTCAAAGGCAGCCAGGCCAACAGCATTGTATACAGCATCCTTCTGAAGAATACCATGGTAGTCACTTGGATCAACAGGGTTATGCGATGATCGCACCATTTCCATCAATACTGGTATAAGAGCACTTCTATACTCGTGAAATAAGGACACAAACAAGGTTTCCGTACATGGTCTGAGACTGTATTTCCATGATTCACCTCCCTCGACTTCCATACAAAATCCTTCAGGATCAGAATCCCACACCTCAAGATCATCTTGATTAAGTAAAAAGTAGTGAGATATAAGTTTGTGGCACATTCCTGCTAAAACCGAATTCGTGAAGAACTCGGACTTGACCCTAAAGGCTTCAAGAGTCTGGGGATCCTTGGTATCCTCTACAACTTTGCATGGCTTATACTCCGGACACAGAAGAATAGCTTTAATTAGGTTGAGACACTGTACAGTAAATCTTTCAAATATTAATCCATCGCCTGCAGGTGTAAACACAAAATAAGCTGTCAGATCCAAGCTGGGCTTTATAAACTGTAAATAGGAGAATGGAAAGTTTTCTAGCACATCACGCAACACTTTCGTCAAAAGCACTGTATACTTCCCAGAAATTGTTTTAATATGCTCATGATTTTCAAACTGTTTCCTGAAAGTCAACATAACTTTGATACGATCAAATATGCTCGTCATAAACAATACAGCATCTTCACTTTCTTCAGGCTTCTTAAACCCATGTATTATGAGCTTACGCAGGATCTTGAGTGCAAGGTGTGAACGCTCCAAACACGATATTACAATCTCAAGATTCTGCTCCCCAGCTGCAAGGAAAGCTTCTGTTTCAGACTGCCATAGTTTCAGAAGGAATGTGAACATCTGATTTGTTAACTCCTGAAAAGATGGGTAATCATTAATTACTGTAACAACAAATTTAAGATGTTAACATCACTGAGAAAAGTGAGCAAATCTTTAACCTATTTGCATATAACCTCTCACTAACAAGACTATAAAGCTTACAAGAAGTCTTATGAAGCAGTAAGGAAGGAGGGGAAAACAAAAATAGATAAGAATTATTTTGTCTTGAATCCTAGCACTGAAATTGGAAGTCATTTGCCATGAACCAAAGAGGAGCTGCTCTGGGTGATTTACTTAAATTGTGATACCGATTCTCTGATGCTCAGTAGTGCTTAAGCTACAATGAATGAACAGGTGTCACTTTTTAATATATTTATCATTCACATCTCACACTTCTGCCATATCTTCTCTAAAGCCAAAGCATCTCTACACCATGCATGAAAGTAGGAAATCGGTAATGACAGTAATCTTTTCAGTCTTGTTCGGCTTAACAAGGGCTATGAACAAGCCTCTTTTTCTTTTTCTCCCTGACTAGCTACTCTCAACTATACTTGTACAAATTATTTGTATCGGTCGCGTGCATGAGTCCTGCCTGAGGCCGGTTTCTAGCTTTTCTACCCTCACAGACTAGCCCTGAAGCCAACCCTCCCTGGGAAAAGCCTCATCAATATGGCTACTCTAGGTCACAGTCATCACACAACTCTTCTGAACAGGTATTCCTATGGGAATTTGCTTAAATCACTTTAGGAGACTTTAACCTTTTGTCATTTAAACTGATCACCATCCTCTAGCAATTTTAAATTTAATTACTTGTTTACACATTCCTTCTCTCTCTCTCTCTCTTACTACCACCAATATTTCTGTCCTCTCACTTTTACGTCTTTTACCAATAGCATTAGCAACCCTTTCAATTACTTTACTAGAAAAACCACATCAAAAGCATGCTTCAAATTTGATGCATTATTTATTCCAACCATTCACACTGTCTACACACTTCTCTAATCCTTTTACTTTGACTTAACTGTTGATCTTATCCACACATTCAATACATTTAATAGCCATGGTATACTCCTACATTAATACTAAACCAGCTCTTCATTACATCATTAATTTAATTTATAATTTATAGGCCTTTGCTCCTCTTGCCTCTCTGAGGGGGGCCAGGTTCTTGCTCGTGATCCCCGGTAGGCCTAGAACTCCACCCACATCGACTGATGCCAAAGTTAGGGATATCCATATCAGCCTGGATAGCTCTGGGGAGCCGTAGAGGCTCCAACTAGAAAAAACACTTAATAACATTTCATCCGTACACGTGCCACTTATTCTCCAAAGATCCCTCTCAAATTCCCAAAAGTTGTCATATGTTTCCTTTAAATCTATAGTGGCCATATACACCTCAGGGTACTTTGTTTAATAAATCCTTCAAGGGATACAGGTGGGAAATCGGCCCAAGTGTAGATGAAGAACTACTTTCAGAATGAGACAATTGTATGCTCCTTTCAGAATGAGACAATTATATGCTCCTTTCAGAATGAGACAATTGTATGCTCCTTTCAGAATGAGACAATTGTACGCTCCTTTCAGAATGAGACAATTGTACGCTCCTTTCAGAATGAGACAATTGTATGATCTTTTTTGCCAATGTTTCTCATATGCTTTATGAAAGCTTCTTGTGTAGATTGAGAGGTGGGCAGAATATTTAGAAAGTACTCTGTTGATGTGCAAGTGTTGTCATCTTGTGGTGGTTGGAGGTAGCAATCGAGTGGACCAACTAGCGATTGGCAAGCAACCCTTAGCAGTCCTTTTGGGGGTCAAGTAACCCTTGGAAGAGTAGAGTATTCTCCAGTGTCTTCCTTGTATCAGTATGACCTGAGCAGAACATTTTAATGTTACAATTGCATGAAATGTCAACTTGTCCTGTGTGGGTAAAATTCCTATCTATAGGAATAACTGGATCTTGCCCAAGAAAGCAACAGTCTCTTGCTTGGGAAGCAGTTGATCGCATGCACTCATTGCCTAAGTTACTGAAAGTCTCCTTGCTACACTTCTTTACTTTTCTAAAAAGAGCTTTCTATTTTTCTGATATTTTGAGTCTACTTAAACACTACTTTCTACTAAACTAGTAATCATTTATCTTTTATTATCCTTTCTTATTTTGACCTCTTTCCTTTGCTTGGCATCCACATAATCCACCTTTTATTCTTGCCACCAACTGCTCTTACCACTTTCTTATCCCACCACACAACTTCTCTCCCTCTCCCCCACCAGTTAATGTAACCCCACACACATGCTAATCATTCTTAGCCAAACATTCCTTGTATATACACACACGCACAATTATCACCGAGAGTTGTCTGCTAAGTGTCTTGCTCCAAAATCCCTACAAAGTGTCAGGACAAGCAATGTAAATAAAAACTGCACTAATATTATTAAGCATTCCAAAATGACACACAGTTATTAAGAAAGTACACATTTTATACCTGAAAGGTGCGCCGGTCAGCTGCAAGTCTTTTAGAAGCCAGCTGCTTGATAACATGATGCAGAGTAAGAAGGGTCCGATGTTGCACAAGTTGATCGTTGCTCTTAACAGCCTCAAAGAGAGCAGGAAGAAGATCTGGCCATTCTCGTGGACAATCCACACGGGCAATCTTGGCTATAAGAACAGCGAGCTGTGTGGCCACTTGTGGGACAGGTTCTCGCAAATTATGCAGAAGACCGCATCTAATCTGTGCCTGCAAGAAATTAATTCAAGAATTCTTCTCAATATTGAACTACACTTTTATGCTTGTCAATCACAACAATTTTTGAAAATCATTTGATGCTACTGAAGATCCTGAACATATTTGGAGAGGGAAACAATCTTTTCTTGCAATGCAGAACACATAAAACTGGTCTGATATAAATGTGATAGTGTGTCAAGAGTTGTCAAGTGTATTTGTGGGTATACAATTTGCATACGAATGGAGTTAGAAGAAAATAGTATGAATATTGCACAATACAATAATACAGTATATGTGTACTGTAGTTCAGACACCATTCTGCTGTCCAATTACCTCAGGATCAAAAGACTATCCAGCAATAGTGATCAACCATCCCGCCCCAATCAAAAGGACTGCATGCATCACAGGACTGGCAACTTTACAATAAAAATTGTATTCTTTTTGATAAATAGTTCATAAATTTGAAAGCACACATTCAAAACGTTCAGTTATCACATCAATTGACTATAAACTATACCTTTTCTACTTCATTAATTGCCTTGGGTGCAGTTTTCCTCCAATAGCGGTCAACGCCGTTCTTGAAATATAAAACAGCCAACCATCGAACATTTACCTCCAAGGCATGCTCGGAGAATATCTGGAATCATAGCAGATTTTTAGCAAATAAAACATTTTATTAATCCAATAAATAAAAAAATCAATTACATTAAAAAATGGATGGCACATTAAAAAGAAATAAATTAATTCTTCAAATCATACTAACGAATTCCTTACAGCTCTTTTTTACAAGTATTTAAAACAATATTTAGAACAACAAAAAGTTATAATCACAATTACATCGCTAAACTGAATTTGTCATAAAAACCAAATACATAAGGGTATAATTATGACCTAACACTCTCAAAAATGTCCCCAAAGCAACACTATTTTAAGGACATCACATATATAAAAAATATAGGATATGTGGCTAAAGAACTTACTTTAGCCACGTTATTGTGACTCATCGCCTGCATCACATACTTAACTTGTCAATTTAACGTCAATTTAACTTGTCAATTTTAATTTGTCAATTTAACGTCAAATACACCATCGCGAAAATGATCAGGTTCAAAGCAATACAGTACTAATACATTTTAAAGTCTTAATACACGTGTCTTCACAAAACTACGAAAAGAAGAAGAATCAGTAGATTTAAAATTAACATCCTTATACACAACACACACTGTACCATGGTACAGTAATGTGCTTCTTGTAGAGAACAGACACTGTCAACAATCACGCATACGATGACTTTTAAAGGCCTGCCAGACAAAGATGGGACTGTAAAAGAATATACGTAGTAACATGCATGAACTTCCTCAAGTCTACCTAAGAATGGTTTCATGTACAGTACAGGTATATGAAAATTGTTGCAGTCATAGCCAATCCATATTATAGATCACAACACAGAAAACGAAACTTTCAGATGCTTCTGAATGACATGGCTTCTTAATCACAAAGATTAAGAAATAGTTATATATTTAGGCCAGCAGACATGTACACAACGTCTAGGTGCATACTCTTACCTCAACTAGAGTAGAATAAAATCCTCGCTCCGTTTCCCATTCCTGAAGTTGGAGCTCTGCAGGTTTCAAGATGTTTGTTTCTTGGCTAGTAGCCCTTCGTAAGGTGTTCAGCACCAATTCTTTTCCACCACTCATTATGATCAGAGATTTGAAACTTGGCTATATACTGTATTTTAATTCTTGACCGAATGACTATACCATTTTGAAACAAATGCCTTATTTAAAATTAACAGCCCTTATTTACTGTTGGAAGAAGCACAAGTTTGGCTTTTCCAGAGAGAACAACTTGCCCATTATCTGTTTCACACACAAAGTCAACTGTAATAATTTTTCTTATCCCTGTCAGCCTGACAGTTACTTGAACCTCCTGTTCAGCGTAACATGGGTTTGGGAAATTAAGCTCCTCCTTCACTACGAGTGTTCCAGGGCCAGGAAGCTTTGTGCCAATGACACCCGATACGAGACTGTTTAAATAGGCACCATGAACAAGACACCCTTTGAAACTGGTTTCACTTTTAATATAACTTTGGTCAACGTGAAGAGGATTTGTATCACCTGAGAGTTTAGCAAATTTGTCAATGTCTGCAGAGGTAATTTTCTTCCTTAAAGTTACAGTGTCACCTACTTTTAACGATAAACATCGTGCGCTCAAGGGCAAAAGGATTCTAGGTAGAAAGCATCTAACTGTAAGTAGGGGATGAATCAGCAGTGACATGAAAATAATTGCTGCCTTAATGGTATTAGCACCAATCCTTCACATTGAAAACTAAATTCTGTTTACCATTTAATCAACAGTCTATCATATTTAACAATCAAATATTAAACGGTCCTAACTCTTTCACATTGTATTAGTGAACAGCTTTATTTCGGAAGATTTCTGTTATCATAATACAAAAATACAACATTTTATTCAAACATGGCACGTCTATGATATTGTCTGCACTCTCTTGATTTGATCAGATGTGCAGTAATCCTCCAAGAAGATTTTAGCCAAGTTACGAATGCGTGGATTTTCACTATTTGATCTGATCAGCATTTGCTGCACGACTTCTGTACTGGTGATATCTGAAAAGCAATGTTTTGCATTAAAATAAGATAACAATACTGGAAATACATCTCTGCCATTTTTTATTTTATTTTGTTTGTATGACTTTTTAATAGGGTTATAGGGTATGGGCTTGTTTATGATGCATTTTTGAGAGCGAGGGTTCTTGCCGGGGCTGGATGCACGCACACAGGCAAATGAAAAAAACGATCATGCACCCTGTTTTGATTTGAACCTAGGCCTTACATATCACAGGGTGACCTGAGCCTACCAATCTTTTATAATTGATCACAATGAACAAAGAGCACAAAAACATCAACAATTAAAGAGACTAATGTCTTGCATCAAACTACACATAAGAATTAAGGAAACTGCAGAAGGTTCACTGGCCCATACGAGGCAGATCCTATTTATATCCTCCCAAACGCACTTACATATATATATGTCTAACAATGTTGACCAAACCACACACTAAAAATTAGAGAGACAACAACGTTTCGCTCTATCCTGGACCATTATCAAGTCGATTGTGGTTCAGGACATGTCCAGGACTACATCTTGGAGGACAATCGACTTGATAATGGTCCAGTATGAACCGAAATGTCGTCATCTCTTCAATTTCTTGTGTGTGGTTTGGTCAAAATTTTTCAGCCACATTATTGTGCCTATTCATCTCTTCTACCTGGTAATCTGTGCATAAGTCAACAACCCTCTTTCCAAACCAGTAATTACAAAGAACTTTCCTAATTCTAAACTTATCCAATTCATATGCATCATTTCGTGTTCTATTTTGTGTTGACTTTAATACCTTATTAATATCCTCCTTGTCACATATAACAGGGATGGCATGAAGTACTGTACAATTACAAATTTAACTTACAGTACCCGTTTGCTCTATAGAACCATACACAAAAAAAACAAACATGCAAGACAAGGATCAAAAGATACCTCACTACATGCAAAATTAAAATGTGTCCCATAAATTCAGATAGAAACTAACCTGCCTTAGAGTGAGGTGTAATGAGAAACATGAGAGATGTGATTGCAGAAATGACTGTGGACTCCTCTTGGGCCGACAGGCATCTGCACATCAGTGCCACACCACCATGTTCAATTATATAGGATTTATTGGATTGATCTGAAACAAGGTCATTGAATCGTCAATAAAATTTTTGCTTAAATCTATAAAATAAAGATACACTGTACAGTGCTGTGTAAAGTATTTTTGCTCGCCCGCTCAACCAAACACCTGTACGTACTCCTTCCTTCCATTATAGCAGCGTTTCTCAGCCAGGGTTCTGCGAGAGGTCATTAACATTTGTGTGTTTACATATATGGTTGATTTTTGTGATAAATAAAATATATAAAATACATACATTCATGTATGAATCATACATACAATACATGTAAGTATATATCATACATACATCTACCATACATACATGTATGCATGTACCATATTGGAGTACCACAGGGTTCAGTTCTTGCACCAGTAATGTTCATTGTCTACATAAACGATCTACCAGAAAGAATACAGAATTATGTGAACATGTTTGCGGATGATGCTAAGATACTGGGGAAGATAGGAGTCGCAGACAATTGTAATGCCCTTCAAATTGATCTAGATGAAATAAGGGTTTGGAGTGTCAAGTGGCAAATGGAATTCACTGTGAATTAATGCCATGTTATGGAATGTGGAATCTGAGAAAATAGGCTACACAACTTACAAATTACGTGGAAAGGAGTTTCAGAACGCCAATAAAGAACGAGACCTGGGGGTGGTTTTGGGTAGTAAGCTGTCACCAGAGGAACACACAAAGAACATTGTGAGAGGAGCGTATGCGTCACTTTCCAACTTCAGACTTGCTTATAATTTTATGAATGGTGAAATACTAAAACTGTTCATGACTTTTGTGAGACCAAAATTAGAATATGCATCAGTTGTATAGTGCCTAAATCTCAATTAACACAAAAATGGAAAAGGTGCAACTGCATGCTACAAAATGGCTTCCAGATCTGGAAAAACAAGAGTTACGAGGAGAGACTAAAGGCATTAAACGTGATAAAACTAGAAGACAGAAGAACTAGAGTTGATATTATCACCACTTACAAAATACTAACAGGATTAGACCAAATTGACAAACAGGAATCCTGAAACCAGCAACTTCACAAACAAGAGGACACAGATTCAAGCTAAGAAAACAGAGGTGCCAAAAAAATGTTAGAAAATTTACTTTGGCAAACAAAGAGTGGTAGACTGTTAGAACAAACGAAGTGAGAAAGTGGTCGAGGCCAAAACTGTCAGTACAGTAGTTTCAAAGTGTTATACGACAAAGAGTACTGGGAAGACAGGACACCACGAGCGTAGCTTTCATCCTGTAACTACATTTAGGTAATTACACACACATACATATATATAATGTATATATATATTTTGTAATTTTATTTTGTTTAAAACTTTATTTCACAAAATGGGTTATAACAGTGATTACATGGAAGGTACACAGCTAATTATCACAGGTTGTCGAGATCTTCCAGCTCCTCAGATGGCGGGCAGGAACCATGGATGCACTGCGCATTTCCTCCGTGTCTTGAAGTTATCTTGAGTTATCTCGAGATGATTTCAGGGCTTAGCGACCCCTACGGCCCGGTCCTCGACCAGGCCTCCTTTTTGTTACACACACCCCAGGAAGCAGCCCGTAGCAGATGTCTAACTCCCAGTTACCCATTTACTGCTAGGTAACAGCAGTTGGTATCGCCACACTAAGGCACTGAAAGAGGAAACTGGCAGCTCTAGGGTATCTTGTTTCAATTAACTTAGAACCAAGCTCATTCAAAAAACTAACAGCACTTTTACCCCAGGCACCAAGTGTTTGGCAATGGGGACAATATTGTAGTTGTTATCAAGGTCTCTGTATTTATGAGAACTGGCTGCTTCCCAGCGAGTGGTAGCACCACCCAGATGTGCAACACTGAAGTCAACATAGGTGTTGGCTGAAGTTGAAATGCACGTACTGTATAGTCCCACACCAAATGTCTACCATTCTTCCAGGGATTCACTGTGATCCCGTCTGGGCGACCTACAGACTTGTCAGAGTTGCGAGGCATTAGGTAACGGGATTATCTTTGTACTCAACTAGTCGTGCTTGCGGGGGTTGAGTCTTGGCTCTTTGGTCCCGCCTCTCAACCATAAATCTATTGGTGTGCAGATTCCTGAGCTTCTCGAGCTCTATCATATCTAAATTTGAAACTGTGTATGGAGTCTGCCTCCACTACATTACTTCCTAGTGCTTTCAATATACCAATGCTGAATAACTGGCTGTGGTAAGGCAACTCTTACACACATACACATACATATTGTAACTAATAGGCCAAGTTGCCTAACAAGCATAATTTTCCTCAACATATATAGTATAAATTGCATTTCTTTATTCCAAATACAGTATGTCTGTGTTTAAAAGCTTTAAGTTGAATAAAACAATAAAGGGTAAAATAAACATTTATGAAACAAATATTTAATTCAGAGCAACACCACAACATAGTTGACTTAATCTGGAGAATCTTTCACCTTCAAAATCTTCAGAAATGACATACGAGGTGAAATACTGTACCCAGGAAATTGGATGTGAAAATATTAAACGATAGTAAGACGATTTTAAGTAAACGATAGTAAGACGATTAAACGATTTTTAGTAAGTAATCATCGAATGAACTGCATATTGCGTGGATAACCCTAAAAATACTTGCATCACACAGCAGCCAGGGGCAACGTCTCACTGACAATCATGATGATAAATTGAAGAAATAAACTATAAGAAGATACGGGCTCACCATAGCCTGTGCTACTTGGCACTGCTTGTTCCAAGTAGCGAATCTTTAACAACATAAGAAGACTGTGTATAGAACCCACAGACACTATCACCACCAATTACATGTAATGTAATAAAATTTAAGCACTGCTTCAAAATATAAATTGTAGCATAGACAACCAATCCACATAAGAATAAAAGAATTGACAATGTTTCAGTCTGTCCTGGACCCCCTGTGAAGTCCTTGTAATACTTGATAATCTAGTATTTATTTTTCACAACTTGATAATGGTGCAAGAGGGAGTGAAATGTTAAATTCTTTGATTTACAGATTTGTGGGTCAGGCATCTAATTTTCAGCCACTTTATTGCGACTTACTGTCTGCAATTGCAGCATACTAAATTTCTAGCATTCCTGATATCAAAGTACCTTCATCTTATCCCTCCCACTTTTACCCTCTAATGTCCTCCTAGTCCCGGGAGTCACATTTATACAGCCGGCAAGCAAGTTTACATTCAATTATATTTATACAAGTCAGCATTTTCTGAGCTATTCAACCAAATATTGAATTACCTTTCTATATAACAAATTATGATAGGTATATTTTGCTGTACTCACCAAGAGCTAAGTTACAGATTCCAGATACTGCAAAGCTGCGTAATGTTGGTGTGCCTTCAGTAACCTGGTCTAGAAAGATGTCAATGATTTTCAGCTTACGAAACCATGGATAGTTGATCGGATCATATGCAAAGTTCGCTAAGTTGGCTAGAACCTGTTCCTTGGCCTCTGTAATGAGGAATCAACTTTAATTGTCATCCACATAAAACAGATCAAATACCATCCTGCCTCTCCTAACCTTATCCTGTTTTCTCCCAAGCCACTAGCCAGCACTGCCTAACTGCATCCACGACAATACAGTAATACAATAACCAATGTGATATTACATTCTCTTATACAACATATATTCTCTTATAGAGTACAGATAAAGAAATTTATGAAAAACAGAAAGGTATGTAGTTGAACTTGGAATAAGAAATGTGTACTTTTGTTTTGTTTTCTTTCCCATTTGTCTGCACTCATCAGCTATCTAGAAGAACACTGCTGTGGTACTACATCATGAAGAGTACTGTTTACAGGTTCAATTCAATATATAATTTGAGAAGCAATATACAGAGGTATGTAATTCCACCTATATGTACACTACATACAAGTATGTTACTATATGATACAGTACTGTACCAGCTATCACACTGATAAGCAACCCACCCCCCCCCCCGACTGAGCTAATCTATTTAGACACAAGTGATAGCTTTCATGATAATACCACAGTTTTGTGAAGTGAGAAATTCGTCAACAAGCTCCTTCAAATATTGGGGCCGATCTACTCCCTTCTTGCCGGAACGTTTTTCAAGTCGTTCATAACTGCTGAACATGTTGCATCACATGGTTCCTAAAAATAAATTAAATAAAGTAAATATATTAAACTATAACACTTTTTTTTAAATACAGCATAAATTTCCCAGAATGATTTCTGTAGTTACTATATTATAAATACAGTACCCGTACATATAGCCTAGTTATCCATTATTCCTTGACAAAGTTCAACCACAAGGACTAACTAAATTAAGGCACACAGGCCTATCACACTTAACAGCAATATCCGCTAAATAGAGCAAATGTTGCAAACATTTAGCCACACCACGAGTATTCACCCCAAACAGCTGGTCTGCCTCCCATCCTATCTCTAACTTCATGAGATAAACCCATGCAAGTTTACCTAACGAATGCCTTAGAGCTACAATGTGCTATTTTATTATCAAGTGCATATGACACAGGCCTATAGAATGCCATAGTAATTGAACACAGGTTAACCTAATGTTATAATATAACCAATATATGCAGCGCGAAACCCAAATAAATGCAATTGGATACGGCTCCAAAACTGTGTGATCTGAGAACATGTATTATTGGATACGGCTACAAAACTTTGTGATCTGAGAACATGTATTATTGGATACGGCTACAAAACTGTGTGATCTGAGAACATGTGTTAACTACACCATGTGAATATCAATGGCTATGGTGCAAGAATATACCTCGAGCCTATTCGAATGCTATCCATTTGTTCATGGGGGCCAGTATTAACATTCAATACATTCTGTGACAGCATCAACCCAAATTTTTTGGATGGCCTACCATTTTTTAACCCTTAGGTTAAGCTGTTCCAATGCCATCAGGTGCACCCGACAGGAAATGCCAACCCTGTTTGTAATGCTAAGCAATAATTCAATGTGGTGGGGATAGGGGGGTGGGGGGCAGGCAGACAATGTATATATACGTGTTAGGACTTATATCGAGGTCCACCTCCAAGGTCGAACTACTGACCCTCCCCAGGATGCAACCCCACAATAAACTCCTGAGTGTCTATTAGTGCACAAGGGCATAGGAAATCTGCCTAACTATTTCTGTCACTCCTGGGACTAAAAACCTGGAATTCCCAATTGCCCAACCTAACAATGCCCAGCTTAACGAATGCCCAGCCTAACAAGAGCCCAACCTAAAGAATGCCCAGCCTAAAGAATGCCCAGCCTAACAAAAGCCCAACCTAAAGAATGCCCAGCCTAACAAATGCCCAGCTTAACGAATGCCCAGCCTAACAAAAGCCCAACCTAAAGAATGCCCAGCCTAACAAATGCCCAGCTTAACGAATGCCCAGCGTAACAAAAGCCCAACCTAAAGAATGCCCAGCCTAACAAGAGCCCAACCTAAAGAATGCCCAGCCTAACAAGAGCCCAACCTAAAGAATGCCCAGCCTAACAAGAGCCCAACCTAAAGAATGCCCAGCCTAACAAGAGCCCAACCTAAAGAATGCCCAGCCTAACAAAAGCCCAACCTAAAGAATGCCCAGCCTAACAAATGCCCAGCTTAACGAATGCCTAATCTTATAGACAATTTTTTTTTCATATATACTGTGTGGTGTGATATAGAATTTGTTCTAGGGTATTTTTTATGCTTCTGGAGCCGACAGGAAGTTAATGGGAGCAAGAGGAAGAATAAACAGAAAAGACAGGAGGAAGATCGCGGGTACAACAGGAAGAACTAACAGAACAGACAGGAGGAAGCTTGCGGGTACAGCCACAAGAACAAACAGAACAGACAGGAGGAAGCTTGCGGGTACAACAGGAAGAACTAACAGAACAGACAGGAGGAAGCTTGCGTGTACTGCTGCAAGAACAAACAGAATAGACAGGAGGAAGCTCGCAGGTAGAGCCACAAGAACAAACAGAACAGACAGGGGGGAGATCGCGGGTACAACAGGAAAAACTAACAGAACAGACAGGGGGAAGCTCGCAGGTACATCCACAAGAACAAACAGAACAGACAGGAGAAAGCTTGTACTCACCACAAGAACAAACAGGAGGAAGCTCGCAGGATATAACAGGAAAAACTAACAGAACAGACAGGATGCTGGCGGTTGCAACAGGAAGAACAGACAGGTGAGAGGAGGAAGCTCGCGAGTACAGCCGCAAACAGAACAGACAGGAGGAAGGAAACTGACGAGGAACAGGTAGGTAGGTGCAGCCAAAACAAGACGGGGACGAGACGGAAGTTGAGACGGAAGCAACAGCATCATCAGCGCCCACACACGCAAATCTAAAATCCCCCTCTTCCGTCCCTTTACTAACCGTTCCCAGCCCACCAGTGTCACCGTAACTCACCCTGAGCATCAACTCACAGTAATACCGTGACTGGCACGGTCGTGGGGGCGAGAGGAGAGGAGGGAGAGACAGAGAGAGAGAGACGGGGACAAGCCTGGGTGTTGATACCGTCCGTCTCCACCAGACTCCATGACATGGGTTATGTCCACATCAAACTCCTTTGGCACTACGCTTGTTAAATTATAATTCCTTTGTTCATTTTGCATCAAAAAATAAAATTATCAACACTATTTTTATATATAATTTGATGTTATTTGCTATTCTGGACAAGTGTACATGATAAATGTCTAAATTGAAAAATCTTCCACCAACTTCTTTAATTTTTTTTATGACCATTGAAATTTAAATATTTATCTCAAGTTACACATATAACATTAGAAAAAAACAATAAATAATGTATCATAAACAAAATTTATGATGAAAATAATCTTCTCCATTAATGGCGCGATATTTGAAATATTTTTGTACTGTAGAGCAGTAGTCGACGTCCTCGACTCACAATCAACTGACCATGGTTTAATCCCCGGACAGGATATAAACGGTTGGGCAAATTTCCTTTCACCTGATGCCTTTATTCACCCAGGTGTAATAGATTCAAGCTCAAAAAGCCACAATGTAGGACAGAAACAGGAGATTGGATGAGATTCGCCCCTGTTATGCCTGGTCTGCAGTGTTGTTAGCCCTGTGGCCCTCAACCATCCCTGGTATGAGAGTCAGCTTAGTTCTGGAATGATTTTTGTTGCCCTGGTGTTGAACTTTCTCCAAAACAGCTATATATGTCCTCCTGAAGAGGAGGTCTTCGTGCTTGGATACAGTAATTACATAATATGTTTATTTTACAGTTATCGAAGTGACTTCAAGTAAGCAAGTGAGAGAGAGAGCCAAGTAATTTTAAACCCAAGTAAACACCAGAGATTTATACAGTTGAATCACTACCTTCTTTTCCTTAACGTCAAATGTACCCCCACTTGATTACTCGTAGAGTTTGGTTAGCTTTTTTTTATTTTGACTGCTGCTCTTACCTGTTGTATAACTTTCAGTGAGTGGTGGATTTTGACTCCAAGATCCTTTTCTTCGTCAATCTGCTGCAAGGTAATAATAATGTTGATTTAGTAGTTGTGGCGTGGGTTGTTATGTCCCACACATGCAATTAAGGTCTTGCTTTTGCCGATATAAAAAAAGCAATGGCCAGTCTTCTGACCATTTGTGGAGTAGTTCATGTAGATCTCTTTTTATAAAGCTTCAATATCATTTTAATTTCCCACTTTACCAGACATCTTTGTGTCAACTGCAAATTTGATGATGTGGTTTGTAATATTCTCTTCTACGTCACTGATGTACATGACAAAAAAGTATATGATGTATATATGTCATATGACATGACAATATATACCGAGAAAGAAAGAAAGACTATCAACTTCTTCTTTAAGTGATGCATACTTTGGCTAATTGATACCATCTTTGATCACTTTATTATTATATATCACATCAAATCAAATGTTTATTCGGGTAAAGTACATACATACAAGGTGAGATACAAAACACTGATGGCTTTATAGATAGAGCTAGTACATACAATGCCGAAAGCCACTATTACGCAAAGCGTTTCGGACAGAACGCTTTGCGTAAACATATATGTGTATAGAAGCATATTGCGTAAGCAATTGCGTGAGCATATATAGAGCGTGAGCAATTGCATGTACATAGAAACATATATGTGTGCCTTGAAGCAAGATCGATCGATATACACCCCCGATCGGTAATTATATACTGTATATCCCTGTGTACTCACTTAATTGTGCTTAATGAAGATTAAACGCTGTTATTAGTAACAATAATCTATATACTGTGATTAAGACTGGTTATGCCCTTTGTAACTGATTTACGCTGCCGCTCTCTTGGTGGGGGGGTTGCACAGTCAACTAGCAACCTCTGACAGCAACAATTCAATCTACAACACCCTAATTATTAATCTTAATGAACTAAAAACTGCTGAATTGCAAAGAAAGAGAACGTGAAGACAACGCCATTGTCCAACCGCCCAGCCAGGCCTCTCTTCACAACAACACCTGACGCTGAAAGCTAAGCATCCAGGTCAGCTGATTAATACCAGGTCGTGCGGATAAGAGAGAGTGAGAGAAAGTGAGAAAGAGAGAGAACTTTCATGTAAACTGCACCTGGTGTAAAGAAGACTAGGCCACCAGGCAGCAGTTTATGAGAACGGAGGGACACCTCTAGCAAATCTCACTCGTCCAACCAGGTCACCGAAGTGAGACTTCCTGATCCTCCTTCCCCCCAAGACTGCCCTATCAAACCAGGTCTTCTCTCACTACATCAGGTCACCCCAAAGTCTCCATCACTACACCAGGTCACCCAAAGTCTCCATCCACTACACCAGGTCACCACAACTCATTTCTTTGCTACACTACTACTCGAGCAAGGGAACAAAATCTTGATGTAGACTGTGGGTATTATAAATAAAAAAAAACTGCAGCAGTATACATTTTAAACGACTCTCTTGTTACTTATATTAAAAAGAAAAAGATGAGTAAAGATTTTGCAAATATAAAACTTTTAATATTTGTTATATTGTAAAAAGAAAGTTTTGTGAAAGTTTGTAATGTAATAAATTATTTGATAATCAGATACAACACAGCAATTGCATTTTTTTTTTGAGGGTGATGAAGTCACGCTAATGCACACAATAATTTATTTTCTTTCAGTTTCAGTCGGTAATCTTTCTTCTGCTGAGTCATGAGAGGAAGTTTTAAAGGACACCACTGTGATGAGAATCTGGTCACTTTACTGTGTAACACCAGACATGTCAAAAACCCACTATATAAATTGCATTGTATGAGGGGTCAACTCAATTATGTTTGCTGGTAACAGTATAGGTGAATTTTGGGTGTATTATAATAAACTGTCTAACATTGCTTATTCTTTCAGGAGCTGGGGGCAATGCTTCGTTTACGTGTGAAAACCAGTTGTGGTGAGCAGTATCCCATAACAGAGCGCGTTAGTGGGGAGAGTACCCTTCATGATCTTCTCTCGGCCATCCAAGATGTAACGGCCATTCTTCCACAGAGACAAAAAATTTTAGCAGGTGAGGAAGGCTGTCTGGCCTTAAATTAAGGAATCCATTCTCCCAGTTACTTTTAACTATGTTTCAGAGACCACCAAAACAAATTAGTTTTGTTTAAGTTGAGCATTTTGTTTCAAATAATGAATCTGTATGTATGATAAGTAATATTCTTTAGCGTACAAACATCTTGACCAAGTTATATATAGCTAAGGAATCTTTTTCTCAAAACTCTGTTTTTTTCTTTTCTTTTTTAGTCAGAATTGCTCTTAACCATTTTAAAATACTGTATGAATACAGTACATAAATCCATAGATAGTAACATGATTTCCCAATATCAGGGACAGGAAGCCAGATAGATTCAGTGAAGTTTCCATAGTTGAACAACAGGCTTTCTCCAGGATGCAACATACTAGTACTGTACATCTTGGCCGTTTCTTGCTTCAGTATGAATTCAATTTTGATCAGATTAGTTAACATTTTGAATTGTTAAAGAGATTTAGCAAAGGATTTACAATTTGTAAATAATATTCAGAAACTGCAGGGTTTGACAACAGTACAAATATAATAATGTTCATAAGAACAGCAAATACAGATTGATTTGTAGGCTGAGGAAATGTAAAATTGGTTACATAATGTTAAGTAGGTATTTCGTAGTTTCTCTCTTAAACTGATTGAGAGAAGTACAGTTTTTAATCCTATTTTTGAGGTCATTCCACAGATTAGGACCCTTAATTTGCAATCATTTCTGCTCTCCTTACGACGCATTCTTGGAATATCAGATAGGTGTTTATTTCTTGTGTGGTGACCATAGATTCTGTTCCAGCCCTCTAGGACACATTTAAGGTGAGGATAAGTATTGCAGTTCAAAAGTTTTATAGATACAGAGTACACTTGAGAATGTGTACAATGACTTGGTATTTAACATACTCAAAGAATTCAGTAAGGATTGTGCGTGCTGTCTGGGATTGAAGTTTGTTATTGTTCTAATTGTATCTGCAATATACTGTATTAGGGGAGGTGTTGGGGGGGGGGGGGTAGGTATTTAATGGAAGGTAAAGTAAGGGGGCAAATTTTTTCTAAATACAATGGGAAGAAGAGGGAATTAATGAATGTTACAATTACAGGGAGAAAATTGAAGGAATGATACACAATATAATTGAAGGGCAAATAAGAAAAATCCAATGTACAATGAAATGGGTCAATTACAGTATAAAAAAATTATTATACAAAAGAAGAAAATGTATTTTTAATTAATCATTGGTATAATTTGAACAAATTTTAATTCAGCAATTTCATTTATTTTGTAGCGGATAAGAAGTATGAATCAATTATCACTTATGATTTATGGCAATATAGATAATCTGCCTTTGCCACCAGGAGGAGCACACCCTCACTCTTTGGTGTCTAGGTACTCTAAGGAGAGGGGAGGTGGAGGGCAATGCTATATGGGAGCAGCAGCAGCAGTATCGTATTACATTCTCGTGTAAACAAAACGCCTGGGACATGTGTATCTGTATTAACCTTTGCAGAGATGGGTATGAAGCAGTGTAATACCAGGCATAAATTTAATGTTCTCAGCTCTTCTGATTTTGTGGTGGTGGTTAATTCTACTAGGGAAGTAGAATAGCTAAAGGGGAGCCTGACAGCTGAGTGGACAGTGCTCGGGATTCGCAGTCCTGAGCTTCCGGGCTCGATCCCCGATGGAGGTGGAAACAAATAGGCAGAGTTTCTTTCACCCTGATGTTCCTGTTCACCTAGCAGTAAATAGGTACCTGGGAGTTAGACAGCTGCTAGGGGCTGCTTCCTGGGGGGGGGGGGGTGTAACAAAGAGGAGGCCTGGTCGAGGACTGGGCCACAGGGACGCTAAGCCCCAAAACCATCTCAAGATAGCCTCAAGATAACTTACCACCTGGTGGTAGGGATTTAACTGGTAAGGTTGTTGATAAATGATAGTTAGCAAAGATATAATTTGCTGCTTTGGTTATCCAAGTGATCACTTGTAGGGGATGTTGAAGGTTTATTTCTGTTCTTTTTGTTCTATAATGAGCTGTTGGTTGGTGGCGAGTTGAAATACTCTCTACTATCCATCCACCCCCATGTATGTGGCAAGACCATCTGTTAAGTTGCATGTCAAAGTGGGGCAAGAAGTGAACTAGAGCCTGGTGTGTGGACAATGCCCTGGATGGCCCCCATGCCCTGGCACAAGCAACAACTAAGGAGACCCAGCTCAGAAATTTTATGCTCTAAAAATGGTTTTAAATATTGATGCCCTAACATCTCTAGTGTAACATTTAACGTTTCCAGAGAACATTGCAACTTAAAGTGACATATTGATCAATCCTGTTAAGCTTGTTATTAACAAAGTGATTGTAAGTTTTTCTTTTGGATTCTTCTGCATCTTAATAAATTATACAGTGTATAGTTTTTACATAATTTTATAGTGTTGTATGTGTGCTTTGAAAAAAAAAAATGCTCTCAAATATTTATGATTTGTTACAGGATTTCCACCCAAACCAATCACAGGGAATCCTGATGTCACTTTGAACAGCATTGGAATCCGGAATGGAGAGATGCTAATAGTTGAAGATGTTGATCCATCAAAAGGAATGGTAAGGTGGGAAGAATATGTTTTAACTTCAAGGTGTAACCTAAGAAAGGGTTTTTGCTTTGCACGCTGTCCAAGAAAATTATTAAGTATAAATTCTAATTTTTGTGTGGAAAACTTTAGGAGGAAGCTTGGCATCTTAAAGAACTTTAGGTTTAGCCTTGCTTATTCGTTCACATAATTCACCCACTTTCTGCCTAGCTTTTCTCGTTCACCTTCACCTTCTTCCTATACTCCCTCTACTTCTCTTTCCCCCTCTACTTACTATCTCTTTCTCTGTCTCTCTCCCATCCTCTCTCCCTCATGTTTAGTCAAACTAGAACTATTAAGTAAGGTATTAAACATACTAGGCTGTTCTGTATTTGTTAATGGAAAAACTGTACTATGACTAATGAATTTATGGGATAGTATTCCTGGCTGAAGTTACTTTCAGATAAAGAAAAAATATGTCTTGCAGAAATATAGATCTTAAATGGAAAACATTGCTATACAGGTATAATAATACAGTAATATATTATTGCAATATGTTTGGTTTATGTACTAATATTCTATTGTCAATTGCATGTATACTTGTAGTATATCACAAATCACAACTACAAAAATCTTACAACATGGCATATTTCATACCTTTATCATATAAAAATCACTTTAATAATGTAAACAAACATTTGCTACACATTCTAGTACATGTGTTCAAACAGCTGCAATTCATCACCTTCTCTGCTGTATTTTGGCTGGTGTGTTGTAAAGGCTGCAGCATGAATATTTTGAATAACGTGCCTCTCTCAATAGAAATGTCATCATATCTTTTCTTAAAGTTGTGGAGGGAATTGGTTTCAACAACCTCTTCCTTCAGTGCATTTCACTTGCTGACCATTCGTACATTGAATGAGCACTTCCTTTCGTCTTTACGACTCTGTGGGACAGTGAAAGAAGTTGTTGAAGCTAATTCCATCCACAACTTTTAAGACAAAAAATTATAATCATTAGTGTTGAGAGAGGGAATTTGATATACCAGGTATAAAAAGGCTAGGAGCGGGGCATGAAGAGCTAGATCTCGCTCCCGCATAGTCACTGATAGGCAAGTAACTATGTGGGAGTCTACTCTACACCTGTAAATTGATAAACCAGGTGATGTAACACATTTGTTGTGATATTGTTTGCTCAAATATTGAGCGATATTTGCTCGGTTAGTCTAGGATGTACTATATAGTCCAAGTTATAGTCCTAGACTATAACTTGGCAGTATTATAGTCTAGTATGTACTGATAACTGGGTAGTATTATAGTCTAGGATGTACTGATAACTGGGTAGTATTATAGGCTAGGATGTACTGATAACTGGGTAGTATTATAGTCTAGGATGATAACTGGGTAGTATTTTGATGTACTGTATTGGCAACTGTATTTACATAATCTGTCAGTTAAGCTGACAACTAGCTACGCTTTGCTCGACTGTTATTTGCTTGGCTGTCATTGATATTTTTATCCATATGACTCGTCTATGTATATTGTAACTTTGCATGGCACAAGAAGTACCAGGCATTATTTTTTTTTAGGCTGCGCTTTGAAGAGCAGGATCATCTATAAGTTATGAGCTGACTGACAGTATGGCAATATCAAGAAAGCGTGATGTCACTTGGTCTCTATATAGACTTGTGTGTTGCAAATTACAACAGCTAGATAACAACAAATTCAACCTGATTGATGATCACTTTTGGGGGGTGTTACAGCAAAAGTAACCCGAAGGTAACTGTGTACATGTTTAGTTAGGTACAGTAAATCATGTTCAGGTCGGTCAGCCTTTCCTGGTAAGTTAGCTACTTAGCTACTCTGATGATGAACTCGTGCAAAGAATTGCAAGTTGCATGGTACAGAGTAGACTACGAACAAGTTAATTGCAGAAAACACCAAATGCAGATCTGGGACTTAAATTTTAAAGGATTCCATCATAGAGAAGTCTTCATAAGAAGTTCACTGTGTATTAATTCCCTGTTATTCCTGAAGAAGATGCAATGGTAAAATGTCATATAAATTGAGCTTCTTGCTTTACATTTGGTATTTTTTCTACTCGAGAGTTAAATCTTGGAATTTGAAGTTGCTGTATTAAAACATCAATGGTAAATGTTTTAGCTAATGAACCATACATAAAAAAAATGTTTGTGGTGTGGGGGCTTGTGTGCAATGCCCGGGGACCACTAGGGATGATTTGGCCTCATCTGCTGCCTCTCTCCGGATGTTGTACATGTGAAGAAACTATGTATGGTACCTGTTTAAGTCATCAGACTGCCTGTTGGAAAAGTTGCCTATGAGGGGGCCGTTTATGGAGATATGTTTGGGTGTCTGGACTGGGGTGAGAGGGAGAAAAAGGACTTTGCACTGGTGTTGGCAAGATAGTCAGAGGCTATCTCCTGGTAGGTAGAGTTTAGCTATCGGTACCCCCTTAAATACCAGTGGAACTGTACATTTGAGACATTGAGCAGGACAGCAATAGGTAGATCGCTTGTCGAGAGAGGTTCCAGCAGCCCAGACTGGCCTTCTCAGGCTGGGTGTGGACTCTGTCAGCCATACCACCCCCATCCTCTCTACAAACTTAAGTCTCAGAAATTTTGGTGAGTGAATTGTAAGGGATAACTATATTGTGTTTTCAACTTATGTGTTATGTGATTTTCAGGGGTAGTCAGCCATTGGTGGTCTCAATCTCTTGTGTGGTGACTAACTCTGAATTAATGTTGACATTTGAACATCATGCAAAATGGTTGAATTATGATACCCATAATAGTAAATATATAAATGATTAACTTACTTTTTAAGTTGTCTTTAATTGTGATCCCTAGATCTATTATAGGGAGGGAATGCAAGAGTGGAGAGCATTCTGAAGTTTTATGTCTTAAAGATTCTGGTCTATATGATTACATGCTTACAGATGACACGTGATAACACAAGATAATATTGCTGTGCAGACAAGTTCAATTCCTTGTCTTTTAATTAAAACTTGAATGTATGGTGGCAGCACTTCCTTGTTACTTTCTACTTTTCTATTTTACTTCGAACACTTTCCTCCTTTCTACCTCTTTCCTTCTCCTCCCATGTTCTTTTATTCAAAAACTTTCCCTTTCTCCTGACTACTCTTCTTCACCCCTCCCTTCCATCTCTCTACCACCCTCACCCTATGAGTTTTTTCTTTTCGTCTTTTATCATTTTCCAATATGTTACAAGGAGTCCTTTGGTGGCTCCCTGAAGCTGTCTCACTGTGATGGTTCCCCACTACTAGGTCACATCAGTTGCAGGAGTCCTGTTAGGTCTATCAGAAACCAGAGCCAGAACCTGGCATTACTCAGAGGTACAGAGAACAGGGGGACATACTATTGTCAGCCTCGCTGGGAAAGTATCGAGAGAGTCAGCAAAGCCTTACAGACAACTGCAAGGTTCATAGAAAACGAAGCATCAAAATGGTCAAATGACTCCGCAAGCTATTCGAGTAGAACTGCCCTGGGCAGTTCATGGGTCATTGACTCCTCTGTTTAGGACCTGGGTTGGGGGTTCCCTACTTGGTTGTGAGTGGAGTGTGTTAGGATACACGCACGCTTGTCCATAAAGCATGCTGTAGACACTCGTCATTGCTGCATTGTTTATAGGCTGCGTTTGGTACTGTTCTTTTTGGAGAGCTTCCCTAGTCCCTGGGTGTTCTGCTTGACTGGCTAGGGCCCCTGACCCCTGCTAGTCATCATCTTCAGTCCCCTGGTAATTCCCCCATCGGTCTATACTGTGGTCTGTTATGGATTGACCAATTGAACCTGCATTTGCGAGTTTGAGGAGTGCTTGTCGGTCCTGCTACTGGCTGATGACTATTCTCTCTGCCTCCTTCATGCTGCCTATTGGGTCAATGACACCTACGACCCTGAGTCCCGCAATGTAAGAACGCCTTGTTACTGTTTGACACTTCTTTCTCTCTGGTTTTCAAACGGTATCAGAAAAATTTAGATTGTTGATTATTATGATCTCAGCAGCCATAACGATAGCCATCATGATATTCAGGGTCTATCTAGAGTTAGTCTATCAAAGCATCATAGAAATGTCCTCTTGGGAGCTCTCTGTACATGTAGGCTTGATAGTTTTTGGTATCGAGTGCAAATTACTTTTACTAAATTATACAGAAATATACTAAATTATTCAGAAATATACCAAATGTACCAAATTATGCAGAAAATGTAATGTATAACCAAACAGAATATGCTTAATGATGACTATTCCTTTGAAACACTGGTCTTAAAAATGAATAATGTAAATCTTTATTTCAGACTTGTATACCGCAAGAAGTACAACAAACTGTACCTAGCAGTGGTCAAAGTATTTCAGCAACCACTGTCAATAATGCCAAAATACCTTTCGTAACAAGACAGAAGGGCATCCTTCTAAAGAAGGTTGTTCCCTCTGATAATTCGTGCCTCTTTGCAAGTGTCTATTATCTTATAAATGGTAAGACAAGTTTATTTTGTGATGAAAGTTTTCTCAATGCATCAACTCTTATAAATATACAAAAATCCTCATGCATGCATAGACAAAAAAAACTAAAAAATAGAGAAATGGAGATGGTTACTATAACATAGTTTACTATACTTAAGTTTTTAAGGAGAATCTGCAGGATCTTCTCTAAATACCTTTTATTCTCATATCCAAGGCTGTGTTTACAATTGCAAAAGAGGTGCTAACCATAGCATATTATGCTGTAATATTTGTGCATTGGGCTGGAATTATATAAACTTACTAGGAGATGCTTTTTGATTTGAGTTATTTTTCTTCCATTCTCCTTAATATGGTGGTGGAGGTGGAACATAGCATTACTCATGGTTATAATATTTTGTTTTTGAACAATAAACTATGAATGGCACTATGCCTTATGCCTTTTTGTTTTTAATTTGCTAATATTGTTATGGTATCGCAAGGATGTGTTTTGAATTACCTTGTCGCATCAACTTGTGAATGGTGCCACCAGTAGACCATGTTAAATTGTTTCCATATAAACGTGAATGGGTTGATAGGTTTTTTTTCAAATCAAGTACATTTATATTTTGCCTCAAACCCCTCACTTGGGATTACACTTCAGTCATATCCACCAACTGGTAGAACCATCATTGCAGCATGTAATTTCTGAGCATAGGCTACGTTGTCATTCCCTGAGACAATCGACTATTCCTCCAGGAACATTGCAAAAACTAGCCTAGGTCATGTGACCTCTCAACTCTTGGTTCCGATAAGTCATATTGTATACAGGATGATTCACCAGTGAATGTGAAAACCTATGCAACCCAACCAAACCCAACTGTGCCTAACACAGCTTAATTTAGGCCAATACATCTTAATCTAACAATATACTGTACATGATTTTGACAATTGGAAAAATAAATTTTGTTGAACTGTCTCGTATACAATTTGACCATATCCCAGCTCAGTCAAGACCTTTTCCATATACCACTGCAAAAACCATTTGGAGGGAGGGAGACCTATTCTAATCTTGTTACTGTAATTTTATGTCTGCATTCCTCCTCAACTCTCGTCTTCCTATTTGTACTCCGATACTCAAACATAAGGTTTTGAACAAATATTAAGAGCACTTGTCTGACCAGAATCATCAGACTGCTCCCTAAGGAGTGACAATGATTTCCACAGCTGACTTGGTGGTGTACATTGTCATGCACTACAGTATGGAAATCAGCTTGTGAATGCAATATTGCATACCATCAGAGTGCATGGTTCTAAACTCTTTAATTATGTTCTTAGGTCTGTCATGTTGGATCCCTCTATGAAACCCATGTTGCCAGCAGGTCGTTGCTGTAATGAAGGTGTGTCCAGTCCTTGATTAATCAAGTTGAACTTTTTTTTTTTGTCTTGGAAGTAAGAGTCAAGAAGTCGTTCATTTTATATGCCGAGGGTGGAGCTTTTCACCCTATGGTCAGCGAGAGGGCAGATAAGGGAACAACCGTTTTGAATTTCCCATTGGCCGTTGTTGTAAACCACCTGACGTCATGTCTCTATCCATCAAGTGTAAGCGTATATGATTGGGGGAGGCGCTAGTGCCTTTTTCCCATTGGTCCATTAATAGACCTCACCATTGGTTCCCCAAGGATGCTTGTGAGGTTCTGTAGAAGCCTGCCAAGACATTCTTTCCCCGGAATAAATCCACAAGGGCCGTGATGAGGGTTCGAACTCCACTTATCCACATGCATCTTGTGCATTATTCACACATTACATTGTGTTTGTCACCTGCTACCTGCCATGTGGCATTCTTACACAAGATATTCTTGCATACGTAAGAAAAAGCGAGAGGTCTGGTTATTTACTGTGTCCATGTCCAAGCCACGCTATTGTCAAATATTTGTGTGTCTAGTTATACAGGTCATCGTTGTAGCTGTCTGTCTGAGCAATTGGTATGTGTGTGTTGAGGCTGGCCATACTGCAAATGTAATCTCTACATTTATTGCTGTGTGTCTTTCTGCACATTGGTCTTTGTGGTTGGCAAGACATTCCTACCTTCTTAACACCTGCATTAGGTGTTAGACTAGAAAGTGTACCATTAATTGCCTGTGTAGTACCATGCAGTTACACCTGTCATCTGTGAGAGTGATTGTCATACACTACACATTAAGTTACATTACATGTTTTTATAACTATTTCATTGACGAGTCATTTGAGTGTTGATTCAGTCCATGATTTTTTTATTGATTTCATTGTGCATGCCATTGTGTTTTGCCTGAGCATCCTGTTTGAAGCTTCTGTGTAATCCCTTGCCACTGGCAGTGACAGGAGCCAAGTTTACAGTTGTCTATCAAGTGAAGTTTTAAATTAGGTTTTGTTCCGTAGTGGAAGCATAATCGATCACTTGAACCTCCTATGTCTTTTTGATATGATATTAGCTTTGTAAACACCAGCTCTAAAAATGCCAAACATTTGATGTAGTCATGTGCATAACTATTCTAACTTTTGATTAGTACAAATAGTATTGAATATGTTGTGATCTGCTTGATGATCAAAGACATGAATTGATGATCAAAGACATAAATGCTGCTGAGGAAACTGCTGATGTTCTTTTGTTCCATTACTTGTAATTGGACATGTAGTGCCTTTGTGAAATTATTTTATGGAGACGACGAGCCTCAATAACATGGCTAAAGAGTTGACACCTAACCCTTAAATCTGAAAATGAAGAACCAATGACGTTTCGATCCGTCCTCAACCATTCTCTTGTGGAGTTCGCAAAACTGAGAAATGCCTGAACCTAATAGTTTCATGTTCTGCACTCATATGCCCTTGGCCCGTGCAATCTGCTGTTGGAGCTTTGTATTTGTTGATTGTTGTTTTAGATTTAGCTACTCATAACGAAATGTCCACGTAGCATGGGCTATAGTGAGCCCATAAGGAGCTTTGTAGTACCTTAAAGTAGTTTGACAACTATTGTGGACAAAGGGGAAAATATATATAGTTTAGAGAAGCATTTTGCATTAATTTTTAGTATAAATAAAGGATGCAAATTAATTTATTAATGCTGTATCTAATTAGAAATTATACATTCTGATTTCTTTTTTTTGTTTTCAGGCGGTGAAATAATAGGTACTAAACAGATCCAGGAAATGCGTCAGCTTGTGGCAACTTTGGTTAAAAGTCAGCCAGAGGCTTATGATGAGGCTGTACTAGAACGCTCCAATAGTAAATATTGTGAGTGGATTCTGAAGGATACATCGTGGGGAGGAGCCATTGAGTTATCCATCCTTAGCCAGTATTATGAAATTGAAATTGTTGCTTTAAATGCTAAGACTGGCAATTTAAATAGGTAAGTGTATATAGTTATATCTTTGTTTTATGCCTTACAGAAATATAAATTGTACATTATTGTTAATGATTTTATGGGAATATTGGGATGCATTTCTTGGCAGAATTTTTTATTTACACACAAAAAATGAAGCAATGTATATGCAGTAGGAGAGAGTAAGGGTAGCATGTGTATATTTGGCTTTGGGGAGTCACATGGAAAAAAAATTCATGTCTGAAAATTTTCAATGATTTTGTAACATATGTCCTAGGCTACAAGTGGACCCCCCTCCCCCCCCCTAAAAAAAAAATCAGGTCATTTGACGCAAAGGAAAAATTTGCTTGCTATGGGTAAAATCCACACACACACACACACACACAGTATCTGTCAAGGCCAAGGGTTGAGAGCTGTTTCATTACCAAGATTTGACTGACTCAAAGTATATTACAGATACTGTAACTGTGTATTATGTTTGCATTTGCAGGTTTGGCGAAGATAAGCGGTATGACTACAGAATGATTGTCATGTATGATGGTATACATTATGATCCAATCTATATGGAAACATTTGAGGTGAGACTTTCATTGTATAAAAAAACTAAATGATAAATAATTTTTAGATGTGCAATGTAGTACTGTACTTTAAATTTTGGTTTGACATCTATACCTAAAAGGTAGAATATTGATCTTGGGTGCAGTCCTCATCAGGACAGAAATAGTTGGATACATTTCCTTTCACTTGATGCCTCAATCTAGCAATAAATAGTTGGCCAGGACTTTGGCAAATATTGAAGGATGCATCTTGGGAAAAGTCACTAATTTGACCTAAAGGGGACCTAAATATAAGCTTAGTACAGACGTTCTGTCCCCGACAACAGAAATTATTATTGAATTATTAACTGTTGTTTTAACAACCTCAATCAATAATTATTCTATTGTGTAAGAATTTATTAACTTTTAGCATAATGCACTTTAGAATTCTGTATGCAGTTAAAACTCACCTTTTGTTGATGACCAAACCACACATCAAAAGATGAGGGGACGATGACATTTCGGTCCGTCCTGGACCATTATCAAGTCGATGGTGATGGGAGCGAGGGAGGCATGGGCATTAAGTAAGGCAAGAGAAAGGTGAAGAGCAGGTAAAAGGTGGTAATTTAGATAGGTTAGAGCATTTGATTAAGTACTGTGAAAAGGAAGAGTCAACAGGAACAAAGCTAGGAGTAAGGTTCATGTCCTCCTCATACCTGCTCCTCACCTCACTCGTGCCTTACTTATGCCCGTGCCTCCCTCACTCCCATCGCAATCTACTTGATGGTCCAGGACAGACCAAAACGTAGTCGTCTTCTCAACTTCTGGTGTGTGTGGTTTGGTCATCGTATCTTCAGCCATGTTATTGTTACTCATTGTCCTCACATTTTGTTACTGTATTTCTACATTTACATGTTACATTTCAGGGAGACAGTGCATTTATATTTCCAAGCAGTGATGATTCTATATTGGATCAGGCAAAGGAAATGGCAATTGAAGCGAAGCAGAGTGGACAGTATACTGATACAAATGCATTTCAACTTGAATGTAAACAATGTGGGACTATTATTGCTGGGGAAGACCAAGCACTTGCTCACGCAAAGAAGACTGGTCACAGCAAGTTTGAAGAAGTTCATCGTAATTGATGTCATGATATCCATAGCTCTTTTTTTATTTGTAATTTGTACTTTTTTTTTTTTAACTTATGGATCTCAGATGTAGGCTTTATATAAGTTAGTTGATAAGTATTAATAATCTCTTAAAAGCTTTTGTTTATATACATATAATATTGAAAGTAATAATGTAGAATTTTACCACTTGTCTATAACAAATCTGATATGACAGGTTAGCAATTTTAAATTTGATTGATGAACCTGAATAATGCCTAATTAGTTTTATAAGCCGTCATATTGTACAAACAGATATTAAGAGAACTTCATGGATTGAAAATATTGAACAAAATGTATTTAAGGTGGATGGTATGAGATACCAATTAGGATAGCATGGTGCACAATGCTTGTCTAGTGCCTGGAATGTAAACTTTTAAAAAGTGCATTGTTCAGACATGGTGAAAACCATTTTCATTGTATGTACTTACATAGTTGTAAATATGTAATTTTTTTAGCTTTCATCCTCCCAAGTGTATTCGTGATTAGATATTTTGTGTTTTTGTTACTTACGATATACGTTTGTGCATATTAATGCAAACACGCGAACTAGTGGTAGAAATGGAGAGTTACTCAAACTTGCATTTTAAAGAGGAATACTTATTGGATTTGTAAAATTATGCAGGCATTTCTTGATGTATGAACAGGTGTATTTTCATGAAAAGTAACATACAATACAACGTTTTGTATATTCAACTCAAGTTTTCCCACCGACTTTCATTTTATAATTGGAGCTTGACTTGTGGACACTTAATGGAACATTGCCCTGCTCCCTATTGTCCCAACTGCATTGTCCTACTAGCTGTGCACCTCTTTGTAGAATGTCCCAATTTTTAGCATGGTGCATGTCTTGCTTGTATGATGTCCCTCCAGGTCGTTGTCCCTCGTAAGAATCCTCGGTGAATCTGATATCTTTTGATGTTCCTTGCCCCTTTTTTTCCCTTTTGTTCTTATATTGGCATCCCGAGTGATATTTTTAGCATCTATCGAGTTTTCCACGACAGACAGTGGTACATAGTCTTCCCGGCTTGACACGTTCATATAATAATTACTCGTTTTATAATTGGAGATGCATTATTGAAAATGGAAAGAAAATGTTTTCTTTCCTTTGTGTTATGGTATACTTAAAAATTATTGAAGGAAGTTGATAAATAATGGAGTTATTGTGTGGGAAAGGTGACAGTTTATAATTTCCAGCATCAGAATTTCTTAATATCAGGGAATTTTCATTTTACCCGGTGAATTTGCTTTAGAATCATTGATACATATTTGCTTGTTATGTAATGATAATTTGTATTGATGTAAATAATTATCTTTAGAAAAGCAGGAAATAAATTATTTGGCAGTGCACAAAGCAGGATGCCCCATACACTGTTGTAACTCTTGGCTTTTAGGCTGTAGCTGCCCCTACACTACCCAGCAGGCATAACATCCAAGAGTGGTGTTGGTTCAACACTGAATTAATGTTAATGATGTTGATTTAGTGTTGTGCTTGGATATTGTGCCCACTGGGTATGAGGTGGTTACCACCGAGTGGTGTGCTATTTTTCTTAGACCATAATTGCCAAGTTGCTTTACATTCTAGTCCTCAATTATTGCTAGATGCATAGGGGGTGAAGAGTGAAGGAAAAGTACCCAAATAGCCTGCTCTATCAAGGGTTCAACCAAGGACTTTGAGAAGTAAGTCACAATAATGTGACTGAAAATTTATAACCCAACCCACTTTCTGCTTGCAAAGCAAGTGGGTTAGTTTTAACCAGTCCTGAATTCTGCGAGGCAGTGTGGATCTCCATGCCTGTAATGCCTACTTTTTGGGCCAGTGCATATCTGTTGCCAGTTTACATATCATATAATTATTAATAATTTGGAGACTGGCATGTTGTAATGCCTGTGTAAAGTTAAAATTTATGGGTACTAATGTAGTAAGGCATGGTGTGTAATAAAATTATATTCATGTGAATTAAATATTATGTACCGAGTATTCCCCATTAACGTGATTTATCCCCCATGCACCATGAGAGCATGGGGAAATTGTGTGAAACCCCAGTTCGGCTTCAGTAGAAGCCTCGGGATCCTTGTGGGTGCATTAGTACCCAAGGTTGCAATTCTTTTACCATGTTGTGGCGCAGTCGACTGGAGCATGCCTTGGAACATCCAGCGCATAGGTTCGAACCCTCATCACAGCTCATGTGGATTTGTTCGTATGGGTAGTGTAGTGCAGTGGTAAATGCTGTTGATTAACAACTCAAAAGACTAAAGTTTGATTCCCATGCAGGACAAGCGATTGGGCATATTTTTCTTGCACTTAATGCATCTGTTCACCTAGCAGTAAATAGCTAAAGTACCTGGAAGTTTGGTAGCCGTTATGGGTTAGACTCTGGAGAAGGTCAGTATTTGATCTAGGAGGACTTTGACATGCTTACTGTCCCTGACAATGAAAAAATTATTTATTATTTATGGTGACAGTTTTTATAGGCTTAGGCAAGGGTATTTTAATATATATTTTTCAAGAGAACTACTGCCATGGCCAAGACTTTACGGTTAATTGGAGTGGACATACACATAAAATGTGGACTTGGAAAATGATGGTTCTGCTGTATTTTGAATTTCTTATTATGTGATAGCAGAATTCTGTATGTTGAGTTGCTATACAATGAAGGATGACTAATCTGGGTTTTAAAACCATCTACAGTAAGTAATTGGTGATTAAATCATCGGACAATCAAGACTTAGAGAATTTATCTAACAGATGCTATGCAGGTTTACAGTGTATTCATCTATCTAGTGCATAATGTAGAATTTGATTCTTTGACAAGATGCTTTATATTTTTTTATATTTGTTCATTAAGTATTCTTATAAAGAATACAATAAATGTAAGTTTTTATTAAAATAAAATATTTGTCATTTGTCTATTACTGAAACACTGGCATATTTGTCATTATTAACCAAGTGAGCTCTGTGAATTCTGATTTTCCATTTGTAATGTAAAGTGGGTTCTTGCTCTAACGAACAGCGCTCTAATGTATTCTTGGAGGGTCCAGATAATGTGGGGTTTTAGTGCAAATTGTTCATTGGAGCATACAAATGTTTATGTGAGGTCTGTTTGGCCAAGCTGCTGACGTGGCAAACAAGGTGTCATCAGCTGACTGCTGGGCAAAGGGGCAGGAAGGAGAGGGAATCCATCCTTCCATCCCCTCTTCCCTTACCACAGTTTGCTGAGAAATTTTTGGATAATTTAAAATTTTGGGGTTTCAATCATGATTTTATAATTTTTTTTATGGAATTCTATAGCTCTCATTACATTATATATGATTTGATTTTTTTTTAATTTGAGTTAAAGCTAGCGTAGAAATTGGGCTTCATTAGAAGATCAAATTTGAAAGTTTTTTGTTGTAATAATATTCTACCACAGATGTGGCCACACATTTACAATGCTAACCAGCATATATACATTTTCTTCTGTCCTCCATGGACAGGGTTAGAGGTCTGTTAAACATATAGTTAAGGGATTTATTGAACAATCAACTACAAAAGGTGATTGTAGTGCTTTTAAAATGCTAAGCTAATCTACATATGTAAATACATAGATACACAGATTTACGTTTGCCCTACATAGTGTTCGATGTGTCTTTTACATAGTGTCATTAATGTGCATTTGCAAAGGTGACATGTAATTCTGATCAGCTTGAGGTTATCTTGAGATGATTTCTGGGCTTTTTTTTAGTGTCCCCGCGGCCCGGTCCTCGACCAGGCCTCCACCCCCAGGAAGCAGCCCGTGACAGCTGACTAACACCAGGTACCTATTTTACTGCCAGGTAACAGGGGCATAGGGTGAAAGAAACTGCCCATTGTTTCTCGCCGGCACCTGGGATCGAACCCAGGACCACAGGATCACAAGTCCAGTGTGCTGTCCGCTCAGCCGACCGGCTCCCTTCCTCATATACTTTATACACATAGTCCAATATATCACAAAAAGTTCATTCGAAAGGGTAAACTATTATATTCTGTGTGAATGTCATTTATTATTCTAATGAAATGACTAATTCATTAATATTCTAGTGTTACTTGCTATTGTTATACTATAAGCAATATTGTAAGATAGAGCAAGATAAATATGTAGGGGAGGGGGGTGAAGAATAATTACATTAGTACATTAACAAATATAATTTCAAAATAATTTAAAATTATAAGTCAAATTTTATTCATTTTATGGATTCGATTTATAATCCCTACCGGAAATCGAATCATGTTCTAAAAGTATTTCATCTAGGATCAAGATGTATAATGATTCTATAATGATTTTGATATGATTTAGATACGATTTTGATACGATTTAGATATGATATAGATATGATACTTTTCTTAGATGATAATATAGATATAGTGGGTAAAAATTTCCCACATGGCGGAGACGTAGGATTTTCAACACTCATGTTTAGTTGTAAGGAAGGCACTACGGGCCACTGCTCTCTCCTTCCGAAATATAAAAAATTAAAGTGTTTACCAGCGTCTGTCCCTTTTCCAAGCCGGTCCATAGAATTACCCAAATCAGCCCAAATCGGCCCAAAACTACACAAATCGTCCTAGCATTACGTAAGTAATGAAGAAATATGGTATATTTACTTACTATAATGTTGGTGCTACACGTAGAACATGATCAAACCTATTTTTACTCTGAAATAATCTAATTTCATAACGAAATGAGACGTAAATATGTGAGAGGTGACGCCATAGGAAGTCGACGGTCCAAGCGACAATTGTGTGGAGCGACTTATCCAAGATATATGGTCGCCTGGAGAGTGTTTGCTGCCATATCAGCCTCCTGTACACAGTGATCCAGTCCTTTTCGTTCATTGAACACCGAACCCTACACGCCCTCTGATATATTGCTTAATTAACAAATATTCACAAATAAAGATTATATTTGTATATGTTATCAGAAAGGCAGATATAAAATAATTTTTGTGAATCCATCACAGAGATTATACCTTATTAGAGAGGAAAAATATTCATACTTTAAACAAGGCTTCATGGCCGACGCTCTCCTTACCGATATAGGAACTATGACCTTCCGAAGATCAATGTTAATTTAATCTAGATATTGTAATAAACGAAGTTTTCTATGTCATCATAAAGACATAAATATAAGCTGCATGTTAATACTTTGGCATAAATATAACTGAAGTGAAAGTGAAGATATATGCCTTTTTATAGTTACTTGATGGCTCGCTCAGGGAGTGTGAAGGCCTCCACACAAGCCAATCAATTTTATAATTACTTTGCATATATGCAAAGTAACGTCATAGATCTTTATGTCAGAATAAAGACATGTAGACGATAATGTAACTACATTTCAAGGAAAACATATCTTAATATAATTATTAAATGAATGCAAAGTTATGGTTAAATAAATAGCCAATACCACACAATCGCCGGTGTCCGGACACATGAATAGTCGCATTAGGTGAAAGGAAATGTACCCAACCATTTCCATTTACCCAACCAGTTTGTGCACCCTATACTCATCCTCTGTGCGGTAATTTATTGTGCACCCCATACTCATCTTGTTACCAGTAGTTTGTGCAACCCATACTCATCCTGTGACCCGTAATTTATTGTGCATCCCATACTCATCCTGTTACCGGTAGTTTGTGCAGCCCATACCCATCCTGTGACCTGTAATTTATTGTGCAACCCATACTTATCCTGTGACCTGTAGTTTATTGTGCAGCTAATACTCATCCTGTGAGTCATAGGACATTGCGCAACCCTTTCTCATCGTGTGAATCTTTGTTTTCTGATAACGGAGGAATAAGACACCGACAGCATTGGGACCTATTTATTTAATTTTTTAGTAGTAACCAATAATTAAATTTTTCAGACCATGTTAATGAACAGGTAACTTGTATAATTTTACAACAGCATAAATACATGTATAACTTGGCTACAATGACTTAATAACATAATAATTAATAATAATTTCAGGACAAAATTTAAAGTAAAACTAGATTATGTAAAACTAGATTAAAGTAAATTTATGTTTCTATCTTTCTTGAGACGTATAAAAATCTTACGTTTATTAACGATTCTGCGTGAAATAAACATTGTTCTGAGATGAATATTGCGGATTTCCGGCTCTACGACCGATGAAAAATGCAACTTTTATACAACTACAAATATCTTTAGTTTTACTTTAAATTTTGTCCTGAAAGAGTTTTCATATATAGATCTAGTTTCTGCCGTTCTTCTGACATAAAAAGACCTTTGGTTTAATAAGTTATTAAGATGTTTTCAACAATATTACTAGGGCGTTCACCGATTCCAACATGGGCGACCCTTTTGGAAACGCATGGAAACGCAACACTTGGGTTGACCCGATTGACAGACTGGTTATATTCCAACAGGGTCTGAGACATTTGCACTGGCGGGCGGCGTTCTTGCCAACTATAAATAAATAAATAATGTTTATTCAGGTAAGGTACATACATACAAGTGATGTTACATTAATGGATTGATATATAGATAGAGCTAGTACATACAATGCCTAAAGCCACTATTACGCAATGCGTTTCGGGCAAATATATGGCTGTTAAGTTGAAAATTGTAACTGTTAAGAGCATTCTATTGTGGTTTTAATATTGAACAATTATACATATACGAAACAGATAAATCTGGTGTCCGAAATAGTAAAAATATTAGTGTGCGATGTGATCAATGTAAGGGGGATATTGGGTGTGCCTCGTATCCCCTACAACAACAAGAAGTTCGAGAGCGATGAGGCCGCCACCTACTAGCTTCAGGATGTCGTCGAATCTAAATCAACAATATACTACCGCCGCTACTTTCTCGGAAACGTAAGTACCTGCCGCTTTACTTCTCTCACCCTGCCTAGCCTGGCCTGGCCAGACCTGGCCTAGCCAGACCTGATCTGGCCTAGCCTTACCTAGCCTAGTCTGACCTAGCCTAGTCTGACCTGGCCTAGTCTGACCTAGCCTAGTCTGACCTGGCCTAGTCTGACCTGACCTGGCCTAGCCTTACCCAACACTAATCACCACACGTGACAGCCCAAACGAATCGCAAATAAGTACACGTAACAAGTCATATGCCCGGACACTCTTTCACCTTGGGGACTGAGTGGTAACTATTGTATAGAAGAGCCGGCTCCCTGAGAGTGGTAAGAGGGCGTGATAAGAGGCTAACGTGTGGTCTTGAAGGAAGTCGATAAAGCAGACAATTTTCAAAAGGAAGGGCAGCATAACGAGCAGACAGGAATAGACAGACAGTCGGTTATCCCATAATGTGTAATACGCCCCGCACAGCATGGGTGGAGTGGGGGGGGGGGGGTTGTAGCAGGGCACAGTATGGTGATGGTGCGGGTGAAGTACACACCCACTGAATTCCTGCCATCAATAATTGTTTTCATAACCATTAGAACAATGGCATCCCTCCAGCCACCATCCTTCCACTGACCCCCTCCTCTGGTCCTCCACCTCAGACAATAACCCCCCACACCCCCTCTCCCCTCCAGACATCAGCATGTCAAAATGAGTACCATAATGTGTTTAAACTATTTAAACTAAGTCATTGTGTATCTCAAGGTATCTTAATTCATTTGAAAGTGTACATGTGCATTCGTTCATATACTCGCCTAATTGTGCTTGCTGGGGTTGAGCTCTGGCTCTTTAGTTCCACCTCTCAACCGTCAATCAACAGGTGTACAGGTTTCTGAGCCTATTGGGCTCTATCATATCTACACTTGAGTCTGTGTATGGAGTCAGCCTCCACCACATCACTTACTAATGCATTTCATTAGATATAATCATATATGATTACACATAATCATAATCATTCCATACACATAATCATATATGTGTACGTCAACGTATACATACATGCGTATATATACCTCATATTAAAATACTGATA